AGTCGAACCTCTGGGTTTGACGACCTCCTTTTCATAGGTTTTGGTCCTTTCGGTGACAACTCGCTCGGATCGAACCGGATTCGGTTCCTTCCTGCTATCCTTGCGAGCGTTCCGCTTCTCGTCTTCTCGGTTGAGAACTCCATCATCGTGAAGCCTATTGTCCGCGTCGACGGCCTCATTCCTGAACTCGTTGAAGTCTGCGAACTCCATCCGTTTGTTCAGGATACCGAGACGTTCCACCACCTTGGCCTTCAGTCCTTTCTTTGCTGCAGCGATAAGAGCTTCATCGTTAAAGCCGCACAAGGGACTGTACTGGGTGAATTCGGAGAAGTAAGACGAAGCGGATCCGGTTTGAACCAGCTTGTCTAAAGCGGCTTGGGCTGCAGCTTTCTCGTTGGAGCCCCCGAAGTTATGCTTCAAGAACCTCTTGAAGGCATCGTAGTCGTGTAGGAAAAGGGGTTGGTCCGCTTCATCCAACTGGAGGTAAGACGAAACCGTTTTAAAAGCTCGTCCTCCAAGAAATCCGATAGCGAAATCGATCTTGGATCCTCCAGTGGGGTAGCGTCCAGGTAATTGTCGGAAGACCATGTTGAGTTTAACGATGAATTCGTCTAACTCCTTGGCGTCTCCCTTGAACGTGGGTGGATCAGCCGGTTTCGGTTCCTTGGTCCGTTTGGCAAGCAGATCCGCTTCGTTCTCCCTAAGGGGAACGTCCCTCATAGGAGTATAGGGATCCCTGGACCGAGCTACCGAAGGTCGGTGAAGTTCTCTAGGGTCGATAGTAGTTCCCGCTAGAGATGGAGGGTTGGATGGGTAGATGTTGAACTGCCTTCGAGGAAGGGGAGCCGGAATCTCTTCTCGTGTAGCGAGTTCGTCTCTTTGTTTCCTGATCGTCTGCATGAGTTCCAGGATTTGTTCTTCGAGACGACCAATACGTTCAGAGTCCGTTTCCCTAGGAGCCGGATTCGTTTCGATTGAGCCGGTCCTGGCTCGAGAGAACCGCTGTTCTTCCTCGGGGGGCAGGTCGTGGTTTTCGGAATAGACTGACATTGTCCTAACCAGGTGCGATAAAGAAGTTCCGATATGCTGTTACGGCGGATGTCGCTAATGGGCGATAGGTCCTAAGTCGTAAGGCGTAGGGTGCTTAAGGTCGATCGCAGGTAGTCGGGAGAATGTCGCAAGTTCGCTTAGATGAAGCGGGTTCGGGTGCGTGATACGAATCCAGAGATGTATGGATAAGGAAGGTGATCACTCGGTGTGAGGCACCAGATTCGGTCTAAGGTAAAACGATGAAGCGTAGATACTTAGCGACGTCCTTGAGTTGTAACCTCTCCGCAACACGTCTTGAAGATGTTGTAACAAGTCAGATAGGCGTGTATTGAATGTGATATCGGAACTTGACCTCTAACTATTACAGAGCGTCCTCTATCGAATTCGGTCAAGTTCCTCTAGCTATTTATACGGAGACGAGTACGTAGACGAGGCTGGCGAACACTGAAAAGACCCAAGAGAAAGATTGGCGAGAGATGGCGAAACTGGAAGAACGAGATGGCGAACAGCCGAATCCTGTCGAGAGCAACCGGATTCGGTAGAGAAGGCGAGTTTGAGTTCTCATTCGTCCCTAGGTACGTCGGGTAAGGTTGTCGAGGTCCTGAGTAGAGTTGTCGTGTACCTCGAGGTCCCTGTACCTGTTTGTGATATGTGTCGGGAAGGTCTGTTGTTTCGGTGAATGGTGAAGGCGAATAGTAGGGGCGACCGAATCTGCTCCGAGGGAATCGGATTCGCCTCGTCGAGCCGGACTTAGGTATATGCTGATGTCCGTAGATCGAGCCTGTGTGTCGGTAGTCGACTCACGTGATGATCCCGTAACAGTCGGATTCAACTTCGACACGTGCCATGTGCATCAAGACATTGATGTCGGGATTCCCTGATTCGACAAACCTTGGCGACCGTCTAGGTGGTCCAGGGGCTGGCTGCGACACTGGTGTCGGCCGCAATGTCTGAGCTCCCTCTGAAGCTGCGACCTGATCCGGGTTGACAGTCGTAGCTACGCTTTGTGGGAGTTGATCTGCAGCAGTCTGCACCTGTCGCTCTTCTCGAACAGGTGGCTGATGCTGTGTTTCTTCGGCTTCGACTCTAGGTGTGTCATCACTGTCGCCCGATCCTGTCGTCACCAGAGGTATAGTCACCTGCTGACTTGCTGGTCTGGTCGATGGAGTTTCCTGTGGTCCATCAGTATCAGTAATCTCCGAACGCTTGAACACGACATCGCGACTCCGGAAAATGCGTCGTTCCGGCGATTCGACCAAGACTTGATATCCAGAGCTTGGTCCATTGAATCCTAGGAAGCGGCCAGCGAGCGCTTTTGGTGTCGTCAGATCTGACTTGTTCCGCGATTCTGGCGGAACTCTAATCCAGCAGTGCGACCCGAAAGGTTGGAGTCGCCCAATGACTGGTTTGTAGATGGATACTAAAGTCTCGAGTGAGACACCATCCATTCGCTTCGACATGTTCAAGATTGCAATCGAGTAGCTAAGTGCGTAATCCCAGAACGACATGTCGAGTCCGCTGTCAATCAGCATCGACCCGACCATTTCCTTGATCGTTCGATTCCAACGCTCAGCGACACCATTAAGCTGCGGAGTGTAAGGTGTCGTCACTTGATGTATGATTCCTTGTTTCTTGAGGTAGTCAGCGACAAGCCCAAGATACTCTGTGCCTCCGTCAGTCCTGACGACTCGTATAGACTTCTTGAAAGCCTTCTCCAGGATAGGAAAGTTGATCTTCATTGCTTCGACGACATTGTACGACATCTTTGAAGGCATCGCGACGGCGACTGCATACTTGGTCTTGTCATCAATCAATGTCATGTAGTAGATGTTACCCTTTGTCGATGGTTTCAATGGTCCTGCAAGATCACTGTGAAGGATTTCCAAAGGTTCGCTTGCTTGAACAGGTGCGTCGCCAAAGGGAAGCCGCGCTGTTTTGGCCTTGGCGCACACGTCGCAGTCCACCATCTTGAAGTCGCTCTCCTTCTTGTCAGTGATATCCAGGTACTTGTCGTCATCCAATTTCTGGATAGTAGAGATGCCCATGTGTCCCAAACGGCGATGCCAATTGCGCAGCGAGTCTGTGCTTTGCACAGCGACATAGGCGGTCGAGTCATTCAACTGACTAGTGGTGTCAGTCTTCGCCTTGCGACCGTTCGCCAGAGGTAGAATGATAGCTCGCAAGCGACCATTTGCTCCTGCAGGGTAGATTTGAATAGTCGTACCTTGCTTTGACATAGTACCACCTGTCTTGGTGATCGACATGTCCCATCCCCTGTCGATAAGCAGTCCTTGCGACAGCAGATTCGCTGGCGACTCCTTGAGATAATGTACCCCTCCGAAGAGTACATGCGACATCGTCGCCTTGTTAGTCACCAGCTTGACAATTCCCGCTTCGGTCGCCTCGACAGGTCCTCCAGCGGTGTCGAAAGTCTTTGGCATCGACATACGGTCGATCTTCGCAAATGCGCTCTTGTCATTGCAGATATGCTCAGTAGCGCCTAAATCGATAAGGAAAACAATGCTGTTGGAAGTCTTGGCGATACTGGCCATGACTGAGCCTTGAATCTCAAGGTCGGTCGTGTCATTTTGAAGAATCGCCCCAACCAGGTCGCTTTGACCGAGCAAAGCAGCCAAGTCGTGCGCACTTGGTCCATTGTTCGATGGTTTCTCTCGCGACCTGTTATTGAAAGACTTTTTCCACTTCTGGCCATTGTGGTTACCACTTCCTTGAGGTCGCTTTGGTTTGAAAGTATATCCATCCCCCTTCTTCCCAGAGCGACACTCGTTCGATCTGTGACCTGATTTGCCACAGTTCCAGCACGTAGTCGACCGATCGACTTGCTTACGCGTGTTCGTTCGCTTAGCGCTAAACATTAGCGCGGAACCAGCTCTCTCGCGCTCGCGCTTTCTTTCCGCAACTTCTTGGTTGAAAATGATCCGCAGATCCGCAAAAGTCGCGCTTGCTGGCGACGCGGCAACTCCGATAGCTGTCGCGCTTCCAGTTGCCGCTATTGCAACCCGCGACTTCAGCGACTTCCATTCCGTACGAACCGGTCGATAGGTTGGCGGAAGTGCTTGTAAGAAGTAGCTACACTTCTGTTCTTCTGTGAGCGACATCGACGCATTGATTGCCTTGAGGAGAAGAGTATTGAATCTCTCAAGGAAGTCGTCCGGGTCGTCGCTCTCTTGCAACTGTATGTTTGCTAGCTGTCGGCCAATGTCAGCCCGATATTCACCGTCGTCGAGTTGATGCAACTGCTCAAGGGTCATCCACAGCTTTTTCGCCGTGTCGACACCGCTAATTTCGAGTCGCAAACCGTCAGAGACAGTCAGTCCAATAAGTCCTCTCGCTTTGGAGTCTTTGTTCTTGAAGTCTTTCCATTCCTTGAGATCCTCGATATACAGCGACATCTCCGCGGATGTCGGCGCAATCTTAGTACCTTCTCCATCGACTGTGACGACCGGTCGCTCCGGCTTTTCCGGCGCTTCGTCACTGATGACATGCAGTGCACCAATCGCCAGTAAGGCGTCTTTCACTGCATTCCTCCAGACAAAGTAATTGTCTTGTCCGACCAGAGTCGGCACCTTCGCTCCCGAAAGTGATTCCATGTCGATTTGTGAAGGTCGTTCGCTTGATACGTTCGAGTCGCTGGCGACGTCGACGAACCTGTATATCTAGATCGTCTAGGGCTTGTAACTAGGTCGTAATGGTCACAAACCTGGGCTCATAACCTGTTGAACGAAGAGACTTGATATCAATAAAGTAAGGTAGTACAATGTAACAGCGACCTGTCATAGCGACCTTTATATATAGCGACTAGCGGCGCGGACATAGAGAACACCCTCATGTCCACCTCTCAACATGTATCTTATGCGATTTGACGTGCTCGAGCAAAAGTCGGAGAGCGATCGACCGAACGAACGATACTTTTGAATCAGCTAGGCGAATCCTGATCAAGGACACTTGCTGATTCCAGGACCAAGATTACAATCTTTAACACTCGGTAGTAAGATCTTCCAAAATATGTCCGCCGTATCATCCACTCGCACGGCGTTCGGCCGAGTAGCCACCCGGTCGAGAGCTACCCCCAACCTCGCCCCCGCCTGTTCGAGGTGCAACTCGACCTCGTCCAAACCCAACCCTTACAACCCTCTCAACTCCTCAACACCACCTCCTTCATCTCCCAGCAGTACAAATGGTGATGGCCCGACGACGCATTTCGGGTTCAAGACCGTGCCCCAATCGGTCAAGGAATCGCTCGTCGGGCACGTCTTCACCTCGGTCTCCCCCAAGTACGACTTGATGAACGATTCCATGTCCCTAGGGATCCACCGGTTATGGAAAGAATCTTTCGTCAACGCCATGGTCCCTCGCCTTTCCCCCTCTGTGCATTCGAACGTGAATCAATCTATTCCCGGCTCGATCTCCGGGTGGGAGAACTGGACCCCGACGTTGAAGTGTTTGGACGTAGCAGGCGGGACGGGGGATATCGCTCTCAAGATCTTGGACAAGGCCAGGGAGAAGTACGGGAACAGGGATGTCGAGGTGGAGATTGTCGATCTGAACGAGGGGATGTTGCACGAGGGTCAGAAACGTGTGGCCAAGACCGTCTACTACAACAGTGAGTCTGCTCTTGGTGCCCGTCGCCTGATCCGCATACAAGGTACAACAAGCTAACCTCATATCCGCCTCGCCCTTGACCTGATCAACTACTCTAGCACCTCAAATCTCCTTTACCCACGGCAATGCCCAATCCCTCCCCAAACATATCCAAGACAACTCGATCGATATCTACACCATCGCCTTTGGGATCCGTAACTGTACCTCACTCGAGGCTGTTCTCAAAGAAGCTCACCGGGTACTGAAACCCGGTGGTCGATTGGGAGTCTTGGAGTTCGGCAAGGTCCAGAACCCCTTGTTCAAAGAGTAAGTCCCCGTCCGACGTGGTCTGGCTCTTACAGGCATTCCCCTTAATCGGACTAGGACGTAACAAGCTGACAGCATCCCCGTTGACAACTTCGCTCGCCCAGGGTGTACAAACAGTACTCCTTCAACTTTATCCCCCTGATGGGTCAACTCCTCGCCGGTGATCGGGACAGCTACCAGTACCTGATCGAATCCATCGAACGTTTCCCCACGCAGGTCGAGTTTGCCCGACTGTAAGCACTGCATCTCCACCTTTTCCTGCACCGATCCGATCTAGCCCTGCTGACCGGTTTGACGTCTCGTCCTGCTTCGTCAACACAGCGTACAGGAAGCCGGGTTCCAGACGGGTGAACTTAGGGAAGGAAAGGGTGGCGCGTGGACGGATTACACGAACGGGATCTGTACTTTCTGGCGGGGCGTCAAGGCTTGATGCGCCAGCTTGTATATCATATGAGATGTTGTTGGGGAACAGTACTCTACCTCTAGGTTTGAAGAAGCTCTATCTGTCGACGTCATAACCGGTAGGACGTAGCGAGGTGTCGGAGAGAGATGCCAAGGCGAATCAAGATATTGAGACGGAGCCAGCCAACACAATTGATGGAAAACATTTCAATGTATCAAACATCAAATGGGGATATGGTTTAGTTGGTATAACATTCCATTAGCATCTCAGCTTATCTTGGAAAGGTCTGGCGTTCGATTCGCCATTTCTCCATAGCTTTTTGTTCTTTTTCGAGGTTTGGGTGACACATCTGGATTGTCACATTTTGGCTCCTCAGTCAGGCTGCACTTCCTGGCCGTTTACCAAATTGTACCTTGTTTTGCTAACATAAATTTGCGGAATATGTATGGTGCAATGTCTCTTAAGCACATTATCTCACTGCCTCCGTTATGATAGACTCAACGTGAAACACGTCTGGACGCGCTTACCCGGAGTTCCAGGAATCCATCTCGTGAACACGCGCTGATTCGGCAACGACGGGAATCCCCGTTGAGATATTACACTAGCTCCATTTACTGGAAGGAATTACGCCGCTGTTGTGTCCATCGCATCAGTGTAATGGCTATCCTCGGAAAGGCAAAAAAACTACTAGGCAGGTAGATGCCATGCACGTGAATTTTAACATTCACGAAAGCTCTTTGCGCAATGCGCGCTCATGAATCCACGTTGGCAGTAGCATCTTACGGAGCATCGACCCATGTACATAATTACGTTCATTGTTTCCAAGCCACAATTATATATCCAATCGCGCTTTTGCAGCGACCAGCGCAAGCACGCTTGATATATATATCATCGATTCGTGCTGGATTGTCGCGACATCGATCCAAGCCGGCGCGAGTGGCGTGCATTTAGCTATATTCGGTCGTGCGTGCAAGTCTTCTTGACTGAGCCCATCGGCTCTTCCCTGATAGGAACACGTTTCGGAACCTTACTATAAGATCCGTGGCATTTCGTCTTGCGAATCTTGAGTTTGGTAGGTTTGTTGTGCATGATCATGGGCAGGACAGGAATTACAATAAAAGCAGCTTAGTTGCGAGGTTTGACGTCTTTTGGCGACTGAGGCCAGTCCCCTTTTACGGTAAGAAGCGTCGTTGACTTGATTTCCCTCGAAGAAGCGTTGTTAGCCGGCTTTCTGCCAGTCAAGGCGTCGTTCTGGCTGGTGGGCGTTTTCGTAATGCTGGTCAATCGTTTCACTTCATTCATGCCAACAGCTGAGGATCTGAGCATGTGTTCGCAAACATTCTCGATCTCAGCGAACTTAGCCCCTTCCAATCTCAGTGGTTCAGTACTGAGGCTGTCAATTTGTCTGCATTGCCCATGTATTGTCCTCAGAATGTGCTCTTCTAATTGCGCAAATATCTGGTAGAGATATACGCTGACAAGCGAGGCTTCTGGACAGACCCGATCACAAACTGCAAGGTCGAGTATAGATGAAAATTGTGTATGGCGCCCTCGATTTCCCTGCTTCAAAGAAAACATCACAGGCACGAACACCGAAACAACTCGTTTCATATCGCTCAAGCCAGGAGGTAGCTTGGCGATTATCGCGGAGAGAGCTACTATCAAGCGTATATCCCTCCTCAGCGTCAGAGGTACGAGCAAGGGGGACGACGATCGTCTAGTCCGGCTCTTACTCTACGTCGATCGGCTTGTACACCGTACCGTGAAAATTTGACCGAGTCGGTCAGATTCATGTTTAGCTTCCATTTCATCGAATCCTACCCCCCCTTCCTTTCCCATGATCTCGACATTGTGGATCAACCCGAAGGGGTACGGATCTTTGTCACTCGATCACGAAGCGCCATCCAGGCACGCCGCCAGTTGTTCGGTAGCCGCACGCTGAGATACGGTCGAAATCAGACCGACAGCTCCTATAGGCATATCAGTCTTCGCTTTCCAATCCCTGTTGGGTCGCACCAGAGTCGAGGAGCTAGAAGTTGAAAAGCTGTCTTTGATTATCACCAGCCTAGGCACGTGGCTCTAGTCTTCTGATCGGTCATGACCATAACAAAACTCTCATCTTGGCCAGGGACATACGAACTCGATGATGTATATATGCGTATTTATCGAAATAACCCTCACTGCTTATGCTTGTACATGTACCGGCTGCTCCTCCTTGACATCCTCCTTGACCTCGACCAAGGGCTCTTCCTGCGCCTTCCCCTCGCCCACGACACTCCCCTCGTCGGCCTTGCCTTCTACCATCGCATCCGCATCCGCACCCGCACCCTCACCTCCAACCTTGCCCTTCCTCCCCGCCTTCACCTTCAACCCCTGCCACTTCATCACATAATTCAACCCATCCGAATACGGCATCGGCATCCCATGACTATCCACATCTTCCCCCTGAGCTTTCCCATAGGACGTAGCTTGGGCCGGGAGGGAAGGGTGCCAAGCGCGACGTTTGGGAAGGTTGGGGCCGAAGAGGAATCGGCTTGGGAGTTGGGCAGAAGTTGAGGTGGAAGAGGGACTGGTGGCTGTGGAAGTGGAAGTGGAAGGAGAGGTGGAAGAAGGGGTGTTGTCGGTAGTGTAGTTGGTCCGGAGCGCACGAGTTTCCAGGTCGAAGAATCGGTCCTATCGTGCGTTACGTATTACGTCCGATTTAGACAAGACCAGATCCACGGCCCAAGCAGAGAAAAAAAAAATTGACTCACAAAAGCTTTCCTCGACGACCCTTCCGCTCCCTTGCCCTCCCCCGAAGAAGCGGAATAAGCAAACGCCTCTTCCTCTGCGGCAAAGTTGGCAATCTCGTTGATCGCCCTGAGCTTGATAAACTCCCTCGTAGCGATCTGGTACGCTTGAGAGAGGGTCTGGGAGTGGAAGTTGTGGAGGTTTATGGTAAAAGCGATGGTACTACAAGGTAAGACAATTGGGTGGTTAGATGGGTGATGGATGAAGATTGTGGGTGGGGTGAGGTCGCATGGCGGGGCGCAAAGACTCACTCTTCGACGGTAGGCACCTCTCCCCTCTGCCTCAACTCTGTCCACTGTTCCCCTTCTACCAATCCCGGTCTCGCCTCATCGATCGTCTGCCCCTCAATCAAACTAACAGGCCTGAGAGCCTCGAACGGGAAATCCATAAAGAACCTCCGCCTGATCTCATCTTCCTGGAACCTCAACTCCGGTACTTTGAGTTTAGGCGTCTTGGCCCGTTTAGCCCTATGAGTGACGTTGGTATCCTTCTTTTCTGGTGATGACGAGGATCGGTTGAAGAGGGAGAGGTCGACAGGAGCCAATCGACGGGGAGGTAAGGGTTGAGGAGGGTGTTCGAGGTAGGCTTGGTACCAGACGGGAGGGGTGATGGTCTGGGCTTGGAGGAGACGGGTGACCGCCTGTGGGACCTGAGTAGCCAACTTCCTGACCATCGTAGCGGGTGAGTCCGGATGAGTCTGTGTGGTATCGTACGATGTGAAGAGAGGAAAGTCGAGGTCGATAAAAATCCAAGTTGCAAGTTGTATCTTCCGACTTGTTTCTCCCCCTCGACCTCTCCTCGAAAGTGACAAATGAGTCACGTGATCTTCTGAGATTTCGACAAGTTCAGGGGGTAACGACTTTATATACAAACCACCACCCCCCCGTACTTTCCTCCCATCTCTTCGCGACAACCCGCCACCCCAGCACCCGAAACAGTGAAGAGTTGTAACCATGCCTAAATCCAAATCGACCCCGAAACCATCCGGCCGGGCGAACCCGCTGGCGAAAAAGAACAAGGTCAAACGTCCTCAAGTTCAGGTGACTTACGAGGACGGCCAATCGAGACCGAACGTCTTGAGCGTTCCCAGAAAAGCGAAAGACGTCAAGGGCAAGGGCAAGGACGTTGTTGAACCCGAGAGCGAGGTGGAAGAAGACGAAGATGAGGAGGAAGACGTAAAACCGATCATCGTCAAAGAGGAAGACGGCGATTTCCAGACCGCCTTCGAACAATCCGTCTCGTCCACCACATCCGGCACCTCTTCAGCGGATTTCATCATCATCGCCGGTTCATACGAAAAGAACCTCTACGGGATCGAAGGTACCTTCATCTCCCCGCTCAACGAGGACGGGACGCACGATACCGGGGCCGGACCCGAACTGAAGCTGGTCCCCAGTTTCATCTTCCCCGCGCATTTGGCTTGTATAAAATCCTTGTCGGTCAGCCAGGGAGCGAAGTGGTTGGTCACGGGGAGCGATGATGAGTATATCAAGGTCTGGGATCTCAGACGGAGAAAGGAGATCGGGATGCTTAATCAGCACGTCGGTCAGTCCAGGCTTTCGATCATCGCTCCTTCGCTACACGTCTCGTTCATATAAAACATCCACATCTCGCTGACCGTAAACCGATTCCCAATCTCTTTTCTTCTCATCTCCTAGGCACCATCACCTCCCTAACATTCCCCTCACCCTCCCACCTCCTCTCAACCTCGGAAGATGCCACCATCACAGTCTTCAGGACCCGAGACTGGGTACCCCTCCGGACGCTCAAAGGCCACACTGGGCGTGTCAACTCTGTAGACGTGCATCCTAGTGGGAAAGTAGCGTTGAGCGTGGGGAAAGACGGGACGTTGAGGATGTGGGATTTGATGAGAGGTCGGGGGGCTAGTAGTCTGGGTTTAGGGTTTGGTGCGCGTGCCTCATTCTGCGGGGTTTCGGTTTGAGAAGAATCAAAGGCTGATAGGACGATTTGCTCTTGACTCTGTTGGTCGGTCTATGTCGTGGAACCCATCCTCGCTTTAGAGGCGGAGCTGGTCCGATTCTCGAAATCGGGCAAGACGTTTGCCATCCTCGGGTACGGCGGGATCGAGATCTACACCATTGTGAGTAACGCCATGCTTTCATTCGACTGAATTTCAATATCGACAATCACGATTCACTAACGACTGCCCCTATTCTCCTACATTTGCTTTCGCTCGCCACTCAGGGCATGAAAAAAGTAGCTACCCTGACCCACCCGAAACGAAAACGCCTGCACGATATCCGATTCGGATCCGTCACCTCGCCCGAAGGGGAAGACGTCGAGCTGCTTTTCACGGGAACTGAGGATGGCAAGGTCTATACGTGGGAGTTGAAGGAAGATCGGGCCGAGCAGGTAGACGGCGAGGGTGAGGGCGAGGGCGCGGGCGAGGTGTGCGTGTTAAAGGGGATCTTTGGGGGGCATTCTAACAGGTAAGTTGGGGTGGTCCAGGTCTAATCGACCGCGTTGATAAATTCCTAACGCTTTGGTCAACGTGGCGTGCATCATAATTACGACAGGGTAAAGAACGTCGACTTTTTGATTACAAAACGACCTTCCCCACACTCTCCCTTACCCATAATCGTCACCGTTTCCTCCGACGGCAAGATGAACGTGCACGACGTCACTGCCATCTTCAAGATCTCATCAACGGATCAAGAGATCGAGCCCATGGCGAGTTATGATACGGCAGGGAGCCGGCTGGTCTGTTGCCGCGTTGCCGAGGTCAAGCGGACAGTCAAGCAGATCAAGCAGGAGGCAGATGTCAAGGCTGAACAGGTCAAGAAGGAGGAGCCTGGTTCAGGCGCACAGCTGAGGTTCAAGGACGACGATGGTGGCGATGACGAGGACGGGAACGGGGATGATGGTGCAGAGGTGGATGGGATGGACGAGGACGAAGTGGAGCAAGAGGAAGAGGACGAGGAGGAAGAAGAGCTTGAAGACGAAGTGGAAGAGGAGTAGACTGACCTGTACCAAGATGGCAAAAAGGATCACTTTTTCGTCTGCAATAAATAAGGCAACTTTGCGCATCACGCGACGTATTCAAGCATCTTTTCACCTAATTCGCGCATTCTTGTGCGCATACGAGCATCTTTTCTGCGCACATGAGGATATTTTTGCTCCATTTGCACATTTTCCCGTCGAGCAAGCGGTTTACGCTCTGGTTTATCATTTATCAATCTATGACTTGCATTGACGACCCGGGCGACTATCGGATCTCGCTTGTTACAAGTTCAAGGATCTCGGTCGTCGTCTTGCCTACATTCTTCATATCCTTGGAAATGCTCGGCCAGAGTTGGCCGTGTTTAGGTTCGGCCGCTGCGCATTTGGTTATCACCTCGTCTTGGCGTTCCTGTTCAAAACAACGTCAGATTGGATGAGCCTCGGTGTCCATCGTTGAATCATAGGGACAGGACCGACAGACCTTCTCCCCATGCTGACGCTCAAACTTCAGCCACCAGGCCCACAAATCTCCGTTATCCTTGTCCGCATTGACAGCTCGACCCAGCCACAGTCTCGCCTTCTCGATCTTGCGCTCGGCCCAGAACAATCGGCCAATCGCGCAAATGACGATCGGGTGTTCGCTCGACTTTTTGATGGCATCGACCGACTTGCCTTTTCGACCGGAACCGGGCTCCATCCAGATGGCCATGTTCCACAGGATACCAGAGACGGGGCAATCCTGTTGCGCTCGAGCCAGCATAGTCTTGGCTTGTCCGGCACTTCCCGCTCGCTCTTCCACCTTGATCGATTCTGCCCAGAGCTCTTCGCTCTTGGGGTTTTGCATTCGAGCCTTCTCGAGCAGTGCTCGGGCCTTGATCGTGATGCCGGCCTTTTCTTCCAACCTCGATGACAGGATCCAAAGCGGGATCGACTTGGGGCAAGCCTTGACACCCTTGCTGTACGCCTCTCGTGCGCCCGGAATGTTGTCCTTGTCCTCGTTGATCTGTCCCTTCATCATGTACAGCTTGTCAAAGTGGCTAAACTTGACGATGGCCTCGTCCAGCGTTTTGATAGCTTCGTCCGGCTTGCCTAGCTGGCGTAGTAGATGAGCAGATTTCATCCAGATCTGCGACGTCAATGCGGATCGTTAGCTCCTGCTTCCTAGAATACACGGGCAAACGCCCTCTGCTCACCCTATCGGTATCGGCCTCTGTCCTAGCCTTCTCCAACACTTGCATAGCGGCTTCCATCTGCCCGGTCTCGGCAGCGAGCTTGGCGGCCGCCAACCAGATAGACTCGCTGTCGGGGTTCTGCTCGAACGCTCGCGTAAGGACATCCCTGGCTCCGCCTATATCTCCGGCCAGCCACTTTTCTTTGGCAGCCATAAGCCACAGCACCTCTGCTCGAGGACAGTACTCGACGGCCTTTGCAAGGAGCTCTTGCAGCGCCTCCCTGATGCACAGTAATACTTTTGAGCAAATCGTCATTGCAGAACTAGCCAGCTCGATACTCACGGTGTTCCATGCTCCTTTTCGAAATCGGCAGCTGCTCTCCAAACAGCCTTTTTCGTGGGAAAGACCTGAATTGTGTAGGCATAGATCCCTCGGGCGCATTCGATGAACCCTCGGCCCGTCGCACTCTCAGCGTCATCCAGCCATACGGCCTGCCTGTCTTCCTCCTCAACGTCGAGGTGCAGAGTAGCCTTCAAGATTGCCTGGGCGGTTGCCGGACTTCCCTCCGTCTCGCATTTTTCTGCTTCCTTCATCCATTGTTCTCGGGTCATGATGACGTTGTGCTTCGTCAGACTCTTGACCGCCAATGCGATCAGCTTATCGACCGTCTCCTTGCTTCCGTCCTGTTCTCGCAAACGTCCTCCTGCGATCCAGATCTCGTGACTCGTAGGGATCATCTTGTGGGCCCTGTTGAGAACCTTTTGCGCGTTTTCTGGCGTTTCCAGCCTGGCCAGCGTCAACCAGAGCTCGACCGATTGAGGAATGACCTCGACGGCTCGACCCAGCAAGATACGAGCGTCATCAGGGTCGTCCTCCAGGTTGACAACCTCTTTCCAGAGCTTGACCGAGTTGGGAATGTATTCGAGAGCTACATTTGCGCGAATCAGCTCTTCCATCCTAGCTGTATTATGATACCGACGATGCTCACCTTTTCTCAGTACTCGCTTCTTCGCCTTGACATCGATCTCCAGGTCGGAAGCCTTCAGCCAAATCTTGACAGACTGCGGCAAGTGTTGTACCGCCTTGGCAAGGATGACCTTGGCGTTCTCCGGCGTCTGACAAGGACGAGTAACGGCTCGATCAGCCTCCCATTGTCAATGTCGCAAAGCTGTGTAGACGCAAATTCCGGCTTACATTGAGCTCGGCAGCGTGGAACCAGATATCCTCATTCTTCGGACACTGCTCACAACCCTGAGCGATGATCCTCCGCGCAGCAACCATCTTCTTTGCATGGACTACCGGAATCAAGCAAAGACTCTATCAGCTCGTGTGCACGAATGAGGCGTCTAGTCGAAGACTCACCTTCGAGCGAGGCTGCAGCAATCCAACCGGGTGCGTGTTTCGGGTTGCTCTTGATGACCGAGTCCAGCAACTGTCTCGCCCGCTTGATATCACTAGATTCGAGACCGCTCATTGTCAGTAGCTGTTCTATTTCCTCGTATCAAGGGCAGGACTCACCCGATCTGAGCATCACTCTGCAACACCTGACTGTTCAAGGCCGTCATATACCCCCTAGGGTCCACCGTCGAGCTCAACCCACTGGCCGAAGCATCCTTGGACGCCTGATCCAGTTGCAATGACAAGACCCTATCTCTCGCCTGTCCGATCCCCACCAGATCCGTCTCCGTCCCCTGGATCAGAGCGGGGGTATTAAACCCTTCCCCTGACATTTGTTTCTCGTCGAGTTCGTTCACCGTCGCGTTCTGCGCAACGGCCCCGGCTAGGATGGTATCCGAGACGGCGTAGGATTTCCCATTCCCATTCTCCGCCATCCTCAAGTTCGCCTTTCTCCTCCTCCTAGTAAGATCCCCCACCTCGGGTAAGTTCTCCCACTCGTTATCCGTCACATCGCTCAACCCTCTTTTCAAGTCTGCAAACTTGACGTCCAATTTCACGTTCGTCGCCCTTTCCTTGGCCAGCTCCTCCGCTTCGATAGCTTCTCTCCGTGCTTTTCTTCTGCCTTCCATGTGCGATTCCACCGAGTCCCAGATGGCATCGGCTTCGGCATCGTCGGCTTCGTAGACTGTTCCTGCAAAGAGGTTGCTCTCGTCGTCCGGATCTCCAAAGGCTTCTTCCTCTTCTTCTCCTCGTTTCGCTTTGGCTTCGCTGTAATGCGGAAAGATAAGGACGAGCGGAACAAGTGAGCTCGATATTATCTTACGGCGGCGGGATGCTGGTCAGTTTCAGAGACTCACGCGATAGCTTCAGCACTTGGTCCTTCTCGAGCAGGTCCGATATCCGATCGAGTCGTAAATCCAGAAGCTCTAAAGAATGCCCCAGATACATTAGCTCCAAGTTCTTTGCTATATTTTCCCTACCCGTAGACTCAAACTCACCCTCGACCGAGACCAGCTACATAACTAGCAGGAGCCGCCAACTATCACATCATATAGCAACGCAGAACATCCAATAACTTATCAGCTCTTTGACGATCCCCACGATAACAAGGATAACGCTGAACTTACGTGCAAGAACGCATACTTGTCCTTATTCTGGTTCAACCCCGCACGCAAAGACATCTTGGACTAAACCTAGTTGATGGGAGGGCAAGGGTGGCGGGGAAGACCGAAGTCCTTTTGTGACCGGGAGTGCGAGATGCTTTTTGCGAGCTCGTCGTGCTTGATAGGTCGGGTCGGATCTTCGAAGGCCCCGCTGGCTGTGAGATACAGGCTACCACTCTTCGCTCCTGTAGTATTATCAAAATGTAGACCTGTAGAGGGGACCGAGCACGACTAGCGTTGTCGAATACCAGAACATCGAACATCATCTTGCATACTGAATGCCCTCAAGCTGAGATGAAAGCGAGCGGACATCAGATTATCATCGCATGTCCGTGTATGAGCTGCACCCTGCCCTCACCCGTCATTCAAGACATTCAACAACTTGTACATACCTCACCCACCGCACCTCTGCTTTTCAGACAACATCAGCCTTACCCTTGTCATTCACATAGACTATAGATCCTATAGACGTATCTTTAGATCGGTCGATCACATACAAGTGGATTGATCCGCCGAGATCCTACTTTTTGCCGGCGACATATCGCTCCTTTACTTCGACCTTCAACCGGCACGACCTTCTCCGATCGACGTCTCTCCTCCAATACTACACAAATAGCCTACACCCACTCCTTCCAAATCCTCTACAAAATCTCTTGGAATCAACCTCAACCTGCATGGCACCTACCTAATCGATCTACCGGTCCCCGACCTCCACCCCGCTCAATCCCAACCTTCTCCTCCACCTACAAGAAAGCCTCGATCGGAAGGCTTTCCGTCCCACCTCCTCGATGCCTAGTCGACTTCGTCGGACCCGCTCGTCCGCCTTTCGGGCCCATGCGATCTCATCACCGAACAAGACGGCAGGAAGACCGGCCAAGAAGTTGAAGCTCGATCGATCGGGGGTCTCGGTTTCGGCCAAGTCCGTCCTCGAGGGTTCCGATGTCGACGAAGACGACGACGAGAACATAGACGAGGACGAAGATGAGAACGAGGATGAGGCCGATGGAGATGATGATGTGGACGAAGAATCCAACTCCGACGAAGGTCAAGAAAACATCGACCCCACTACCGACGCATCTTCGGTCAACCCCGGCGCCGGTCCTAGCCGTCGTCGATTACGCAACGGCAAGAACGTCCTCAAACGACTTCGATCTCGCCGACAACGACGCCCTGCAGCTCTTACCACAGCTTCTGCATACAATCACAGTTACAGTCCGAGGAAGAGGAAACGGGACGATCCGGAGTATACCGACGAGGACGAAGATGACGAGGACCGCGCGAGTGGGGAAGAGTATACCGACGACGAGGCCGAAGTCGGGTCGGACGAGCAGGCCGAAGCAGGGCTTGGGGAAGGGATCGAAGAGGAAGATGATGAAGAAGAGGATGTGGATGTGGACGATTCTGCCGAACCCGATTATATCGACGAGAGTGAGTGACACCCTTCCCCCTCCTCCATAATCGAAATTTGTTTACTTTGTCGTGCGAGATTTACACTTTCTGACGCGGATCATCTTGCAATTTCGATCGACGTCCATCCGGGAATTACCCCTATTTCCCGAAAACCATCTTTTCGACGGCATTACAATCACCGTTGCCGTCTAACGATCGGACTTGCAGATGATGAACATTTGCTAAGAGAAGCACCTGCGTGGACGTTACGTCGTCTGAAAAAAGCCGAGCTGAAGAGGTTGTGGTTGGTAGCCGGGCTTTGGGACGCGGAGGACGGGATGGGCGGGGATGAGGAGGGTGAGGTAGCGGATGGGTTGACTAAAGATGTTCTGGTCGAGGGGATCATCAAGGCTGTAAGTCCAGCCGTATTATGTGACAAGGAAGTCATTCGAACTGATATCGTGTCGTACGGGCGGTGACAGAGACCTCCTTCGTCGGCTTCTACCGCTTCTTCGTCGACCCGTCGGATAGCGAAACTCCCTCCTGGCACTCGCGATTCAGTATCAAGAGATAGCAAGTACAATACGCCGGTCTACGAATCTCCTGCCTCGGTTGAGGGAGAAGACGACGACGATGATGGCGAGGAACAACCGAGTCAAGGCACCTCCGCCAGCCAAGGTTCGAGAGGTCAAGGTCGATCTCGCTTGAATGGAAACGCGGAGAACAGGTCGATCGCCTCGTTGAGAAACGGCAACAGGACTCGTCACAGCACAGCCTCAGCTGTCAATTCTCAAGACAACAAGCGGGCTCATTTCGATGTCAACCTTCAAAGCCCCGCTCAGACTTACCGACATCGACGTGGATCACATGCGTCTTCTGCAGCGAGCTCGTCGGTGGCGAGCCGGGATGGGTCGCCGAAACGAAACGGCGTGCCTTTAACCCCTCGACCTCTGGGAAGACGAGGTAAGGGCTCTAGGAAGAGCGTCAACTTTGATGAAGAGGCCGACGAGGCGGCTAGCGAATCGGGTTCCGTCAGTACCGCGGGTGACGAAGACGATAGTCACGATGATCACGTGCGGACTCGACAGAACGGAAGGTCATTAGGGAAGCGGGGCAGTAGAGCGAGCTTGGAGATGATTCAGGATGAAGATGAAGACCCTTCCGCAGCGACGGGTAAGACGGTGGGGAAGAGGAGATCGAGCTTGATCCGACATACGCCAGCTAGGAGAGCTGCTAGGAAGGCCGTCCGGGCCATGCACGACCAGTTGGATACGGACGAGGATGAGAATATGGAAGCGACCGATGTGGAAGGGAGCGAAGATGATAGCCCCTTAGCTGGTTCAGATGACCCTACTCCTCGACCCAACGGGGGTAGGATCGCCACGCGAGCACGATCGTCGACGATGCAGAGCAACGATTCGTCGCCCTTGAGGAGGAGAAATCGTCGACTGTCTACGTCTACACTGCTCACTTCACCAGAGACGGATTCCAGTAGAAGAAGTAGCCTGACAAGCCTCGGACGATCTAGCGATGATGAAGAGCAACAGGCGAGTTCTTCCCAACAGTCGGCTCGGCGTCGAAAGAACCTGAAACGGCCGAACAAGCGGAGAGATAGCGGATACAACCTGAGGAGGAACGATAGTAGTGGTTTCGACCTCGATGCTCGGTTGGGAGGAATCGATCTGACGGACGACGATGATACCGCTATGGAGGCAGACAAGGTGGATAGGAATGAAGATGTCGAGATGACCGAACAGATGTCGGAGGATACCGAGATGCCGGATGACAGCGCTCACGAGGACGAGCATGGAGAAGATGGGATATCTGGTAAGCCGGCCTCGTTTCGCGATTTTTGCAAAGATCAGTCCACTTATAGCTGGGTCATACAGACGAGATGCTGGCTACGGCGACGCAAGCTACGCTTCGGAAGTTGAAAAAGGCAGTGTTGGTCGAAATGTGTGAGGCGAGGGAGCTTGATACGGAGGGCACCAAGGAGCAATTGTCACAATGGCTCATTGAATGGGTATGTCGACATGGTCACTGGTACAATCCTCCCAGTCGGCTTACGAGCGTCGATGTGTTTCTAGAGGGACTCTACATCACGCTCGACCTCTTCAGCGTCTACCGCTCGGCCAGAAACCCCGACCAATGAGTCGTCTCCGGCTACGAAGACCCATTCAGGCCGGAAGAAAATTTCGGTTCCGAAGCTCCTTCAAGACCATAGCGAGGTTGCAGATCCGAATACGCCAGCTCACTCGCACGGGGATACAAAAGAGGATGTAGAGGCGGACGGAGCGCTCGACTTGGAAGAGTTGGGTCTGGTGGACAAGGAGATTCCTGTCGAGCAGATCCAGAAGGGAGACAAGATCGGGAGTGGAGGTTTCAAGGAGTGAGTTCACGACCTATCGCATGTGTCAGCCTGTTGCTGATTTTCGCTTGCGGCATACCTAGCGTATTCATCGGGAAGCTGAGGGGCCGTGTCAAGGTGGCCGTATGCGAGTTCCGAGACGAGTTGAGCGAGAGTACGTGCGACTGGGAGGCTTCTTCTCTCCGTCCCTAGCTGACCCTTGCAAACATAGTGGACATCCGAGAACTCAAATTGTTGGCGGAATTCAAGCATCCCAATATCGTCCGGCTCGTGAGTGATGGTAATACTTTCGCGATGTCTTGGTTTGCCAACGACTTTTCACTATAGCTCGGTATTGCCATTCCCGAGCGATCTTTACACGTCCCATGCATGGTGGTGACAGAATTGTGCGAAAAGGGAGATCTGTTTGATTACATCGTAGGTCCAAACAAGCAGAAAAAATTGGAATGTGCGACTCAACACGAGAAACGATATCGCTACAGCGAAACGTGGATCTCCCACCCGTCAACAAGGTGGTAAGTCCATCCCCAGCGCAGAGTGTGTCGACTCAAGCTGACGTAGAATCCCTCTTTCAGCTCAAGATGATGTTGGACATCGCTCAAGGATTGACCTATCTGCACGATCGAAATCCCCGAGTGATACATCGAGATGTAAGTTAATCGCAATCAGCCGCCCTCGATGCGTCTAATTGATACTGCCGTGCCACAGTGCAAATCGTCCAACATCCTAATCACCAACCGAGGAGTCTGCAAGGTCGGCGATTTCGGTCTAGCTCGAGTGAAAAACACGACTCGAAGCGTGATTCGATCACTCGTCGGCACCGTCAACTGGCAAGCTCCAGAACTCTGGAGTCCTAAACCGCGCTACGACTACAAGGTAGATGTATTCAGCTGTGCAATGGTCTTTTGGGAGATGCTAGCAGGCTGGTTGACGGACAAGGTGAGTTTACGCATGCGGGAACGTCTGCTCCGCCATAATTGACCTGAAGACGGCGGCACAGAAAAAGTACCCGTGGGAGGGCGAAAATGAACACTGGATCTACCTCAATGTAGGCCAGAATAAAGTCAGGTGCGTTCGGTACAAAAGGGCAACATGTCGCCATGTCGCTCACCTATCTCTCCTATATACAGACCTGAAACAGAACCATTGACCGAACATTGGGGATCCGACCTGGTTAATCTCATGGAACGTATGTGGCATCATGACCCGAACGAAAGACCTCTGATGAGCGATGTGGTGGACGATCTCACCGCCATCATGGAAGCACGTCGCCGTGCGTAAGAGCAGACGCCAATTTTCAACTTCACTCACATGACATGGCCTCCAAATCGAACCGACTTCACCGCCATCGACAACAAGCATTAGGAAAAGAGCACTGACAATGTAGCACTAGACATATCTGCAACGAGAGAATGTATCCATCGAATGAGCACAAACACTTGATACAATGGTGAAAATGTTGCATCTGGACGCCCAGGTCAAGCGGGCCCTTGTGCCAGTCCCTTCATGGGTACACCTGTCTTCGTGTATGATCGAGTAGCTGTAGACGAAAGTCAAGTAGCTAATGCGCCTCTCTCCTTCCGGAATTCATCGCACATTGGAGGCGGGCTCGGAGTGTCGAGCAGGAAGGCGTATGCACCGCATGTTTGCAAGCTGTCGACATATACATACATAACTCTACGCGCGTTACTGGTCGTGATCGTTATAGCAAAGAGCTTTCGTGAGGCATTAGGAGGATGCTATCCCAAAGGCTACCAGCGGCCAGGCCGTATCAATGCTGCGACTCTAAGTGCCATACTGTTCTTTCAGGACTTTAGCGGAATGTTCTGCCTTCCAATCCTGATCTCCATCACGTTCCCTTTCCAGAAGCGGTTTCCAGTACTTGAGCAAGGCCTCGCGAGCTCCGTCCCAGACTGTCAAAACGGATGGCGGAAGGTCAATTGCGTGCTTTTGGACAGCTCCGTTCTAGTGGCTTACAGTGCGTCTTGCTGCCGTGTCCACAATCGCACTTGGATACAAAGACAAAGTCCGGTAAACAGAAAGTCGTCCGAACTGGCTCTATAGGGCCGGCAAAGCACCAAGAGTGGTCGTCTCCGAGAGGTCCTAGATAGGGCGAGATCAAAATCCTCGTGTCGCGGCCATAACCAAACACTGATAGATAAGGAAAGCTCTTGACCAGGCTGACGATGGTCTCAGCCGCACTGACAGGCGACCCATGTGATTTCGGTCCCCCGACCCGACTCGTTTTTCCACCGATAGCCCACTCGAGTTCAGGGTCCATGCCATAGGCAGGAAAGAGCTCGTTGCCCAGAACGTCCATAGTTGTGATTCCACCTTCACCACTGTAATCTTCGGCCGGATCGCAAATTAGAGTGACTTTAGGGTGAGTGTCCAGCGGTACTTCCGGCTCTCTTGCGGCGTAGTATCCATCGACGATAAGATGGCCCGTGCGAAAACTAGCCGAGAAGATCCGCAGGTCAGCTTACTTGAACTAACCGGTTCGCGGTCAATAATTACCTACAGTTTGGATAGGTTTCCAAGATTTCCCATCCGGCGATTCCGAACCGTCAGGATCCCGATCTTAGGAAGTAACTCTTCTCTCCAGTACGAATAGGTATTCTGAAATTTGTCGTAATCATCGACATCTTTCGGATCCCAAAAAAGATCACTCTTGGCAGCCATCGTGCACAACATCGCGAGATGTCGGAAATGGGTGATTCGGTCGATCTCGCCTGCGTCATAAGCCTCCCCGGCGTCCACATAAAGCTCTTGGATCAGGTTATAGGACGACAGCGCCGGGGATTTGCAAAAGTCGCTTAGAGTTTCGCCATCCAGTAGAGTGACCCTGCTATAGAGCAGAGGGATTGCTGAGACATGGAAGAACTTGGCCGTGGTAAGAATGGGAAGAATGGGCCAGTGAGCCAATCCATGCTCTTCACGCGAAGCAATGTATTGCTCGTCGGTTTCGCATTCTGCCCATTTGCTCCGGAAAGCAACAAGCTCCTCGTGCCTTTCGGCGACATAGCATTCGATGATCATGAGGAGTATCTCAGGTGGAAGTGGGCAGTCTGCCATAGTCTGGCTGATGATGGCCCTCTCCTCTTCCTTCTGCTTTGCCCTTCGTCCGGCCAATAACATGGCCATGAGTCCGTCCATCGCTCGTGAGCGCTCCTATCAGCGGTCGTCGCTGAAAGGCAGCGAAAGGATGGCAATGCCGACAGATAACGCCGGTGAGAAGTCGAGTAGCTAGGGTAAATCGGTGGGCTGAATGCTCTACTTCATGATATACGATGTGATCTAAACATCGCTTATGGCATATAGCACATGTGAGAGATTGGCAGAGTCGATCAAGATACAACTTGGAGGATCACAGCCGTGAGGTTGTGTTGACGGCAGACGATAAGTCTACGGTCCAAACGTGCTTTGGTCAAAGTATATCAATGGTGGTTCTCTGATCTACGACTTCTACGACGTGCACACTCAGATATTGAGCTCGACGAGCTATGTGGTGGCAGCCTAGAGATAGGTAGCGATCCTTTGAAGAACTTCTGTGTCGAGCGGTTGTCGAATCGATATGGAGACGGCATGACCTGATTGTTGAATCGATTGCGAAGTTAGTACGGAGCAGTACAAGCGTTCTACCTTGACACACGCACATGCATATGGACTGGGCTACATCGCCAGCATCCTCTTCATGACAATCCGAAGATGCTATTCCAAGTTTTCCCTGCGGGGATCTCCCAAACTGTGTTCGATCAGAGAAGGCAATCCCGAAGTCAGCAGTGAAAATCAGTCACACGCTTCGTTCGTCAAAACCTGCTTACACTTCGTGATGTCCCCATTTCCGCACGAGCAGTCGGACCGGAACTCCATCCTGGGTAGCGCTGGAGAGGAGAGATCCGGTGAGGGAGGCGCTTCACCGAAACAGAAGCTATGATCATTTCCGTCCTCCCCAAGGTAAGGACTGATGACGAAATGATTGAAACCATTCCAGACGCGTCCATACGTCCTGACGATGGCAGAGATGAGCCCCCACGCATGGGCGGCCTCGTCCCAGGTTCCCGAGCGCTTTTCCCACCGGTTTTTCCAACCAATCTCGAGCAGGAAATTCGAAGGATTGCCATGGGTAATGTAAAGTGGCATCTTTATTAGGTTAGAGCTCCTGGAACCCTCCACAGGCTGGCACCTCAATGTGACGGATTTGTGTTGACCCACGAGAGGAATGTGGATCCTCTGCCCGGTCTGACCGATCTGCTCACGAGGCATGCGATGGAGCACGTATCCATCGATTCGGAGATGCTCTATGGAAAATCTAATGATTGAAGAGTACACGCTCAGCCTGTAGCTTGAAAGGTCACATTTACCTCACTCACATTGAGCACAAGCTTGCAGCCAATGCGTAATCGTAGCCTCCCTTTAGATGGACCTGATTCACCCTCGGGCGCTGCTCCGCCCATCTTTCCAACAATATGGCGAAGAAGTCGTCACAAGAAGAGCCCAGATCCTGAGACGAATTGTTGATGGCACTTGACAGCATCATCATCTGTATTGTACGTCTGTCGATGATTTCCGCAAGATCCGACTGCAGTTCTGAGACTTTCTCGATCTGGAGCTTCTTCAGGTGACGATACGAGGAAATATGCGGCTTGAAAAGGAAACTCGACAAAGTATATAAGGGTTTGACCAAGACGTCCGTATAGAGCAGTGGAATCGTCGTTTGAAGAAACCATTTAGACAAGGTGAGAATGGGTAAGACCGGATATTGCACTCCAGTTGATTGCGCCATCTCCACCTCATGAGCCCTTGCCGCGATGTAGCACTCGAGAACGATGTGGAGAACTTCGTACGGTAAAGCCGGCTGCCGGTCGGATGAAGGCACCATCAGGCATGGATCGTTCAGAGTACCCATGTCAAAGGTGAATATCTGAAAAGTCATAGATGTGATTGTCGAGAAAACGTTTATATAATAGAATACGTTTTCCAGACAATGGCTCGCTGACTTACCTGTTTCGACGCAATGAAATCGGAGATTCCCAGGCCTCTGCCGGTTTGAGATGTCAACCAGGAAATTCAGGAAACGATAAATTCGTGGTGCGAGTGAATTTCTGTAGATCTGTAGTGATCGCTAGTGGCTAGTGGATTGCACCGACTAACAAGAAGCAAGAGATCCGTTGAGGTCAGAGACGATGTTTTGAGTTGTCTCGTGGGTCTCGAGGATCGTCGCGACGATGATTCATCATCCATTTACACGGTCTTCGATCTTTGATCATGGTGACGTCATCGATTAGCTCATCAAGAAGGTGAAACGTGAAACGCGGATCACGCTTTGGCGTTTCTCTAACGTTTGCTGACGCGTGCGTTGCACGTCCATAACGTTTTGCACCCACGGCACTTGCCTCTCACTTGTCTCGCTCCAGATATAACATATATATTACCGTTCTCAGCATTTCTGACATCTCCGTTTGAGCTCGAATCGTGGTGGGCATCAAATTCATGTGATATGCCATTCTTCTTTCAGTGATATGGGCTACGGGAGGATATGGGCCATAGGCAGATGAAGCCGGTCGCTTTTGAGTAGACACTTTCGCGCAAAATTAATGCACGATGAGACACAGGTTGAAGCGAAGCCGAGCGGTGTGAGAGACGCAGAGATTATAGCGATTACTGCAGATCGGAGAATCGATCTGCGCAAGACAGAATCGCGTTCCCCGAGCGAACGACTACGAGATTATACAGTGAGATAGATGTATGAGTACAGTCGCGTAGACCACATGACCCCGTCCCCAAGGTAGCATAAATCGAGACGGTGGAACCTCAGGGGCATATCAAGACAGTCTATGTTAGAGCAACGTCTCGAAGGCGAGCTGCATGGGCATGTCCAGGTCATCCCAGTCTAATGGCGTTTTTTTGACTTTCAACATATCAGTGCAGTATCATCGCCGTCACCCGCAAACTCTTGCTACGATGTCGACTGCCTTTCGATCGCATTGACTGCGATGATGCTGATAATCGGGCCAGCCGATTTCCAACACGAACCGAGGCTTGTGGGGAGTTGGAGGCGTTTTCGGGAATTGGTAGAGGGGAAACAACCCCCCGTAATGTTCAGCAGAGCTGCACCGTACCGTAATCGCCTGATATTCATCGAATCGTACCTGCGGAAGCTCTCGCAGTACCGTATTCAAACCTTCGATGACCTGAACAAGAAAAAGGTAGTACTACTGCACACAGGTCAAGAGGGCTTCCTACCCATAACTCCAGGTAAGATTCATACACTTTATCGTCTCCATTTACCTCGAATCCGGGACTTCGGATCGATCGGATCGCCGACGTCTCGTTGCTTATATAATCGTGACGACGGTAACAAGTTGAATCATCTGATCGGCTGATCCTTCGTCGGCAACGCCCCGTCGTTCTGATCGGTTAGAATAAGGTTCAAGATTGAAACGCGGATCGATTTCGACGCTAACCTTCAAGGTTACTTGCGCCTCTCCAGGTCTTCAATGACGGTCTTAGAACCGAAAGCTTGAGGGTGTTAATAGGACGGGAAATAATCCATGTGCTAACAAAGCCTCTCGAAGATTCGTTGTATCAGCGAGGGCAGTTGGCGGTTGAAAATTGATACGTATCGTCCTGCTCCTTCGACCATACATGGCGATACCAGCTTTTTGGCATCTCCGAGGTTCCGATTGGCAGCAAGAAGTATTAGGGTTTATATTGGGCACCATTATATCAGAGTACCGAGATCGAATGGTAGCGCTTTGTAATGCTCATGTAAGGAGGTCGCTTTAACATGTCGATACAACAATAATAATGTAGATACTTTCGACCGATGGGTCTCGCAAGGTTCTGTTTGTACACCATGCTAAGGCAGAAGAAAACCGCCGCTTTAAAGGTTTAAAAAGCTCGAGCATATTGTTTATCCTGGTAGTACCTAAATAATGAATCGTTTTTCAATCGTACACCGAATCCCTCCACTCGATTTCCATGGCGGCTTGGAGGGCTTCAACTAGGCCATCCCAGACTATGTCAAATAGGCTAATCGGTTAGTAGGGAAATGGAAGACATCCTGTACGACCAATTTCACCTACAATGTGTACGGTCCCCGCCGTAGCAGTGACATCCGGTAGCGAAATCGATGGAAGGAAATCCAGGGGGAACGGCGATAGCTTCAGGCATTACTCGCCCAAAACACCATTTGTGGGATCCGTGTACCTGTCCAAGGAAGGGTTGGATAGTGATTGTCTCGATGGGTCCGTGGCGTTTGCAAAAGCTGCTCAAGAGTTGCGGGACGATGTCGGTGGCGCGCCGAGGACCCTTTCCTAGTAAACGGTGACTGGGTCGACGTGGGCCTTCCCACCCGATTTGGAGTTCAAGTTTTGATAGCGTCTGGGCATCTTTTCTAAGTTCGCAGTAGGTCTGTGGATAAAAGTTGTAAGAGCCGTCATTCCGGTAAGAGAGAGTAGGATTGCAAATCAGAGTGATTTTCTGGCAGACACCAAAAGGAATGGGGGAATCCTTGCTGCCAGTTGGAAAGTGGAAGTCTTCGACTACAAGGTGGTGCACCTCAAATCTGTCATATTTTGAGCTCTTCAGTACGGATGCACGTTTGCGAGTAGATCTTCAGGCTTCACTAACAGACGAAGCAACTTCCTGACTGCTTGTACAAGGGTTCCTCCGATCTTCATGACCTTAATTGGCAGACGGGCCTTTCGAAGCCGTATGTTTCGAAATTCGACGATCGAGGATTCCAGGCCCGCGCGAAGGCATGGGTCCTTCATGACAGAATTCAACGTGAACTGCATCTCACGATCGCTTATAGCCTTGTTCAGGCCGTCCAGATCACTACCCTCTCCGACGTCTCGAAGGTGTAGGACCTGGATGTAGTTGAAGGAAGCGATAGCCGGTCCCTCCAAGAAAGTGACGAATTTCGAGTTCCCGATGGTGACGACCTTTCGATAAAGCAAGGGTATGGCCATGTCGTAGAACAATCTGCAGGTCTGTAGGATCGGTAAGACCGACCACTCGGCAGGCAGCTCCCTGCATCTAGTTCTGAACATCTCCCTTTTTTTGTCGAGTGCGTCGTTTTCCATTTCTTCGAGGCGGAAGCGAGTGTAGAATTTGATCACAATATGGAGAACGTCGCTGGGAAGCGCGATATCCGGTTGCCAGTTGGGGTGATCGACATTCGGAACCACTGCCAGGGTAGTCGATATAGCTGTCATATCGCTAGATGAAGAGGCATTGCGCCGATAACGCAACCACTTAGCGGCTGGGTCACTGCACCGCAAACAAAAGGCAAGCACACCCACTCGTACTGTTTGGCCTGGAAGGTGACGGACGATTTACGATGTACTGAGCGTCTGAGAGCGAATCGCTATTGGGACTGTTGAGCCAGAGTCGGGGCCGTGGATAAACTAAGCTGACTATATTATGTCATAAGATCTTATTACCACGTCGAGATTAGATTAGGATTCAAGGATAACGGTCTATATATCACTGGGTACCATCCGACATTGACCTTCTCGATTTCTCGGCTTCTCAGCTTCGTAAGCGATACCGACGATCCTCCTTTGGCGCTTTTGTTCTTTAGAGCGGATCTCTTCCGGATCTGACGGGTGGGTCGAATCGAACAAAAGACTCGCCCCGAATTTCCCGCAGCGAGCTTCCGGTACAGGTGGAGCGACAGTGTCACGATTTCGCGATTCCGAGCGAATGAAACCCGCAGTATCGGTCGGATTACGCTCCATTTATGACTTCTCCTCCCTGATCCTCATTTCCGTTGCTATCTTGCAAAACGTCGCCATCGCTCGATCGTGTAGAGTCATAACAGTCCGAAGAGCCCGATTCGGACTCTCCGTCCGTGAATTCGGCCAATTCCCCTTCGTCTTCGCTTATGTACGGCAAGTGTTCCAAAAGCGTTACCATGAAACGGTCTGTCCCATCCCAGACTGTTTCTCACATTCGAAGTGCGCGGTCGATACTTTATTCATCGGGGCACGTGTGTCAAATATCTGGACTTACAATTCAACTTTTCCCCTGTGTGATCGAGCTGACAATCGGATCGAAACTTGATGTCGGGATATCCAGGCGGTGTGTCGACATCTGAAGGCACGTTTGAACCCCAACAAAGGCTGTGGTCGTTTGGGTCCCATTCGAGATCCGGTCCTACGGTAATGGTCGGGAAACAATCCCGCGTTCTGCAGAATAGTGTGACCACGCACAGCACGCCCGTGGCTCTAAGCTGATCTCGATGCACCCGGCAATCCGCCCCGCTTCCCTTTCCTTGCCATCCCGCCTTGATGTGCAAAGGCGGACGCGTTGGATCTCCGAGGGCTTTCGGCAAGAGCGAAGGTAGAGGATGAGAGTTAATAACAGGGTACACGCTTGGATTGCAGGTGAGAGTGACACGATCGCAGTCTCGCCACGCGATATCGGGTCGGTTCCAGTGTAGATAGGAAGCTGAGGGAAGGGTCAACTTGAATTGATCAATAATCAAGTCCCCCGTGGCGAACCTATATGCGATTCGGTATCGGTACTGATGGAAACGATTGACTGGCCCATGATACCCATGTACTCACATATAATGTAGATCTTCCAGGACTTTAGCGTCAGCCATCGTTCTGACCCTGCCGACCCATAGTCTCACGACGCTGATCTTCGGTCTTTTCGTCCTGGCCCATCGGGCGACGATCTCATCCCGAGCCTCCAGGGAGGATGCGAAACGATTCCGGGTCTCTTGATCCGCAGCCGTCGTCGACAGTACCGCTTGGACCATCCGATCTCGAATACGTGTCGTAGCCCATGTCTTGCTAGCGGGTAAAGAGAGAGACTTTACGTGCGCATACGAGGAGATGGCTGGATCACAAAGGAACCTCTCGACTTCGCTACTATCCCGTAAGTGGACATCCCTGTAGAGCAGCGGAATAGCCGTGTGGTACACCAACCTGGAGCTGGTCAAGATCGGAAGAACAGGCCATGTGGGACTTGTCCAAGCGTCCAGCTGGTCCGGATCAGCCTGAACGACCGTTTCTCGGAATTCGAAATAGATCTCCAAGATTAAGTGCAGAATATCTTGAGGGAGTATGGCGCCGACTTGTAGATCGTGCGCAACACCTAGTTCAGGCATGCCAGCCGGTTCCGGTTCTGCAAAAGAACGTCCCCCGCTAATGTCGTTCGACAACATGCGTACCTCGTGTGAGCTACCGGCTGTCCATCGCGACAATATCAATGTAGATCACGGTGATACTTACCTTGAGTCTAGTCCCATCGTGCAGACCAATCTTTTGTCGGAGTCTGAGGTAGCCACGGATTCTCAGCGTGGAGATGAAGCCTGTACGAGTCGAGTTCGGGGAGGCGAGTTGGACTTCTTTGATCCGAGGCTTACTTAGATCCTCATGTCATATAGTGCATTCGCCTTATTTCATACGCAAAGAGGACAATTCCTCTCATTCGTTTCTCCTTGTTGCAATGGACTTCGTCCAGCGTCCAGAATATGGTAGCTATGGTGAAGGTAGTATCACGAGTATCGCGATGTGATGAATCAGCTGCTAAGTACGACCTCATCACGTGACCACATGAACCGAGTGACGTCAACCACTCCTAGCCTTAGCGCCAAACTCTAAATGAACAAGGTTCGAGTTGTCGGAACATTCTTCGGTCATTTGCTGCGCCCGGAAAGGTGTCTGCTTCTCGACCTCCGCGACCTTAGATCAGGTTTTCTGCTTTATCTTCTCCTCATCTTCTTCACCTGGCTGATCGACTCTCCATGTCAGATAGCACACAGTCGTTACATCTTCAATCACTAGGACTCCACGTCGAACAACCTGTTGAAACGAACGAAAAGTAAGCCGCTAGCGTGACTTCCTCGAGCCGGCTAGTGATTTAGTGTGCTTATCTTTTTTTCACCATCCTTTCGCTCAGAATCAGGATGTCTGAAACATTGGCCAAACCTTCTAAAGGGATGGAGGTGGACTACCCTCCGTTTTTTCCGGTCGCTAGAATGCCGGATGATATTCTCCATCTCATCATGGAACACTACGTCGAGGCCCGTCTCGACGAACTGGAAGACTATGCCGAAAAAGGCCCATACTGGCGAAAGGCTACTCAATGGCCGGTCCTGCCTCTATTGACCAGCTGCAAGACCATATGCGACGCCTTAATCCCCAAGCTCTACCGCTACACGCTGCTCCTCGGCGACCAGAACGTCGAGCGCTTTCTCAGCGAGTCGGCTTTAGCATCCTTTCAGCACGTACGGATCCTCGACATCCATAAGCTGGAATACAATTACAACTCAGGCATCGCCCCGCAAATAATGCGAATCCACCAAAAGCCTTTCGAGGTTCCGCTCGATGAACAATGCGACAACATGGACTCGCCCACTGCTGAGGCAGCCACCTCGCGTATCGACGCTTTGAGACTTCGAGAAAAGGCGTTCCAGAATCCGTTAGGTCTCCTTGCTTGGTAAGCCGCACAATTTCGATCTACCGTGAATTGATTTGACTGACTATCTGCTTGAACAGCTTTAGTATTCGCCACATACAATATGATGGTTTTCCTGCGGGATCCTTCGAAGACTTCCACTTTCAGTTGGATCTGTACGAGCGCACTACCGTGAGGTGTGACGCCTACCCAAGCACATCTATCTTGGCGGATAGTTTCTCCGAACCTCCGATCACTTATCCGCAAAAGCAGCCGGACTACTCCTGGATACACAGGAAGCCCACATCTCCTTTTGTACATAATGTCTTCATCGAGGTCGGCTACCCTAGCGACCGCAGCCATAGACAAAATCGCGCCAATGCAAGGGAAGCGCGGATTCTATCAGCCGTAAGGCATTTGATCCGGCCCCTCCGACGGTCCTCGAACGGTCCGATCTGCTTCACTATCAAACCCTACCACGATCCTCACGGCGGAGAGGACCATCGATTATGGTGTTCTGAAGGGGTAGCCCCTGCGGACATCCATGCGGAATGGTGCAAGGTCGAAGTACGTTTCGTATCGAAATGCTCTAGCGATTGCAAGAACGCAGGCACTACTTCCCGCTGTGAGCAAACTAGGGGCGGGCTTCTTTATCTCTCAATAGTATGTTGACGTTCATTCACTCGACTTCAGTTTGGAACAACATGAGTTCCATGATGTCGTTTTTCCTCGAGGATCCAGCCGAGAGTTCGGATCTGCCAGATGACGGAACGATCAAGAGCTGGCATCCCACGGCTCATCCATGATCAGGATCCAGCTCGCGCAAGTACACAGGAATCTGGAAGGTGAAACAGATTTCACAGCCAGTTTGTATATGTTAACTGAAGCGAGCAGTCTGTCTCTAGCGACGACCGACTATTGGAGTTCCCGATTCCGACGGACAGAAAGAACACGACAAATCGCCTGGTTATGGCATTTCAACGATACGACTATACACGACTCCCATCTCCCACATCCGATATCACCGGCTCGAGATCACTATGCTAGAAGATAATCTATACGTAAGACCACACGGCTTGATGAATTAGTTTATGAAATGCATTTGCGAAATAGTTGCAGTACGAACCGTGCTGGCCGAAGCGAATAATACTGATCACACAAGGATCAACCATGCGTCACTCACAACATCCGGTCTGAAATCACGCGATCATGCATGTTATTACAGCGAGTCGTAAAGACACATTTTTCTCTCGCTTATCATGACTGTCAACAGCCAAGTCCACCTTGCCCTCCCCGGCTCCCCGTCTGATCAACAAGCAGCATCGTATTGGCGGGGTGGTCTTTAATGACTGGAAACGTCCAAGTGCATGTCTCACAAAAGGCGGCAACGATAATATGTCAGCATCACCACTGGATACTAGCTATGCTAGCCTGTCTCGTAGCTCGTAGGTTTACTATCTCTGGGCATCGAAGAGCACGGCAATCTGGTCCCCATGGTCCAGGCATATCTCCTAGACCGCTGTCTGCTCATTCCGATGACATCATGGCCGGGCAAACCTTAAACAACTAAGGTTTCGAGGAGATTCGCTTAGACTGGAGCATTTCGGACCTCGTAAACATTCCAAAGGACCCATCTCAGGACTTTCAAACGATCTCCATTCCGATTGTGTATCTCGACCTCGTCTATGTAACTCAGTATACCTCTTAAACTCAGCAACCCATCATAGCAAGTCCTGTATCCTCCCTCGACCTGACCAGAAGGGAAGAACAGCCAGGCAGCCTGTGATCGTCGAAACAAACAGAGGGTCAGTTTATGTGCAAGCTTCTGTTAAATCGACCCACCTGAAATTGATCGCGTGAAATCATGATCACCAAATCGACAGACTGCCTTTCATGATGACAGGAGTCGAGTCGGTTTTCCAGCCAGTTGCCAGGCTGCCGGAGGATATACTACATCTTATTGTCTCGGCCTATGTGACAGCTCGTGCGGAGGAGGATGCTCTAAATTGGCGTTGGAGACGAAGCATCAATGAGGAGGCAGCCTATCCTATCCTGCCTCTTCTTCTCAGTTGCAAGCTCCTTTGCGGTTTCACTATTCCGCAACTCTATCGCGACATCAAGCTGCCCAGGCCGCATACCCTTCAGAAGTTCATCAATGCACCGGCCATCGAATCTTACCAGTACATGCATCGCCTGGAAGTCTTCAGCAGTAAAGCCATCACCGCCTGGGATCTCGATCTTCGTCTTACGCACTGTTTCGTCCGGTACTTGCTGAAGCTGCCGCCCGGGAACAACGCTTCCGACATGACTCTATTAGCATTCGAAGAGCTACGGTCGAAATGGGTCCGATCTTGTCGCCCACGCCTTGAAGTTCTTAAGTTGCGAGGTCAAGCTCGTCGTGCCGTGGAAGGATTACTTGCACTGTGAGTGATCCTGGTCTCATCCGACGCAAGTAATTCATTCAATTTCTTTGCGTTTCCTGATCAGATTCGATGTTCGCCATATCCAATACGCGGGATTCGGTATTCGAGACGCGGATGATCAGGTCACACTCCCTCTTAACCTCTGTAAAACAACGACGCTGGAGTGCCACCCAGGCATGGATTACACCACCAAAGACGAATGGACCATAGAGAGCATCCTCACCGAACCCGAAGGCGTAGCGTGCCATTGGTCGATGAATGGACCTGAAGAAGCATCTCCCGCTACAGTCGTCATACGATATGGCTCGTATGGCTACAAGCGATACGGCAACCTTCCCCTCGGGGACATGGAGACACCCTTCGAGCTGGGGCCATTTCCAGCGGCATGTAACCTGCCTACCCTGATTCGAGCGATTGCGGAGGATTCGTGGCGACCGATTCACTTCATTATCACACCTCAAATCGGTCGATCGGACCATGATCATCGCTTCTGTTTCCCGAAACTGAGGCCCATCGACCAGCAAGGTGAAAATCTTGCGATAAAGTTCGAGAGTTCCTGCAGCTGCGACGACGGCGATTCCAATCAATGTCAGTTTCGGTTCGATATCTCCGTCCGTCAATCGTAAACATATATACATGTCGCGTTACGATGCTTACCTGTCTGCCTTAGTCTGGGACGGTATAACAGAGGCGTTGGCAGGTATGATCGAACAATTGGACAAAAGTCAAGAGGAATCGGACGACGAAGAGGATTCTGAAGGAGATACCGATGATTCTGAAGAAGATGAGGTGGACACGGATGATTGAGCGATCTAGTCTAGGACTATATACATACAGGTGAGATCACGCGGTTAGTCTCCAAGCTTGGCCTTAGCTGAAACTTTTCTCCGTAGCCATTTCCTTCATTCTGAAGACCCAGCGTTCTGTACCTAAGTAGCTTTCTCGACTCGCGATTGTCAGCCTTTTGTACTTTTGTATACTTTCACGGCCTCACTAAATTTTTACTGTCTAATGCCGAACGATCGACTAGTTGATGACGAAAAATCGATGGGTATCGTACATTCTATTATTATCCAATTCTCGGAACGATAACTCTGTTATCAAGTGCCCGACACACATACGGCAGGGTCTAGACCAATTAATAACGCAAATTACTCATCTGGCTAGGATTGACAACTGCTCGTGGCCATACTGAGAAGTCGACAGACAGCGAGGCTCGTGCTTGAAGTTGCCGCAGCTCTTGACCAAGACGGGTTGGCGATTACAAATATGTCCTCTTCCCTACATTAATACCGATCAAGGAGAACTAGGTGGCCATGTCGAATGCTCCAATTCCGCGTTCTTGAACAAGCTCTTCACCCATTCCGAGACTTTCGCTTCACAATCATTCCAGACTATAACAGCGTAAGAAGAACCTATCTATCAGCTCATAGTTGACCTCTTTCCGCATTGCCTCAGCGCGTATGTTCCTCCTTGGCTTACATCCCGTGCTATCCCCATTGCCACAGTTGCAGCCCGACTCAAAACGTATTTCAGGGTAGGGGAGACGGAGCTGGTACGATTGGCAGATGGACGGCACATCGATGCAAGGCGTCCTTCGGGGAAAGCACCAAGCGTGTTGATTGACCTTGCGGTCTTCTCCGGGGATGAAGGGGCTGATCGTAATAGTTCCTCTTCCGAAAAAGAATCGAGGCAGTAGATCGCACAGAGTCAAGTACGCTACGCTTTTGGGTGAGCGTGTCTCCCAACCGAGCTTCAGGACGATAGCGCCCGAGCTTTCCTCGATCAAGGTATCGATGCGCCACCGCGATTCATCAACGGTCGAGCGATTACTGCACCGAATGTTGAATGTGAGCTTTGGACCGGGCATGATGAAATCGAAGTCGTAGACCGAATCATTTGCGTTGTATCCGTCGATTAGGATGTGCTCGATCGTGAAGCTGGGAGATCGTAAGAATTAGCCATATATCTTAGCTGTCTTTGTATACTAGAAACTTACAAACGCGAGATGACCGCAAGAATAGCAAGGCTCTTGCAATCGGTGTTCACGGACTCCGTTCTAGGACGTTTTTGTTTCTTCCACCAAGAGCGATAGTTTGCTGCTTGCTCCGGGTACGAAGCATGTGGCGGACATGGTCGACATCGCCCTGGATATTCGTGGAAATGCACTAGCTGCGACTGCAAGATACGATCTTCGACGACCTCGCTGACAAGGTCGAGGGAGGACCTGCCGGTGATTGGATACGAGAATCTTAAAGTCTGGATGAGGTCGAGTGATTCCGTCTTGGCTTGCTTGAGGAGGTTCAAGAGAAGACCACCGATCACGTATACTGTTCGGTATACCTCAGGCAGCATCAGTGCGTTGAAGAGCTTGCAAGTAAGCAAGGTAGGCATGACGAGCCAATCCCTGCGGATTGCCTTAGTCTTGTAGTCACCAAAAGGATCCAGCGGAATACCGATGAGAGGCTCCGTACATCGAAAGGCGGCGTAATCTTGGAAGATCTGGATCATGATCTCGACCGGTAAAACCAAGTCAGGTTGAGAGTTGGCGAGGTTCGAGGCAGGGGTAGTCATCTACACAGTAACCGTATCCGCCAGATAACACTCGTCAGAGATACGTCGCCCCGTACAACATATAGATGAAGTCAATCAACTCACTTTAGCGGCACTTTGTGCGGACGAGGCTTCGACGGAGCGATCTTGATAGGATTTGATGGAGACTTGATCTCGCCTTCCGATGTTGACAAACGAGAATAGCAATGATAGATCTGGCCACTAGACGAGTGTGTGATTTGTGTCTGGCAGAATCGTATTTCGTCGAGATCAGCCCCGGTCAGTACTGATAACAGAAGAGAGACCGATATTCCCGTCTGAACTCAGATGACACTCGCCTTCCTCTCGCTCAACTTCTGTGCGGGGATTATTTTCGAGCGCGGTTCTGGAGATCAGGTGATCGATAGAGAGCCGTAGATTCCTTGATCTGCTGAATGCAAGATTCAAGGACCGGTGAGGTCAGCCAACGATATCGTGTTTCCGGGCAGCAAGGATTCTCTTACTCGTCGCCCACTGTTCCTTCAGTGCAAGCGATCGACAGCGAGTCAGAGTCGTCACCTTTGGGCTGATCTGAAAGCTCAAGCAGATTGAACTATGTCGATATGCATGCAGGTGTTAACCGATTCTGGTTCTATCTTATGGATAGACGATATGTTGAACGATGTACGTAGAGTTACATGGATTTGATGTGAAGGGGTCCTTTGGCATTCTCGCAGACATCGGAAGTAAATCTGTATCCGGTCGATCGTTCGATCCCGTTCGTGCGCAAGTTTCAAGAGGTACATCGGGGTCTGTCAAACCGTAAGGTCGGTCGCGCTTGAGCCGCTTCCTTTTCGACATCGTCCCAGACTATCATCATAGAGTATAAGTTAGAGCGGAGAGGTCGAGGCGATATGATTCTGCCAACTCACATCCGGTAGCATCCCCATTCCCGCAGCGGCAGTCCGATCGAAACCTGATGGGTATCCCGCTGTCGGTTTCGACATCGCGAGGTGCACTTCGAGGGAAACAATGTTGATGGTTCCCCTCCTCAGTGTAGGGTCCTATAGTAATCTCCGTGACTGACATCATCGCGAGCAAGAAATAAATAATGTTCCCGATAGGAACACCTCCTATTCGCGGAGGCCATTTTTCTCGAGCGTGACCCCATCCTAAGGTGATGTGCAAACTCAGAGGTTGCGGTGGTAAAACCGCTCCTTCTATCTCAGTTCCGGCCCAAGAGTCCAAAAAGCTGTAATTTAGATCACAGTGTAGAACGATGTGACCAGACTTGTCGAATACACGGCGGCTAGGCTTTACAGGCGTGGAGAAAGCCCCTGTCGTCAGAAGATGTCCCGCGCGGAAACCATAAACCACCAGACGTTTAGGATTAAGGCTATCGAGTTTGGTGATCAGCTTGACAGGATCTCACGCTGCCCAGACAATTCCCTTACAATTGAACGATGCTTGCCGTAGTGTCATCACCCCTTCCACAGGCATAAAGAACATCGATTCGAGGCAGATGCTTAGCCTTCCAAGTTTTCGTAAAGCGAGAGACCTCGCTTAGTGTACCGTCCAATGGGCCTCGAGAGTCAAACTCCAGAGCCGCTACGAGTTCCGCTTGTTTCATCCGAAGTTGAATGGTAGATTTGGTAGTGCCCACCCTCTTCTCGTTATCCCCGTTTCGATCGTCGAGATAACGTATATCTAGGGTCTTCAGCCATTTATAGGCTCTTAGATTTGGTGCCGACAGAAAAGCCACCATCTCTTGTCCTTCGGAGAACAAGACGTCCCTATACGCCCTTGGCATCAGGATCGTAGTGAAGAGCTTGCATGCCAGAAGTGACGGCAATATGCTCCATGGCGTTTCGATTTGAATTGTGGGTGCAGGATCAACGTATGCGTCCCTCGTCGTGTGCGTGATGTCGAGTTCCCAGAAACGTCGATCGGCGTCCTTTCTCTGTTTCTCCATCCCGTTCAGTTCCGCCCTACGGTTCCTGAAAGCGAGATAGTCCTCGAAAATCTGAATAAGGATCTCAACCGGAAGCATGAGATCCGGCTGAGAACGGCTAAGATCCTGCTTGAAGACCTCCATCTGAATATGCCCGCACGATATCAGCAAATCTTCCTAGTCTTCCATCGACTACCTTGAAGCTTCTCACGACTCCGTAGTTTGATCAATGCGGATCCGACAAATCCAGCGACTTTTGCTAGTTACACCTTAGACAACAGCGGAAGAAATATCGCTAGAGTGGGGAGAAGTACATTTGATGAGTCGCCCATTTAACAGATCAGTACCGCCCATTGGTAGCAGTCCAGTTTGTCGACGGCTGCTTACCTTCCACGGAAGCGAGTGTACGGTTTACGGAAGCGAGTGTACGGTTTACGGAAGCGAGTGTACGGTTTCCGGCGATCCACTATTGCGATGTACGCCGTGTGCTGTTCAGCTGGAGGTGGGAAGTCTGCTATCACCAACGGTCGGGTTTGCCAGAGGGTAGGCAGTGACACGAGCGTTTGAATACTACTAGCTACTAGTTGATTGTATTAATTCGGCCTGGGCTGATTAACGACTACAAACGGGCTGACTCAAGCGCACATGACGTATGCGATGACGCGACATGCGACATGCGACATGCGCGATGAACTTCCATTGATTGATGCCTTTGTCCGGTGGCGCGGCCAATATCAATCGACAACACAAAAAAGCAGGCCGGGACCCTCCGCAGGGTGCGAAGATATATCGTATCTATTTTGTGCTTCAGTACGATCATACGTGTTGGAGGGTCATACTGACATTGATACGACGATCTTGAGCCGAACATAATTTATTCGTTCTATCGAACGACACGATAATCTTGCTCTACAACACGAGAGGGGCGGCCCGGCGCAATGGGTCGGACAACCGAAGAGGCGGCCGATGGCAATACCAGTCGGAACTGGCTACGACGCTTGGCTGATTATCTTTGCAATCGTCTGACGAGCGGCGAGTATGCTGTAATCCCACACTGGAGAAGATGGCACGGCGGCTTTATCAATGAGAAGGCGTTTTTAAAAAGCGATGCAACCTCTACTCACTTTCAGCGCGATCCATTTCGGCGTGCATGTCGATTTCACAGGTGCAATCGGTCTCGAAATGGACATCGGGATACGACTTGGGCGTAACGATGACCGTAGGTGTATCCGGACCGAAACACCATCTGTGATCCTTGTTGCCCTGATTTTCAGCGGTTGGCGAATATGGCTTGATGGTCAAAGTCGGATAGGTGACGTCCTTGACGAAGTGTCTTCCGAGGATACCCTTTGTGATGCTAGCAAGTATTCGTGAGGCAGGAACGATGAAGTCGAAACCACGACAACAGAATCCGACGGTGATAGTCAAAATCGTCGGGCTCCATCGCAATGTCGTTCTCCTTATTTTGTCGAAGCGATAGAATGTATCGTAATGTAGGGTTATGTGTCCCGATAAGTTTACATCCACGTAGGTTGCATTGGTAGAAGGCGGTGATGTCGTCTCCACGTCCGTCTCCTGATTCTCATCCGTGTCCTCGTCCTCAGAATACCACCAATCATCAGTATCATAATGATTGAGCATCTCCAGATCATGATAACTATCAACGAAGGTGTGATCGGGACTGAAACTGCAAACGCGAAGCATCAATACCAAAGAATCGGACAACTTAGAGGCGCTTCGACTCACATTTTCAGTACCGGGGATAGGTCTAGTCTTCCGGACGCAGTTTGTTTCACGCGCAAGGTAGATACGGTGATTCGACGGGTAGTACGACCGGGACCGTTCGAGACCCCCGGCGGCATGTGAGCCACGCCTCGTAGATCCATCTCTTTCACCGCCTCATAACTCCTGGGATCGACCTGCTCGATAAAGGATCCTGCGCTGGACGTGTTGCAGAGTCGCACAACCCTGTAGAGGATCGGGATCATGGTGACCGCAAACAGCCGACAGCTCTGCATGATAGGCAAGATCGGCCATTTCGCACCCTTCTGACTCCTCAAAGCAGGTATGGGCTGGGCGGCTCTCTGAATTTCCTCGTTGCGTGACTCGATGTAGTACTCGAAGATCTTGATCGTGATCTCCAGCGGGACGACGATGTTGGGCTGTGTCATGGCGGTCATTTTTCGCCTCCTCGACTGAGATGTTGCGAATGCGTATGTGAGGACTGCCCTACAGCGAGAAACTAACAAGGGGAAGAGGTAGATCAAGTTTGGGCTCAGCGACCTGGTCATTATCATCTGAAGTAACGAAAGTCAGGCAGAGTTTTCTTGGCTTACTCGGTTCGCGAATGAAAGGTACTCGACTGCGACTCGACGTATTGTGGGAACGTCCGCCTTCACCGGTATCAACGATCACTGTCAGATCAAAGTCATCGTGGTTAGCCGCTTGTCGACAGAGACGATCTCAACAAAGAATCTGCAGTACTGACGATCGAGCGATCGGCACTGGTGTCCGGCTGCTATGGGGTCGATATTCGGTCGTCCTTTGTTAAGATCTTCTTGAACGAAAGGCTGATGGCCGAAGGAATCTCAGAATTGAGCTTTCAGGGAACCGATATGCTAGAGTCTTCTTCAACCTACTTATAGCTTAAGACCGGTATGAAACGAGGTCGACTGTACAGCATGTACAGTCGATGGAGGCACTAGACGTCGAGAAGCTGAGCATCGAAGAAAGGGAAAAACTTTTCGATGAGAGGGACCACAGGATTCGATCATTTTCGTGTGGTACGATCCACCTGCCACCTGAGACATCCTTTGGGCGGATGCAGAAGGCGATTACGCGATCTTCTTTGTAGCGAAGTGGATCGACCCTCCTTTGTTTGGTCGCAGCTGCCAGCTTATGTATTCAGGGCGATGGAAGGTCGCCTTATCTATACATTTACCATGTACCGGTCGCAGAAAAGCTATTGTTGTGGGATTCGTCCTCAAGCGTGATGCGATTCAAAGAAGGATCGGCCAAAGACGATTTCCTCGGGATCTAGTTGTCTCGAGTCTGCCTGATTTTCGATGCGGCTCGCATCTCATCCCAGTGGCTTCACTCGATATTGGACCACTCTGGAGGCTACCTCCTGACTGTTATGCGAACGTCCTCGTTGATCTGGACAGCAAGCTCGCACCGGTCGCGATAGCGACGCATCCTGCTTTGAAATCTCAGCGTGTCTGTAGACGAGACATGGATGCCCAATGTCTAGATGAGTTCGTCAGCATCCAAACTGGTGACTCATCAGCACAGAGTTCTTCTCAACCTCGGTTGACAACAAATATTGTTGCTCACCAACATCTCTTGGATTTCCCAATACTCGAATATCAAGGGATTCATTCTTATTCGGTAACGACCGGTTACATACTAAACGACGGCGTCACCAACTCATACGCTGACTATCACAGCACACCGCCATCGTAAAGTTTAAGCTTCTTCGGAGAGAGGTGCATGAATTGCCACGGCAGCGTGCGTCGTGTCCATCCGTGTTTATTCGATTAGTGACGGATGTTTAAGAGCTTAGTGAACGCGATCCTTGCGGTTTTGGCTGAGCCTCAGTCGGGCCCGGTACACCGTGAGAAATCGGAAGAGTAGGTCTGGGAGATGATTGGGTCTTTGCTGCACATCGATCGGAGCTGCTGTTGGTCGCTGATCGCTGATGATATCGATATGTCCGAATATAGGGACCCTTAGTTTTTCAGGAAGATGAGTTCCACAAGTGTCGCTTTTCGTGTATCGTCCCGAGCTGTATGTCGACGTGCTGCCCATCCACGTATGCCCGTTTGGTAGTTCTAGATTGGTACATGGTGGGACAGGCTTGCAAGCACAAAGGTTGAAGTCAGCCATGTCAGAACGGGCATTATCCAGATTGCAAAAGAAACACTTCTCAACGAAGCACAGGGAAGTCGGACCGTTCTGCAGCGCTAACACCGCCAGCAATTTCGGCAGGTTTTCACCGCATCGTTGCTGAAAACAACCCATACGGAACCACCAAAACAATCTCTCTCACACATCGAGGACTTGGAACGCTCAGGTCCGCCCCTTCATCTGCAACGGTCAGCGGTCGCTTTCCAGAGAAAAGGCGATGCTCGCGCGTACCGTCTGGTACAGCCACCGTCCACGCGCCAAATCACAGCCACTCCTCTTCAAAAGCGCAGAGGATCGATGACACTCGAGATTGGAACGGGTAGAGGCGAGCACAGCTACTTACAGCATCTGGCATAGTAAGGAACGGGTAACCTGGATGTATACCAATCCTCAATATTCTCAGCACTGCACAAGAGTTCAGATGGACGAGTTCGCCCTTGGCGCTTGGAGATGGTGGCGCTCGGGGTCCGGAGACAATTCCTCGGTATCAAAACTTTTCCGCAAGGACGGCCCTGTGCATATCGCAAGATCGGAGATCAGATACGACCTCGGGCAACACTAGTGAGAGCAATGTGATCGGCTTTCATCCTCAGCACGTCCACGGCCGCCTTGTGTGAGGTCTGTGGTTTTTGTGATGCAATGGTTGCCGATATCAGCTCGATTTAGTTCGGCAGGCGCGACCTCTCGGTTGCGCGAGTTGTCGGTAGCGGATGAGACGCGAGGACGAAATGGCTGGCACAGCACGGTGCTGTGACCTTCCTGCCCGACCCTTGTGAGCCATGCGCTGGTCCGAAACGCCTTCCAAGCACCTCGGTCCTACTCCAGCAGGAGTTCCGGGAGCAACACCGGAACCGGTAGAAATGCAGGCGCAAGGAAGCTGTTTCGGAACGTGGTGACGCCGACTTGTCACCAGGACGATGACACAGCCTCGCCATTCGAATTATGGATGTCGTCGGCAGCCCAGGCCGAACCAAACATTTCAACCTTCAAATCATATAAAGGTCAGCGACATCTATGATCATATACTCAATTTTGGATTCGACAAATCTCATCATAAGCATCGCCGTCTTCAGTTTCAGTTTTCAAAAGTTAATTTATACTTCTAAAATGTGGACCACAACCGGACTTCTCCTCGCTTTCGCGCTCACAACCCGTTCGACCAGGGCTAGCCCAATTGCTTCGGACCGTTGGTTTCAAGAACCGGACAGTGCAGCAGCCAAGCTGTTTGCTCGTGGACCTTCAGACAGCTATCCTGATGGATACAGCACACCGCCTACTTCTTCCACCCCTCAAGCATGGACGGATCGTCTAGCCCAGGTCGTTGCTTCCGACTCTTTCCCTAATTACGGTCCTCGAGCTTCGGAGACTGCTCCGTGGTATGCATCGGATGGCACGGTCCTCCAAAGCAACGACCCCAGCGTCTGTCTGTTCACTTCGGGCTGTGAGAACCCTCTCGATATCATGTACGCCGGCGAAGGCAACATCGGAGTGAGTCCAGTTCGAATCGCGCGCTACATACCGACTGCGCGAGACGAAATTTTGGCGCTGACCCGCAACGACTTTCAGGTCACCTTCGACGACGGCCCTTCAGATGCCAGTCCGTCATTATACGACTTTTTGGCAGAGAACAAGATCTCCGATGTCGGTACCCATTTCGTCATCGGTTCGAACGTTCTCTCTTAGTAAGTTCTTCAATCCAGGCCAGGCGCGCGCCAGCTGATCGCTGATCCCCCATCGATGATGGTTTTATAGCCCGGACCAGTTCGCACAACTCGTTGAGAGCGGCGGACACGTTGCCGTTCACACCTGGTCTCATCCTGTACGTGTTCGGTATTTGCGCTTGCCATTTTGTGCTAGAAGCTTACCGCGCGCCGCTTTCACAGTACATGACTACGATGAGCAACGAGGAGATCGTTGCCGAGCTAGGGTGGACCATGCAGATCATCTATGACCAGAACGGCGGAAAGGTCCCCAAGTACTGGGTGAGTTAAGGTCAAGTTGGGTAAAACGTATACATGAGATTGCTGTATTGAACGTCTATCCGATGTGCCATGTAGCGACCCCCTTACGGCGATCTTGACAACCGTGTCCGAATGATCGCCCTCGAAGTGTTTGGCCTGGTCAGCGTTGTCTGGAACGCAGACTCTCGGTGCGTCTCACCTCCACCGGTAATTGAGCCTGTCAACCTGCGCTGACTTTCTTCCCTCTTCTTCACCAATACAGCGACTGGTCCATGTCGGATGGGACCCCTAAATCGACGATCGTCCAGACCATCAGCGACTACCTCACCGGCGACAAGTCCAACGGCCTGATCTTCTTGGAACACGAGTTGAACCAGGACGATGTGGACATGTTCATCCAGATGTACCCTAGCATGATCTCCAACGGATGGAAGCTCGCCAATATTGTGAGTCTGGCGCTTGGGTTTCAGATATAGACCTCGATGAATCGGTTGCTAACGGAGTGTCTGCGTGGTCTGATTTACAGCCCGATACCGTCGGTGAGGACTGGTACCAAAATGCCAAGGACAACTCTTCCTCGCCTTCGCCTCACAGTCTCATCCAGACCGCCCCGGTCGCCGCACCCACTCTCTATCAAGATGCGGCTCCTACTACTTCTTTGACTTCGTCATCCGCTGCCTCTTCTACCGCCTCGACCAGCAATGCGACCACCCAGTCGAGCGCTTCTTCCACCCACGCTTCATCAGCCTCGACTACCCCGGCTAGCTCAAGCGTTGTCATCACTAGCACGAGCACGGTCGCCCCTACTTCGCAGACCAGCGTTGCTCCTCAACCGCAGAGGAACACCTCCAACTCCGGAATGGGGATCACCATTCCTTCCGGCTTTTCACTGCTCATCAGCACAGCCGGACTACTCTGGCTCATCATCGTATAATAAAGGGGACCTTTATAGATGTGCACCGCCGGCCCTTTCTCGTTTTTCATAATCACGGACACTGTTTCCATAATACACCGAGCCCCCTTCGTTTCCCCGCATAATCGTTAATCGCCATCGTCTTGGCGTTGTTTATCAGCATAATTTTGTATAGACTATAGTACTAGCATTGAGCGTCGGTCATGAGCATGAACATGAGTATGAGCATGAGTTTGAGTAGGATCGCCACTGCGTATACCTTGGCTGCCTCGACCGTTTGGCGTATGCATCGGGTGATAGTGGACTGCTCCTGTATTCAGGAGAAAGATGGCACTCACTACAGAACACGGATATGTCAGAACACCGAACTTGGTCAATCGGGTCCTCGCATACCATGCGTGGAGAATCGAAAGATCAAGAGTGGTGAGTTTGCCGTGATCGTAAACTCTAATCACCCGCTTCGTCAAAAAACACTCCCGCTTCGATCGGCGATCGTGCTCGAGAATTGTCATTCGGTCTTCTCCGTCGCCGCACATCGGAACCTCCCAAGGTCGTCCTCGAAGGGTCTGGAGGGTCTAGAATACTCGTCAAAGTCGACCATGTTCGGGATTGTCGCTGTATAACCTGGTATCTCTGGGTAAGCAGGGTCACTAACGACAAATTCAGGTCTATCTTGTAGGAAGGGACATCGATCGTCAATAATGCCGAGGAAATCCCTGCGCCTGCATCCGCCCGCGAAAGGTGATGAAGAAAGGGAGATTGCTGCATCGCGATCTGGTTGAACAACTACCTAAGCTACCAAGTACCAAGTTGCTAGTTGTAAAAGCATCATCGACAACAGTTGACCATTATCAGCATCGGTTCATCAAGATTTGATATAGCCAGATCTAGATAGTGATCGTTGTCGATTCTACATACCTCAACAAGATGTCCACGGACACTCTTTCCCCGATGATGCTCTTCAAGCCGGCCTTGCCTCAAGCAGCCAAATCCGACGAGCAAATGTGAGTAACGATCGGTCCGGGTTAGAATTACCACCGACTGACCAGTATCTTGATGTTGTCTTCACAGCGCTCTAGCGTGCGGTTTCCTGGGTCTCTTTATGCTCCTGTTCGGACTCACCAGCCTGTTCGTTCGCGGGAGGCTCTTCCTGACTAGCAGCGTGCTGGCTATGGGATTCGGTACGTCAACTCTGCTGCTTGCCATTATCCATACATATAGTTCCAACTAACATCATACCTGGACTCCGTATCCTCAGGTATCGCTCTCGGACCCCGCGTCTTCGGGTACATACACAAACCTCTCTCTCATCCCTGATGGGCAAACTGAACCGCGTTCCGATCGCTCAACGCGAACACAACCCTCTCCCTCTCTCGCTCTTTCATTCTTTCGCGGTACTGTACTGTAGCATCGTCAAGATCCTACCAGGCGGATGGGATGACGGTCACGAGGGCGATAAGAACAAAGAGGTCCTTCTTTGGGTACGTCGTCTTTCTCCTCTCTGTCGAACGAGTCTTCTCTCGGCTCTCCCTCGGGACAACCTCCTTGGCTCATATAAAGCTAACCCGTTACAACAACAGTTCACCCGGCTCGTACTCTCCATCCAAGTACTCACTAGCGGCGTCACCCTCCCTTCCCGTTTCATCGCCCGGGAGAAAGTATGGAAGAGTTTACTGGTCCTCCTTGGACCTGTTATGCTCTTCGCTACCCTTATTACTGGAGCTTTCGCCAAGCTGTAAGTGGACTACAGCTTTTTTTAGGTTTGTGGAGGAAATCTGACAGTCGGTCGGTTCGGTCTTTCTTGCTCCTTATAGAATTTTCGGAGTCAGCTGGCTCGAAGCTCTTCTCATCGGTGCTTGTCTAGCGTACGTCACACGAGTTCAAGATCGATACGCGACTACTATCGTCAGCTAATGACCTTGTTTTCGTATTGCAGACCCACCGACCCCGTCCTGGCTTCCGCCGTGGTCAAGGGAACTTTTGCCGAACGCCACGTCCCCCCTTACATCCGGGACCTCCTCCTGATCGAATCCGGTATCAACGACGGCTCCGCCACATCCTTCTTCCTCGCCCCTCTCCTCCTGCTTACCCGCTCGACCGGTGAGGCGGCGAAAGAGTGGTTCTTGACGGGGATCCTCTGGGAGACGCTTTTTGCCATTGCTGCGGGGACTGCGATAGGGTGGACCTTCCGAGTAGCTTTGGAGCAGGCCAAGAAGAGGGAATGGGTCGATAAGGAGAGTTCGCTTGTGTATACCGCGGCGCTGGCTTTATTGACGACCGGGGTGGTGAGTGACGAATAGATTCTCATACTCCCGCATTCCGGTGCATTCGACTGATTGCGGTCTGTCATGATGTAACGCAGCTTACATACATCGACTCCAACGAACTCCTGGGGTGTTTCTGCGCTGGAACCGCTCTAAACTGGAACGATTCGATACATACCGAAGACACCCACACTCACTTTTCCGAAGCTATCGACAACGTCCTCGACATCTGCGTCTTCCTCGTTCTCGGCACCGTCTTGCCATGGCAGGCGTGGGGGAACAAGTCGAGTCCCTTTTGGATCGGCAAGCTCGTCGGGTTCGGATTCGCTGTCGTCTTCCTAAGAAGGTTACCCTCGGTGCTGTTCTTACAGCGATTGATACCGATGGTCAGAACGGGGAAAGAGGCGATGTTTGTAGGACACTTTGGGCCGGTACGTCGAGGGCTGGTTCCCGATCTGACGTGAAACGAGCGCTGACTTTGCCGCATCATCTAAGTAGATGGGAATCGGAGCGATCTACTATGCGTGAGCCGTTGCTCATTCACTGATCGTACTGGACTTCAAGGCTGACCTCACCGTCTCTTCAGGCTCAAGGCCGCGGAGGAACTACCCAAGGACAGCAGTCTCAAGCAAGGTCTTTATGGAATCATGGCCTGGATGGTTTTTACGAGCACGATCGTTCACGGCGTCACGGTACCGTCGTTCTTACTCGGTTCCGCCCTTCACCCAGCACTCCACCCGAAATGGCTAGTCAACAACGAGGGATCTGATGAAGAGGAAGAAGAAGGTTCCGTTGGAGAGCAAGAAACGACTGAACGGCACGGGCTCCTCGCTCCCATCGTCCATACTTTGCAGCGATACGGTGCTATCGGTGGCGAAGACTACAAGAAGGAAGATGGCGAGAAGGGTCGGCCCATCTCCCGAGATGAACTTCACCGCGTACTTCACAACATGGCCGGAGAAGCTGATGAGCAGGCTACCACCACCAAGGGGCGAGCGCGAGGTGTCCTCAACCATCGTCAGAAACAGATCCTCCTGGGCGAGGGAACTGGACTGGATTGGACGGGCAAGTCCGTGGAGGTGTTTGATGAGGGAAGCACGTTGATCATCACGGATGAAACGGGTGAGTCGCCGTGCAGCGTTTGCACCTGTGCGATTGAATCATGGCCTTCGCTGATGTCGGGTAATCTGTGGGTTTACAGGCAAAGTCTCGACCCGAAGGATTGTTAACAAGCAAAGCAAGAAACGGGGGAGGTCTTCCGTCTAGCACCGGGATGCGGCTATTTGACACTCGTTTCTCCCGAAATCACTGTATCGAAACATTTTGCAAATGTATCACTTTGATATTGCCATGATCGTTTGTCACGTCAACACACCACATGATCCACTCCAAGGCGATTATGACGACACCATCTATATTGGATGGCCGGATCGACACGGCTAGATATATGGGGGTAGTAGCGGGCCAAGATCGGTGGGCCGTGGCTCGATGGCAGGTCCTTCCGCCCAGGGGTTCTCGTCGATACTGGGGATGCCGTTCATCATTTCTGGGGATGTGATATATATAGAGATCAAAGAGCGTGGTCAAAAGCAAGCTCAGATTATAGGTATCCGATTATGTCTGTGTCTGCGGGAACGCAAGGCAAGTTAGCTCCCCCGTCCGGTAAATTCTTCTCCCTTGACTTACAGATAGGTGTCCAAGTGGCTGTTGTTATAATGAAGGTGTCCGGGAGATTTGTTATGAGTTGATGCAGAAGGGGAAAGATAGCTAGAAGGTAGAAGAATGTTGTGAGGAGCGAGGTCGTTGATATATGAGGGTCGAAGTGGCAAATCCGGGCTGACCCTGCCTTCCCACTCCCTCGCTCGCCATGCGTCCGTCAAGCGAGTTGGCCCCATCCCGCAGTCGATGCGATCGCCCGCAGTCGCCCGCTGCATCCTTGGATCGTCGAGGGGTCTCTCCTCTCTCTCTCATTTACATAGCAGATCTTATCAAACAGAGTAGATCGTCATGAACTGTCGTTAAAAGGCTTTCGTTGCCTAGAGCTGGCTAAAACACCGACTTCGGGCTTGCGATCGTCAAGGTACTCGAGAAACAATGTTGTAGGGGATGCCTGGTGACAGATGGCGCGATGACATCCTTCCTTAGCGTCTCTGAGTCCGCCTTCCTCTGCTTTAAGTCTGCGAATGCGATCCACCCCGCGACGATCATGACGTTTTTTGTGCTATCGTCCACGAGCGTCGTTTGAACATCCAACCATCCGCCCATTTAGACTCCGGTGGCAAGGTGGATAAGGGCGAGCATGCCCCAACATTGCATGCATGGTGGTATTCTCAAGCGTCGTCGAACGGCAATAATACAACTTGACCTAATTGCAGACCTTTCTTCACACTGACCTCTTGCGCATAGCAGCCACGGCCGCGGCGCCTCGATCGTCCTGCTGATTGACCATCAGGTTCCACTCTGTAGCAATTGGCAAGTCAGCCTCATCCCTTAGCGGATCAGTACGAGGATGTACTCACCTCGTACACCTTTGCGGAAAAGGTCGGCGCCGGAAGCATGCGGGACATCATTTGTCGGCACGATTGCCAGCTCTTCATCTCCACGCTCTGCTTCCGAAGACCGAACCTCAGGCAGAGGCGGGGCGTTATACGCAAGAGTCGATACTTCAGGGTCGAAATCGTCCTTGTCCTGAGAAGAGGATTTGCTCTTGCTTTCCGTAGCGACGGATCCCCAATATGGCTGCGATGAGCTTTGACGGCCGGACAGATCGTCAAGGTCGATGTCATGAGAGCCTGTCCCTGCGGCCCTACGAAACGTTCGAGAATCTCCGAGCAGACGGCCTAGTCCCCAAACCCGCAAGATTTCCGGCTGTCGAGGAATAGATATTCTTCCACATTAGATCGAGTGTCTTTCCTCGTGGCTCAGCACAATAACGACTAACCTGACTGGCATACGAAAAGAAAGCTCCTAGCGGGATGGAAGCCAACACGAGCTTGCCCCAAGTGGCAGTCCGGTCGATTACTAGTGTTACCGTTGTCATACTGCCACGGAACAAGCACATCGTCAGTTGACCTGATCCTGCACTCTTTTGAAACAGACGCTCACCCGAGACCGATCAAGCAACATACTCCGAAACCCATGGGCCTGATGATGACCCCTATCCGAATCCCTCCGATGCGCCTTGCCTTCCTCTTGTTCTTCGAGGGACCACGTTCTGCGTCCATCTCTGATTGAGTTTGAGGAGGTACAAATGTTTCCGGCGGCATATCGCTCGCTTCAGACATGGGTGGTGGACGAATCGCCGTCCTGGTTGGTTCTTTACCGGAGATCGCTAGGTACCGGATGATGAAGTACGTCATGTGAACCTCGAGCAAGAGGACCGCTAGCAGCAAGGCGCTAGAAACGGCCAGAGCAGCTCGTTGTCTGCCGTTTCCGAGGCAAAGATTGGATCACGTTCAACACCGGTTACAAGCAGAGTCACAATGAGGAAAATCGCTTACAAATTGTAAGCAAATATCCAACAATAGAATTGACCCATCAGTACTCGCTGGGGCTGTTTGATCCCCAACTGCAAGCCGTGACACGAACTCCGGTCAAGGGGTGTACTAGATGATTGATTGGCGACGCGATGACACTCACGGCTAGAGCGCTGAAGAAGAAGATCGCGAGCAAAACCCAGGGAAGAGCGAGTAGCTGTATGGTGTATATCGAGTCAGCTGAGCTGGTCGAGTTGAAGTAGCGGGCGAAGACCTACCAAGATTTCCAACCAGAGTGGCATAACATACGGCATCAAGCTCGAGTTCAGCCTGGTTATGCGGGGCCAGATCTCTGCGAGACAAGTCCGGATCGATAAGCGAGGTGATGCAAACACGGCAGGTGGTGGATATTTCGACTTACTCATCACAACTCCAAATGCCCCCGCGGCCATAAACACTGCCCATCCCATGACGAAACTCCCCTGCACAAGACATACCCCATAAGCCGGCGGCTTGGTCGAATATGCCACGGCCGAGTCGAGGTAAAGCAAGATCCAAGGCGGGGTCGAAAGACAGCTGACGGCCAAGAGGTTCAAGGTGGATCGATCCGCTTGCAGTTCAGGCGCGAACCAATCGTCGTCGTCATCGGTCTCCCTCTGATCCAGGTTCGTTCTCTTGAGCGATCGTAGCCGTCGACGAATCTTTCTCGGGACGTCCAGCGTGTTTCTACACCACAAGTGGGTCAGGAGCAAGGCCCCGCAAGCGATAAAGTTGATCAAGCCGAGAATCCCAAAAGCTGTCATCTCGGCGGACGACGCTCGATTGAAGCCTTTCCATTTAGTTGGGTGGTAGAGCGACCTGTTCGACTGGGTCGTTGTCGACATGGCCCTCCTGATCAACAACCCTGATTGCTTTAGCTGACTGTACTCGACCCGATGGATTACTGTATGTGCTCTGCGATGTCTGTGGTAGGTGCCTATGCCATTGTCAACCCAGTAACCGGTCGACAGGTCTTGGCCTTGCCCAATCGAAGCATCGCCTCGTTGTCCTGATGTTGCCTGCAGATGGGGGTAGCTCCACTATCCATGAAAATCGTCAGGAGAGCATCTTCTCCTCACGATAACGTTCACCCGAAAGGTTCAGGGCTCCATGGCTCCCCGTAACGTGAAAGCTTTGTCTCTGATGGTCAATTCCACCGAGATCAAGATCAGCTCACAACGCAGAGGGGATCAGATACGGGATTTGCGTGGTAAATGTTCCGAGCGGAACCTGACTCACGCCGCAGGTGTCCACGTTCGGGACGACGCCTTCACGCCAAAAGGAATCTCGCAGTTGCGCCCGATCACTGCAAAGCCCACGATCGGGGGTTGGGTTGGCATAGTGTATCGTCGTAGACCCGGGACATATCTCGAGATGTACTACAACTGGCCTCCAGCTCGATCAAAGGTACATCTAAACAATCCCACGCTTGCCTCGGCTCCTCACGACACACGCCACCGCCCCTTCGCCCGCCCGCCACCTGTTCCTATCAACTAACGCGGGCCCCGGAACAGCGCTCTGATCACTATGCGCCTACAGTACTATCGACCCGACGAACGGGTCTTGGTCCTCTTCGCCGCATTGCCATGCTGTTTCTTGGTGACAGGTTTGGTGTATACCGCCTGGCTCGCCGTGACCGAATCCTCTCGAGAGAGTCCTCGTTCGAAGACGGGTTCCTCGGTCGATTCGGCTTGACGCTGATGTTTCGGAGCAAACGATTAGCCATGAAGCTTTCAAGTTTAAGTTTCCTCGACCGATCTCACCTTTCGACCTCGAGTCTTGGTAGAAGTGGTCGCAGGCCTCGCAAAGGAAACGGTCCTGGCACCACCTGCTGCAGTAACCGGGCCGACATCCTCGTCCGAATCGTCCTCGATCGGATCCTGGGACGGTTGCTGATCGACCATGTCGTCCCTTCCGGAAGGACCCGATTCGTCCCTACCGGAAGTCGGACTGCTAGTCCTTTGAGCTTGAGCGAGTTGCGAGAACTTGGGTCTTCCAGTAACCTGGCTAGATACCAGGGCGGAACCGAATGCTTCCTGGACCAGGATAGCCGGCGCTTTTTGAGCCATAGTCGAGCCGATCGGATCCAACAAGTCCTCGAGAGCAGTCAAGCTGGTAGAAGGTGGCAATGCTTCCCTAGCAAGTCGGTTACCGGCGCTTTCTCCCGTCTTTAAGGTTCGGACAGGCATCTGGGTAGGTCGGGCGGGTTGGGTTTCCTCGTCTTCTTCATCGTCACGGGGCGAGTCCTGATCGAGCGCCTCCATATCGTTCGAAGACTGTGCCACGAAGGGAAGATGATGTCGGTCAGAAGTCGTTTCACTCTGTCATGGCATGAGTTTGACTCACGTTGCGCCCGACTTCGGACGATTCATCCCACCCATCGCTAGGAATCAAGTTGCGGCCCGATCGATTGGTCTGAGGGAGGAGGCCGTCATCAGTCCTCAGATAGAAGCTTCCCCTTGGAGTCATCGGCACTCACTGCGCTAGCCAATGTCGCCTTCGTGCTCTTGAGGTCTGCCTCCATCTGGGATTTCTCCTTCTTGAGCTTGGTAATTTCTGCGTTACGTTTCTCGATAACAGCGTCTTGCTGTCCGACCTTGTTTGCAAACTGGTTGTGCTCTTCGTTAGAAAACATCGTGCGGTCGCTCCTGTCTGAATCGGCTTACGCGGACGTTGGCTTGTTTGACGGTATCTACAAATAATTTCGATGAGTGAAACTGTATATCCGAAACGGCTACCTGGATACGTACCCTGAATCGCTCTAGCACACAAAGCTGAAAGGACGTATTCCTCATCAATCGATGAGGCGGTTCTCGCGAGACAGTCATAATTGACATACCGTACTCGGTCGGGGTCTGGAGGGAGGACGCCATCCTATCAGTACAGTGCGGAGGTCGGTCGTGCAATCACTGCTCACCAGGTTGTCATCTTGGAAGCGTTCTAGAGCCTTCTGATCGTGAGCCGAGCGTTGCTTCTCCGCTTCCTCGAGGTCTGCAATCTTCTTCTGTAGGTCCTGATCGCGGAGACCGGCTTGAGCCAGTTTGACGCCCTCTTCCTTCTGCTTGATCTGGACAAGCCGTAGCTCTTCTGTCACGTTGGCGTATCGCTCGTCGCGCTTGATCAATTGCTTGTTCAGGTTCTCGATTTCGATCTTGAGCTCGGCCAGTCGGTTGTCCTGATTCTTGACAGATGTCTGGAGGGCGGTCTTTTCCTTCTCCAGGGTCCGAATCGTCGATGACATGTTGGATTTCTCGGTAAGAAGCTAGCGTTCAGTGTGTGATGTTCAGCTATCGCAATTCGCATGTCAAGCAGACGTTCCGCTCACCCCCTGCATCTCATTGCCTTGCGCTGCGGTTTTGGCCGCAGCCAATTGTCCAATCTTCACCGCCAATTCATCCATCTTGTTCTTAGACTGATCCGTCTTGTTTCCGAGAGTGGCAGCTAGATCCTGGTAGCGAGCATTCGCTTGAGCGAGATCGGCCTCCAGCTGCTTGATGCGAGCCTACAAATTACGAACGGGAAGCATAAGCTGACAAATCCTATATACTCATCGCAGCTTTATTACCTGGTTTTCCCTATCAGAAGTTTCGGAGGTTTTCAGAGTCTGCTTGATCTTGTCTCTCTCCTCAACCGCGCTTTTCGAAACGGTGTCGAGCGATTCAGAGGCCTTTCGTTGGTCCCGTAGATCATTCTCTACTTGGGCCAGACGCTCTTTAACCGACTCGCGATCATCGAAAAGGGCCGTCTTCTCTTCTTGCACAGTCTTCATAGCCTCATTGATATCGTCCACGAGTTGACGAAGGTCTTCAAGCTGATCCACAGTCGCTGAGTATGTCGCAGCCAAACTGACAGGCCAATATAGGTGAGATATTTAGGATCGGATCAAGTAGTGCGCAAGAATCTTACGCATAATACTCCTTTTCTTTTGCGTTGAAAGACGTCGTCTGCTGTTCTAGTTGCTTTTGCACCTGATCCACCTGACTTTCCAAACGAGTCTTATCCGCGTTCAAACCGCCGATACGAGCCTGATTTTGCTCCTCGTTTCGCGCCATGTTCCTCTCATGATCCTGTATCCGTTCTTGCAGTCGATTGCATTCGGTCTGAGCGTTCAAGTGCCCGCCCTCAAGTTGCTTGATCTTGCTCTCCTGCTGTTCAAGGCGTTCAGTATCCGCTTTATGAACCTTTCCCAACCGGTTTTGTTCCTCTTGCGCATGAGCGCTGAGCCGTCAAGAAAATAAGTCCGGTTGCGATCGTGGATATAGCAATCCCGCTTACAGATCTCTGCTAGCGTCTTCCAGCTCTCCTTTCAGTTTGATGCATTCCTGGCCATACCTCATGGCTTCTTCGTTTGAGGTACTGAGACAGCTTTTGACTGCACGAAGCAACAAAGTGAGACCTGTGATCTTGGCTTTGAACCCTTGTGACTAATCGTTAAGCAGCTTACCCTTGGTCAGCTCATCTTCTAGACGAGTGAGATCCGTAGAGGATTCGTCTTTTGCCTGGGCACGAACGCCTAAAGAGGCCCGCCGAAATCGCGTCAGCGACGTCGATAAACCTAAGGCATCCATACCAAGCAGACTCACGGTCACATTCTTGTTGCAGTTGGGTTTCATAGGCCTGCCTAAATCGACCGAGTTCGATGGCATACCTGTTCTCGTATTCAACCGAGATCTCTCCCACCGTCTTGACTCGTTTCTTGCATTTGTCTATTTCCTGTCGAAGTTGCTTTTGGCTGTTCGTCTTGTCCTGAATCTCCTTGGCATGCGCAAGGCGAGCTTGTTTGAGACGTTCTTCCTGGATCTTGAGCGTATGCTTCAAGCCCAAGAGTTCCGTTCGCAGACCGGCAACTTCGTGTTTCTCTGCCTCCAGCATTTGCGTCTTTGCAGCCAGATTTGGGTCAGTCCTGTATACTACGTGATCAAGGAACGCTACTCACTGTCTCTTTGAGCGCCTTTTCTCTTTCTTTGGTCTTCATGAGCAGACCGAAGGTAAGGTACATGTCCTTTTCAACGTCTGTTGTAAGCTCCTGATTGGGATTGCCGTCGGAATGAGACGTAACCGCTTGCGGCAACAGTGGTCGCGAGCCCACGACGCCGATCTCAGGTCGACGTTTGCTACGTGAACCGGTAGCCCGAGTCGGACTAGCGTGATCCTTTCGCAATGATCGGTTCGTAAGCGGAGATTTGGCGAAAGACCTTTTTTGCTTGTGACCAAACGCCTGGGCTGCCAGGTACGCAAAGATGCTCGGCCTTTCAGTTTCGAGTTCAGACCGGGATGTCGTGGGCGAGGGTGTAGCCTCTTGGTCGAAATGTTGTGTAGCTGATGTGACAGCTTGTGTATCAGAATCACGTACGGGTGCGGCATTTTCGTCAGCCACAGAAGAACTGGCGGGAGAGTTCATGACATCGTCGACCGGGCGCTCATCCTCCAGCTCGTGAACAGGGTCAACTTTGTTCTTGACCTTTTGTGGAAGCGAACGTCTGGGAGCAAAGTTGGCTATGACCGCTTCGTTATCGGCCATTTTCGACTTGTATTGTCGAAGCTTCGGTACGTTGGGAGATCCCGTCGGAGATGGCGATGCGCCTCGGCTCGGATGCTGTTCGCCGGGCGATACAGCGTTGCGATCGGTTTCGAAGCGCAAGACCTGTCTCGCCCTCTCGCTCAAATCTTCCGAATGTTGGGCCAGGTCGGGAAGATGGATGGCGCTGGTGTACTCGTCCTGGATCGGACTAGGCGAGGCTTCCTGACGAGTCGGTGCAGTGACCCTCGGCGCAGTGAAAACATCTTCAGGCGGGTCCAGCTCAAAGTCCTTCGTGGGGCGCAGGACAACATGGTCCACGTGATGTTGGGAAGCGGACGGGCTGTCGGGGTGATCTTCGTCCACGCCTTTGGCCAACCGGTTGTTACCGCCGTCCAGGTGATCAAGCATAGGCATCGGTTCAGTATTGTTCGCGAAAGTGGGAAGCCTTTGCATGCTGTAGGATGTGGTCCCGACGTCAGGACGGAGTCTGAACGGGTTGTCGAATGTAGATTGTTGTTGCTCTTGCTGATGATGATTGGGGGCTGGAGTAACGCGAAGCCTGTGACGGAACAACCAAATCATGAAATCAGACGAGAGATTTACGGTCGTGTCATCAGTCATGCTCACTCTTTCTGTTCGCCGGGCCCACTTTGCTTCGACATCTCGGCTGGCTGTCTTTCCGCTCTGTGTTCCTTTTCAGCGGCAGCTTGCCTCGCGATCTTGGTACCAGCGAACATGCCTCCAAGAGGCATCTTGTTTATCACAGCTTGGACTACCGTCTGAGAAGCATGAGGCTCTTGCTGGGCGCCAGTGCGAAAGTTGGCTCCAGTAACCCTGAGGTCTCCTGGTTGATTCGGTTCGGTGAGCGTAACACGAATGACTGGTCGGACGAGGGTGCTAGGCTGATCGGACTGCTCGAACTGGTCGTGGGACGCATTGCCTTTATCGATAGAGGTCACTGGAACCGAAGAGCTAGGATGATCAATGGAAGAGGAAGGTCCAGGAGTAGCAACCGGAGCCAGGGTTTGCTGTTGATCACATCATCAAAGGACGTTGGGCTCAGCGACCACGCAAAACTTATAGCGATACTCTACTCACCTCGACTTCCATACGGTCCTTGCTCTGATCAGAACCTCCACCCCACGCCTTCTTCTGTCTGTTCGAAGTGAAAGACGCCTGGACGATCGGTCCTTGAGCGGTGGCGTTACCATCTTTGGAGGGTTCCTTTCTGGTGTTCACGTCGACGGGCTGATGAGTCTTCGCTTTGCCGAACACAAACCCAGTCAAATCGACCTCGGAACCGTCCATGTTGAGTGGGTATGTACACGAGTTTGGCGGCTGAGTATCGCGAACCGAAAAAATCGTTGATGAGACTTCAAGCACGATATCTCGATGGCATCAGAGACTCACTCGAGCTGAAACGCGAACGAATGCGGAGGGAGACTGCTGGAAACGAGGCGAGAGCTTACCGAAGGATGATGTAAATGTAGAGTGTTCGATGAGAAAGGGTTTGAAAACCTTCGAGTTGTGTTCGGTGGCGAATATGATTAGTCTGCTAGCTGTGTAGGACGGTTGAGGTGCGATCTGATCAGTTTGATGAATCGATCAGGGAGACGGGGCAAGAGTCGAGCTGAGGTTGATCGATGATCTACGATCAGGGTTGACCCAAGCGCAGAAGCGCGCGCTTTTATTTGAGACACGCGCGACCTGAAGAACGGGATCGTGTGATTATCGAATTCATCGTACAACACGGCACACGCTGGTCGTACCGCATGCGGAAAGCTATGATACAGATGGTATACATGTCCCGAGCCAGAATATGAGGTCATAGCAAGTCAAAGTCGTCCAACTAAGATTTGCCAGCGAAAAAGCGAAATTTCGAATCAGCATGTGAGCAAAAATCGACTCTCGAAAGCTCAAAAAGGGTCGACTTACCTCGTCATTGTACTTGGCGATCGTCCTCTTCCTACTACTACCGTCGACCCAGGTGATAAAGTCTTCCATATTCCGAGTGACCATCATGGCGGGATCCGTGATGGGGGTAGGTCCGATTCTAACGTGTCCTTGCTCGATCGTCCGTACCGCCTGTTACGCGGGAGGGAGCAGAGGCATAATAATCAGCATATGTACAACATAAGTGAAAAGAGGCAGGCTCAAGTCGGTAGCGTCATGAGGCGTGCCGACTCTTGTTGGTCCAGAGCGATCAGACATGAGCGGCGTAATTTGGCGAGCTAAGGTACTCCCTCGAAGCCACGCCTCCCCTTGTAGGTTTCAAACCAAAGGTTCTCGATCTTTTCGATCGGTGTAGACATCCGCCTGACCTATCCAGGAGGCACCCCACCTGCTCCGACTCCGTCAGGCTACGGTCCCAAGCGATCGTCTCAGGTCGTCGAACCCTGTAACCCTCGTTTCTCGCTCGACCAGATTCGTTCTCACTCCAGGACTGCTGCATCGCCCATACCGACCTCGAACTTGATTTCATCCCAGACTCGCAACTCACATCAGCGACAGTCTCTGCCATCTTCAGCCTGACCATGACTACGGCCAACCTCCTCCTTGCAAAGGCCGAGACGGTGACCTTGTTCTCGACGTCGGACGGTTTGGTGCCGGTGTCTTCAAAGGATCAGAGTGTGGGTCGAGATGTGAGGAGTAAGACGGAAGGAAGATGATAGGATGAAAGGGAGGAGAGATAGATGGTGGATAATCCGGATGAACAGGACAGGAAGTAGAGATATTGAATAGTACTTTAGCTTCAATGACACCCATCTCTACCAATTCCAAACAACTCGAAACTCACCCAGGATCCCCATATCATACAACTTGTCCAAGACCTCCCCCTCCTTCCTCGCTCGATAAGGATCTTGAGCGGGTAACAAGCTCAACTTGTGGATCATCCCTCTCAACGACCCGCAGAGCTTGTTGTACTTGACGTAATCTTCCCGGTCTTGGATATGATACCGCCTCATGACCTTGATCTCACGGAGAGAGGCATCTTGTTTCCACTAAGGGATGAGAGGTAGATAGGGATGAAGCGGGCATCGTGGGAAAGGTCAGGCTGTGTGACGGAAGAACAGGCGAGGCGGGAGTTGGCGGACGGAGGACTCACGTCGAGAAAGTCGACCTTTTTCAACAAACGCTGCTCATGATGTTTCAACTGCCTCATCTTGTAGCTCTCGTCCTAGCCTATGTTTGATGGAGGTAATGTATAATGAACGGCTTTATCACGGGGATGTTATCGATTTGAACAGCATATTCAAACGAGTTCATCATCAGCTTCTCGATGCTTGAGAAGTTGAACATGCAAGATCACGTGACCTGACCGACACGAATCTCGGCTGCCGAAACGCGTCGCACCCTAGATCTTCCGTCGGATGTAAATTTACATCGACGCCGCCGTTGGTATCGGCTCCTAGCTTTGAACGGCCAAAGGGTTGTTCCGCATTCCTCGAGGCCTCGAGCGTCGCATCGCTGGCAAGTCTCGGCCGAATCGACTTCGATCGCAATAAATTAAGCCAAATACAAACAGCTTGACGATCGGAGGATAGTGAAGCACAGAGGTAGAACGGTTTCGAGGTGGAGGACGAAAAGCTCGGCCTGCTACGGGGCGAGACGCGACCGAGATGAAAGGCCGTTGCGCGCGAGCTAAAACTTGGCGTCGAGACCCGGGGCAGCGAGGCAGAGAGGATGGAATCCCTCGCGATAAAACGATGAGAAGGCTAGCGAGCCAAATCCTCTCGCCCCCAAGCTGGACCAAGAATCGGTTGGCCCTTTGTGCTGTGTTCCATACATCTCATTCGTCTGTTGGACACGATACCGCCGGTCTGTACAGGAAGGGGAGGATACGATCCGACCGGGGACCTGAGCCGAGAAACGATAGCAGGAGCAGAAGCGGGGGGGAGGTGCAACCAGGCGATTGTCGATTGTTTTGATTCCGCGCCGCCCGGATGGTCCGCATCTCGCGAGCTAGGACAGACCGCGACCTGGTTTGTATCGCCTGCGTGCGGCAACTTTGGGGGGGCAATCCTCCAGCAATTGACAACGGTTCGGTCTGGATCGACGTCGTCCTCGTCGGTTCTAAGGCAAACACTCGCAAGGGTGTAGGCATAGCATGCTACATCCCGCCAGGCTGCTGTCGAATCGTCCTTTCGCTGGCCCGACCTGCAGCTCCCATCAATCCACCCTCATCAGGTCAAAAGGTTGATCCATCAGTCCCTCTCGGACGCCGACGCTTTGCATAACCTCGTTCGCTCGTCCGCCCAACTCCCTCTGCGAATCAGCGAGTCCGAGCAGCAAGTCTCTTCACTCTATCTAGCTAGCTACAACTGTTAGTACAAGGACCTCTGAAGCTAGATCTCATAGGAAATCGCCGAGACGGGCTCGTGATCTGGTGAAAACAGGCAGACCGACAAATCCACGGCTCGCTCAAAACAGGATGGACATCAGGAATCTGCTCTTGGCTTTATCGTGATACGTTCTTCTTCGGCAGCCTCTCTTCCTACCATCGACTATCCTTCCTGCGTCATTATCGACCTCGTAAAGAGCTGCTCCAGCTCCAGGACTAGGCGATCATCATGGCTTATGCCTACGCTCAGCCTGGCGTGGTCGTGGCTCATCCCGGTCAATCTCAGATGCAGTTCCAGTCGGCTGCCCAGGCGAGACAGTATCAACAGCAGCAACAAGCACAGATCCTGCATCAACAACAGCTACAACAACATCACGAGCAGCAGCAGCAGCAACAACAGCAGATGCAGATGCAAATACAGTATCAGCAACAACACCCATCGCACCAGATGCCACAGGGAAACGTCGTCATGGTCAACGGCTACCCTCGACCCTCGAATTCGGCTGTCCAGCACGGTCATGCTCATCCTTCCCAGGAATACGCCGTACCGTTCTCGACGACCCAATACGCCGAGCACCAACCTGTAGCTGGTCCTTCTCACCCAGCTGGACAACAGGTGCACGGCCATCAGCAGGTCCAGATGGCCGTTCCCGCAGGTATGACGCTGCAGAGGACATCACAGGGCAGGATGATCGTCGTCCCGCTACCCGTACCCCACCCTTCCCATCCAGAAGGAGCAGCTCCGAATGGATACGCACATCCATCACAACCTCAACCTCAATCTTTATCAGCTCGACCCGGTCTCCAATTGACACCTCAGAACCAGTTTCACACGCCTATCCAACCTCAATCGCAACATTCGGGTTATACGGCCACTCCACGTACTCAGCCTACACCGGGTTTGATTCCAGGGACAGTCGCCAGGGTACCAACGAGCGCTGCGGACGTACTCGGATCTGCCTTGAGTCAAGGTCCTCTGGAACACCCGACGACCGGTGTAGGGGGTACGAATCCTGGTCCTTCTGGTCATCCGGATGAGATCGTCATGATCGACGGTCAAGCCTATTCGGCCCGGACTGTACGGGAACGTCAAGCGGTCCACCGGCATAATATGATGGTCCACCAGCAGCAGCAGCAACAGCAGCAGCAGCAACGTCAGATGGAGCAAGAACAGCTCGAGTTGGAACGACAGCATGAACTGAGGGCGAGGCAGCAGGAGCTGTCCGATGCCGAGGAGCAGGCGGAGGCGGAGATGCAGATGCAGCTTCATCTTCAACGCCAAGCGCAGGCTCAGGCTCAGGCTCAGGCTCAAGCTCAAGCTCAGGCTCATGCGCAGGCGACGGCCAGATTGCAGCAAGAGCAGCTGATACAGGATCGGGACCGGGACCGGGCGTTGCAGATGCAACAACAGCAAAGGCAGAAACTGCAGCAAATGCAGTTGGAACAGCGGCAACAGGAGCAACAGCAGCAACAGGCTCAACAGCGACAACAGAAGCTTGGACAAGTCCCGAATGGGGTTTATGGGGCACAGCAACAATCACCTGCGAGGGTCCAGCCTGGGCAGGCGGGTCCGTACCATACGCTCCGTGGACATGGTCAAATGCAGGAATCCCCCGTCGTCCCGATCCCTGTTCAAAGCGAAGCCCAGATCCAGCAGATGCGGGAAATTCAAGCTCAGCAGATGAGGGAGATACAAATTCGGCAGCAGTCGAATTCGACGCCCTCTGAACAACATGCAATACAGGTGAGGGCAGGGCAGATCTCGACGGCCGAAGCTATGGCCATGCGGGATCGAGAGAGGGAGATGCGGAGTGCTATGCAAGGACCGACGGATACTCCGGTCCAGTCGAGGTACGCATCGGGTCAACGCATGATACCAGGTTCGGCTATGAGCACTCCTGCCGGTCCTGGTCCCGGTTCAGAGATGGCTAGTACCGCCTTGAGTACACATTCTCAGCCGCCAAGCCAAGCTGGATCTGCGGTTCGGTTGGCGCAGATGCAATTACAAGCCGGGTTGGGTTTGGGTATGCCTGCAAAGAGGGAGGCCGTCGACGCTTCCAGTGCAGCTGGGTATCCGCCTCCAAGAGCCATAACCATGGTCATGCATGGGGAAGAGAAACCGGCAGGGGCGACCAGTCCGAACTTTGAGACCGAGCCTAGGGAGTTTCGACTCCCGACCGCTCGACTGGTCTCACACAGCCCGATGGCGCCTGGTCGGCCAGGCGTAGTGGGAACGCATCCTGGGGACAGGCAACCGAGTCATGTACCAGTGAGTCGCGGGCTGATCGTCTCAATGAAGTCATGACAATCCAAGCTGATCATTCGCGCGATTGCATAGGTATACGGCGACATGGAGGGTGTGCCGCAATTTATGCCTAGCGGGATCACGATCGGTTTGCAGGACGAGCAGGGTATCGTCAGCGGGGTTGAAGAGGATGCTGGAATGATGGTGCAGTGAGTGTCCACTTTCAATCCCCGTTCTGGGTTACCCGTGCTGAACGGATTGTGCACAGTCCGGCGATGAACTTTGGTCAGGCGACACTACGGATGATGCAGTTCTTTGAGCGAGTGAAAGACGCCTCAGAGGTATGTACCGGAAGGACCTGCCCTCCAACTTGGCTACGTGGCTTACCCTTTCCTCTTGTGCAGAGCGTGTACTTTTCCGCTTACCAGCTGCTGGTATCGGAGTACTTCCTCGACCAGGCGGTGCTGGAGTTGACATTGACTGGAGCGGAATCTAGAGAATTCTGTGAGTACGCACAGTCGACTTATCGTTCCCTATGATTGACCTTCTCGAATCTGTCATTCCCATAGCCATGCCGCAATACCTCCTGCCACGTTTCTTCAGCACGGTTCGTGGACATGAAGCGGTCCGGACCGCTTGGAATATCGCCAACCCTCGGGAAACATACGTCGAAGATCCCGAACTACCGGCTCCCGTCGCAGAAGGCAGTCCTCAAGGAGTCGCCCTCGAGAGTTCATCCTTGTCATGGTCCAAATACATGGCAAACGGAGCCGTCGTCATCTCGCATGGAGCATGTCGTGCGATCTGGACGCTGGAACCGATGACCGGCATACTCAAAATGCACCGCTTGGAATTGGCTTTGCGGGCCAATGACGACCTCGTCTTCCGCTCGGCAATACAAGTGACGCAGCAGACGCCGAGACTGGCTTCCCAGTTGCAAGTTCGCATGGAGCATTTCGACGGGGACGAATCGATCTCCGCCTCGCCTCAGGAACAGTTCCAGGTAAAGGTTGAGGAACGGCTTGGAGACATGATCCCCTTGTCGACACCTCCCATATCAATCGATAGCTGCAAGACAGACCAGTCTCCTCAGCAGGGTGATGGGGGACAGGATCAGCGCAAATTGCTGGAAGCGGGCGAGATTACGCTCAACGGATCAGGTCAACGGTCGCTAACGGGTTCGCGGCAACAAAGCCATAGCGAAACCGGAGAACTCGTGGCCGAAAATTACAGCGAGAGCCATATGACACGGCAGGTGCGGCAGTCGAGCGGGGTGCGGGTGAATATACCGGCGAACCCGCTGGATCAGTATGGGATGAGCGCGTCATCGCTTAGGTTCCTCGATGTCAGTACTTGCGTGGCCGAATCACCAAATTGTGCATCGGACTGACGTTGGCTATTCACAGTTGGCGAGCACTTTCCTAGGTATGGTCCCGCTCTTCGACTTGAGCCTTAGAGAGCGCATCAGCCCAAAAGGTAAATTTCTGTTTCGTAATTATGATCGGGATGCTTTAGTTGACCGCTTCCTATGCCGTAAAACCAGTCGCCCTGCAACAAGCCGTAGCCCGAGACCGAGTCGGATTGACAAACAAGAGTGCGATACAGCCTCTCGACGAGGACTCGCCCGGTTCAGACCAGAACGACGGGATGGTGCTGGCCGATGCGCAGCAACAGCACATCATGCCCGCCAACGGGTTACAGCCGGCTCATCCCGTCCTATCTATCCGGACCAACAACTTGACGCCGACACCCATGTTCACGAGCGCTTTTACGACGACACCGCTCTCTACCTATCCTCCCCTTACGCCCCAGAACCAGCCGACCCCTGGTGGTATGGCCCTGGTCGTCGGAGGCACACCTCGTCATTCGGTGGACGAGATGTCTGCGACCCCCTTTTCCTCCTATCACGGGTCTCAGAACGGGACGCAATCACAGCAAGGCAAACTCAAACGCAAGCTGGATCGATCTGTGGACTATCAGGAGGAGGGTGGGGATGTTCCCGGAATCGCCAGACAGCAATCGCAAAAACGGGTCGCCCCGAACGCCAGAAAACAATCAAGCACCAGCACGGTGAATGAAATATAGAAACGCCATGCCTCGCCCCTCATTCCGGAAATCTCTCGACCATTCTTACGACTCGACCTACGCTCTATAAGGGCAATGATAAACGGTCGCCACGAACATTCTCACTTCTCTTGATTGTCACTCGGACAGGACGGAAGGATCTCTTTTGTTACTCGCTCAAAGAAGGTCTACTTCTTCACACTCATGTACAGCTGGTCTATACCCTCCAATGCCGACCGGGCGACCGGTCCACAGGACAGAATCCTGCATGTTATGTTGTATCTCATAATACGAAAGCGGGGCTCAAAGGTCAAGGTGTGCCTTTTTCCGATCGATAGGTTTGCCTCCGGGACGTGTGGCGCGCTACGAAATTAACATCCGGTGATCAGCTGGAACTCCCGGCTCAGTGGTCCATTCCATCAATTCCCATCAATCATCAATTCCCTTTCGCTCGCAAAACAGACAAACAAACAAGAGTCGAATGGTCAGGAGATTCCTCGCATTCCTCCTTTCTTTCCCTTTATCAATTGATACCTCACAACCCTACCCGAGTCCAAACTTAGGCTCGTCCCCATCCGGCTTTTTCTACGCCTGGAAACAACGATCAACAGCGATTCCTCGCACCATTCAGCGTCGACGCTAGACGCATCATTCCGCACCACGCCTTTGCATCACAAGAGCATAGTCGACTTTTCCACTCGAACGGTATGACTGAAACTTCTTCCTCCTTCAAACGTCTCGTTTATAACTGATTCAGCGTTCTTGCCACTCGCCAGCGCTATCAACCCGTTGCATCTAGCCGGTTGACCTCTCCCTTGCTCAACACCTCTTTTTACGGCCATAACACGTTGCCATAATCTTTTCCCCCTCGATCACCCCCTATTCTCGTTCTCGCCACTATGCCTTCCGTCTTGGATACGCCCTCTCCGCCGCGGGTCAAACATAGCTACGGCCCATCTAGATACGAAAAGGAGGTCGAGAACGGGGGACCACAAGAAGACAGAGGAGGAGGCGTCAAGTCGATCGGGGAATGGAGATTGGGAAGAACGGTCGGTAAAGGGGCGAGCGGTAAGAGTAATCCCACAGACGTCATCTCGTTTGATCTAGGCTGATGCTGATTCAATGTCGCTGCTGGTACGCTCTTCGTTCACCCTCCCTTTCGCCTTTCATCAACCTTCCATGATAACAACGGTCTTGCCACAATCCCTCATCACCATCATTCTCCCACGATCTCAACCTGTCTACTCCCTCATCAATATACCATAATACTACACCACTGCGCTCCACCAGGCCAAGTCAAGATCGCCAAATCCATGCGAACCGGTGAATACGCCGCCGTCAAGATCGTCCCGCGTCACATAATGGTCGCTTCCGCTCAGCGCTACGATCAGCAAGACGCCAAACAACGCCGCAAGTTGCGCGAGCGGGAAGAGAGACAGCAGTTGACGTTGGAGAGGGAGATCGTCATCATGAAGCTCATTGATCATCCGAACGTGATCAGCTTGTTGGATGTGCACGAGAAGGACGGCTTGATGTGAGTTGTTTCCAAACCGTCAGATGAGGCGTAATACTGAAGCTGAATCCTACGCGCTCGCCCGATAGCTACCTCGTCCTCGAATATGTCCAAGGCGGAGAACTCTTCGAATTCCTAGTGTCTTCCCGCCGTTTTGATGCCAACGAGGCGTCCAAATACTTTCAGCAAATTATCCGGGGTCTCGACTATTGCCACCACTTTAGCATCTGTCACCGAGACCTCAAGCCCGAGAACATCATGTTGACCGCCCATAAGAACATCAAGATCGCCGATTTCGGGATGGCCGCTTGGCAAGGGAGCAACCAGTTGCTCGAGACTTCCTGCGGTAGCCCTCACTATGCGAGCCCGGAGATCGTCAGGGTGAGTCACATTGCCTGATCGCGCGTTCAGGAGGCAAAGCTGAAGTGCAAAGTGCACTATTCCTCGGGCTTCAGGGACTATCTTACCACGGAGCCGCCTCGGATATCTGGTCGTGCGGTGTCATCCTTTACGCCATGTTGGCAGGAACCCTGCCGTTTGATGACAAGGACATGAAAGGCTTGCTTGAAAAGGTCGGAAACGGAGTATACGAAAAGATCCCCAGGGACATTCCTAGGGACGCGCGCGACTTGATCGAGAGGATGTTGGTGGTGGACCCTTACAAGCGTATCACCGTAAGTGCATATCTAACACTTACAGCAAGCGGAATACATCATATGCTCACAAGATGCCCTATATGCCTTCAGATGCGAGAGATCATGTCTCATCCCTTCTTCTTTCGACACGATCCGTCCCAGGACGATCACCCAGTCCCGATCGTCGATCCACCCAGACTCGAGGTCCTCTCCCGATCGCTCAAATCGCTCAGTCTCATCGACCCAGAGATCCTGGAGAGTCTTTGTTCCCTGTGGAGGGGGACGGAAAGGGAAAGGATCGTGACGGCTCTGCTTGGAAACGCGTGAGCCGGTCCCGGGATCCGTTATCGTCTTTATCGGCCATTTTGCTTATCGCTATGTTTGGCTTTGCAGGCAATGTTATGAGAAGGTATTTTACTTCCTGCTCGACAGGCACAGGAAGAAACGTTTGGAAGATTACAACGAGCCCGTCGGTGATGTGCCGGCGGTACGAGTTCGTAAGCATTGTCGGCTGCAGGGCCGGTCCGTCATCATCCGTGCTCACTCCCGCGATAAACACACAGGAAGGGCCCCTCGCAAGAACCCAACCGGTGACGTCTTCAGTGGACAACAGAATAGTACAAACCCCGCCAACCCTGCTCAACGTCACTCTCGAACGCGTACACGATCAGGAAATGGGATCCAGAGGTTGAACTCACTGCGAGAAGAACATCGTCCTGCTCCATCGCCTAAACGTCCTTTCTTCAAGCGTAACCATGCTACCGACGATCCTCGCCTTGCTGGAGAGCTACCGGATACGTTCGCCAAGACATCGCCCCAGAAAAGACCTGTCATGGGACCTCGGCCCTTGTCGTTACACGGTTCGCCTATCAAGGAAAACAAACTCGCCCCAGTGCTCCCGAACATTTACCTTGGCGAAATTGTCAAAATCGAAGAGCTAGAAGACCCCAACTCGCCCCGTTCTGCTCCTCCCTTGTTGGCTGAATTCGCTCTCGGTAAAGAAAACCTGGAAGCTGCAGTCCAGCCTCGAGACTTTGATGCACCCGAATCGCCAACGCCTGTCTCCCGACGCACTGCAAAATCTACCGGACGACGCTCGGATCTACCTGTACTTCCCGAAATCAAACAGGAAGCGTTCTTCGCCGAACAACGCCCCGATAACATTCAGATAGAGACGGATCACGGTCCAATGCTCAGCCCTGGACTTCCGGACAGCCAATACTTGAACATCTTTCTGCAAGCCAATCCGGACGGAAACGCAGATTTGGACGCTTTCCTCCGGGCTGCTGCTTTTCACGTCGCAGCCTTTCGTCAATTCGGTACCCCGCTACCTCATATTCCTACATCTCCCGGCGTGCCCAGGGTCGACTTCCAGACCCAGCAGCAAGAAGTTCTTCGCGATCGGTCTACTGAACGATACCAGGACTCTGTCTTCGAATCGACAGACGACAGTCACAACGATTCCGATGATACCCGCGCCGGAACATACAAGGACAAGCCTTTGCCGGAACGCGTCGAGTGTGCAAACGAAGTTCGTCGAGCTAGCGCATCGACGGCTGACACGGTCTTTGTGGATGCGGTGGAAGAGATGGAGACATTGGCAGAGGAGAGTCAGAACGCGAAGAAAGATGCGGAAGAAGCACCAGTCGTCAAGAAGAAAAGGAGTTTTATCAGGCGGAAAAGCTATGCGAGCGGTAACGAATCGGTCGACAGTCACGATGAGACGCCAAGGAAACGTAGCAAGAGTGCTTTCGACAGAGCGCTCGACTTCGGTAGCAAAAAGAATGGTACGTCTGAATGTCGAGCTGAAGTCTACTCGGTATATACCTGACTAATCATAACATCTTCTAAGCAGCTTTGCCTACCAACGATCAAGGAAACGAGAATACCCCGCGTCAACATCACAAGGGTATCGAGTACATCGCGCCTCCACTTACTTCTCCTCTCGAGCAAGAGAACAAGACTAGCTTTTTCCGCGCCCTGCGCTTCAATTGGAAGGGATTGGTAAGTCGAAGAGCCTTGACTCGTTCTGTCTAAGTGTTCTGAGCACCTTTGCATACAGCGCAAGACTTTCGTTTCCCATCGTGACCCTGGTACTGTCGCCGACGAATGTCTTCGGATGCTACACGGCTTCCGAGTCATTGTCGATGCCGATGAGCATGATACAGGCGCGTCCTTGAAATGTAGAGTGGACTCTTTCAGAGGTGAGCGCTGCGGTGGTACTTCGCACGAGGGAACAATGATACTCACCGCTTCGCCTTCCGGAATAGATCCTGCCAGTGGGCTCAATTACGAGAAGCAACTCAGGTTCCGGGTCGACATCCGCTCTTTCAAGGCTGAAGAAACGGCCGAACCTGAGCTTCTTTCCTCTTTGATCACGTTTACTCAAGAACGGGGCTCGGCTACCGTCTTCAATGTCGTGATCGAGCGATTCCACTCGGAATGGTTGTAAGTCGAAACGGGCACATGGGCGAATGCACTAGAGACGGGACGACTGATGTGCATGTTGTCCTCGCAGCCTCGACAAGTTGACTATCGCACAGTGAAGGGCCTGATAAAACCTCTAATATATACCGATCTGATCCTGAATCACCTAGTATACATATGACTTCACAATCGATAAATCGTTGATCGTGACCTGCGAGTGATGATTGACCTATTCCATACGATCTATCTTTCCTCGCGCGGGATCGATTCAATCGTGACAAATGCTGCGCAGTGATAAAAGAGCTAAGAGCTTGAAGTAGCAGTAATCGCAAACCGGTCACCTACTAGATGTTTTCCTCCGGGTCGGAGCCTTCGAATGGGGCAAAGGCAGGAGCATGGGGTCTCGTTTCAGGATAGAGGCCAACGGGACCCCTCGCCGCACCGGTGGAGCGTCCACATCGGCAACGTCCTTGTAAGAAGATCGTAATCATCAGCATCTAGAGATTTCAAGTGGTCGTGATCAAAGCGTAACTCACCTCGACTGTAGCAGCCAGAGGTCCGTTGGACTGCCTCTCCATGATCGTGGTCGGGCGGGACTCGGGTAAAGGATGCCTTTGAGCAAAGTCGATCGCGTTGATAGAGTGCCTTTGGTGGTGACGCTGAGGATGATTGACTTCGGTACCATACATCGTTCCAGGCCGAGTCTCTGGTAAAGGTATGTTGGCAGGAAGGACCGATCCTTTGTCAAAGGTCGACTGGGGTGCGTCGCGCCCAGGGCTATCACGCGAAGGTGGCATCACATGGATCTGCAAAGGAGCAAGGAGTTTCGAACAGAAAGGGATATGGATCAAAGGGAATGGCATGACGAGAAGTTACATCAATGGTACCAAGGGGCTCTTTCCGGAGCACCCACTGTCGGAGCGCGTGAAACGCCGAGCATTCCGCCACGCGACCCGCCGCCGCTAGGCTCGCGGTAATGTTGATTGATCGGTTCCATATTGTTTTGCTCTGGGGAAAGGGACATGGGGTGAGAACCTTCTGGATGGTATTGATTGGTGGCATCGGGGAGCGTAGCAGTGTGTCGAGCCGCTCGGTCTGAATCGTACATACCCCTCAGATTATTATCGTTAGTTGTGGCGGTGGCGGACATGCCCAACGGATTCGGCATGACGGGCTGCTGAAATATCACCTGACGTCAGCGTCGAACGGCAGAAAGCGGAACAGAAAAGACGTACCTTGGGCTTGAACTTGCTGCTCATGAAAGACTGCATTGATCGGGCCGGGTGGTAATGAGTACCGCCAGCCGTGGAGGGCGGCAGCGGAACCCGATGTGGATTGGGCTGTGACAATTTGAAACTATTGAGCCAGATGTCACAAGGTGTCACAATGGCAATCAGACTTACCGACTGTCTATCCATTACCTGCTCGTCGGTCTCTTCAATCATCGATAATGGGTCGTCATCCCCGCGAAGACCCGCTGCCAACCGGGATCGCGCCGTCTTGTTCGACCTGTGAGTGGCGTGCGAAGGGGGTACCGGCCCACGAGAAGGAGCCTGGCCGTGATGGTGGTACTCGGAGGTTTCGCGTGAGCTGTCAATGCGAGCAGGTAAACAAGGATATTATCTTGCTGAGCGCTCCCGACTTACTCCGGTAGAGGCATTCCTCTAGGATCAACCGATTGCGCTCCTCTCATGTCGGGATTAGGCCAGAGTGGCACAGCGTGGTCGAGAATCGACTCGGTTCGATGAGTGGGGAAGGGAGGGTAGCGATCGGCTTGCGACAGGCTCCTATCAAAGGGCGCATTGTGATCCTGCCTTGGCGGAGAGAGGATGTCTCGGGGAATCTGACTACCTTGTCTGGAGTGACCCGCTCGACTAGGTTGTTGATGATGACCTTGATGCGACGATCGACCATGAGGCGACGGAAGAGGCTTGGTCAACAAACTGGCAGAGTCGGGGGGTGCGAGTGTGTCAGGTGCGCGCGAACGAGTGTGTCCCGTTGGCGCTTGCGAGGGCATGGTAAAGGTCCTCTGAGGCGCGCCGTGGAGCATGTTTTGCATACGAGGGTCGTGCTCGACTCGGTCCAAGTAGCTGGACGCGGCGTTGGCTCCAGCCATACTGTGTGGGGGCATAGCAGGTGGATCCCTGGGCGAGGGTTCCCGGTTGCTGCCGGGGTACGGACTGGTGCTGGGTCGACGATTGCCCTGCGCTTGCGACGCCACTCGCTGCGCTTGTTGATTCAGCCGATCAGCCGAATCTCCAAAGCTCTGATACTGCGGTCTCGGTTGTTGACCCTGCTCGGGAGACTGTTGTTGCTGAGGCTGACGCTGTTTGTCCTGTCGTACCTGTGCTCCTTGCTGCTCATCAGTTTGTGGGTTCTGACGTTCGTTGGGGTGCAAGACACCGGAAGGAAGGTAGCCCATCGGTTCGATCGGAATAGGCGGGTTCACCATCCACCTCTCGATCTCTTGGAAGGCCTGTAGAAACACAACCGTAAGTAAGTATAACCGGGTTGCTCAAGAAGTTCTAGACTGACCTCGAGTCGGCCTTCATCTCTGCCCGCTTCCCTCGCCTCTTGCACCTTGTAGGCTTCTCTAAGCTTGACCAACCTAAAGACGTCGGCATCAGCCATCAGTCCAACCGAAGCAACGGTAGGTCACCTGACGCTCACCTCTCCCTAGTCTCCTCGAACAACCTCAACCCTTTCCTCCTCTCCTCATCTAACTTGCGACTCTCCTCCTTGGCCCGTCTCAACGCCCTGACCGCTCCAGCCAACTCGTCCCGGTACGTCCTGACCTCTTCGGCGCGCGCCACGGCCTCGCGCTCGGTCTCGGATCGAGTGACCTGTTCGGCAATAATCCGCGCTTGGAGGTCGCGGACGGTGTTTTGAAGGGACTTGAGTTGAGATTTCGAGCGGTGCAAAGAGTGTTCCCTGCTGTCAGATTCGCGTGCTACGGTGCGACGCATTTGGTATGAGCATCTGCAATAATGATGGGTGCCACGACAAACTGACCTCGACTAGCCTCCAACCGACGTTGCTCTCGTCGCTCGTCATCCAACGCCTCCCTCATCCGTTCCATGTTTCGGCTAAAGCACAAAGCCCGTTGATAATTAGTCACCTCTCGTCAATCATCCCGGTTTCGATTTTATGTAACTCACTAAGGCAACCCGACCATCCCCGTCAACCCCGTCTGTCCGGTCATCCCGCTCCGAGCCCCGATCGTCATTCGATCCATCATACTCGCCACCTCGCTCTCCGGTACACCCTCCGAGATCTCTGGGGATCTCCAACCTCCTCCCCCCATTACCGACTCTCTGGCTGTGGGTGCGTAAGAGCGCCGGTCGTCATGGGCGTGATGTTGAGATTGGGATGGGGCGGGTCGTCGACCCGGCAATTGACTTTCAGGGTAAACCTGGCTCCATCCGGTCCCAGCTCTCGACCTGAGCGTCGCCCTATCCGCCTCTCCTTCCCGTCCTCCACCATTGCCTCCGTAGCCAAAGTTCGTACTCCTCTCCGACCTTGCCACTTCGCTCTCATCTCCACCTACATCGACGTTCGTACCCCCCGTCCTGCGTCGATGAGGCGGGGAATACCCTTCTTCTCCCCCCGGACTCTGTTCGTCAAAGGTTCGATGGCTCCGGGCTCGACCTTGACTATGACTCTGTCCACCCTGACTCCTAGCCCAATCATCGATGTTCATCCTGCCTAAATCTAGATCCTTGTCGTTCTCTTGGTCGTGATCGTGGTCGTGATCATACGTGTCGGGCTTTTGATAGTACCCTGTCAACCTCCTCGCCTTCTTTTCCTCTTTTCCTCCTGTTCCAGCGACCGAAGACCTCCTTCGGGGTAAAGCGCTGCCCGTACTACCCCGTCTCTCCACCTTTTCCTTACTCCTCTTTGCTCTTCGGACGGCGAGCTGGGATAGACTCTGCGAGGGTGCTAGCGAGGTCGTGTCGTCTCGTCCGGATCTCGAGGTGGGGGAGAGGGGCGAGGGAGGCCCTTGGTTGTGGGAATGAGATTGTCCGTAAGGGTACGGAGGAAGCCTCGCGCTATCCGGATGAAGCAAGCCGAATCCGGGGTTTGGGGCTGCAGCTGGAGCTGGGATTCCTTGATCTTGACCTTGCACCTGCTGAGGGTTCGCAGACGGTACCGGTTGTGTTTCAGGTAGAATATACGGTTCGGGCAAGAAATAATCCTGATCCTGATCCGGTTGGTTTGGCAAGACTTGTCCTTGGTGTTGGTGTTTGTCAAGTTGGTGGTTTTGACTTTGATCCTGAGTCTGGTCTTTAATGGGACCGTGTCCGAAAGCGTTGGCGAAGACGGGCGGAAACCCGAACGGTTTATGTATCCCCCAGTCTAGGCCGAAGAACGATTTTCGATTCTGGTCAGGCTGTCCAGGTAGATTCGACGGCGGCGCTCCCGATTGAGATTGAGATTGGGATTGAATTTGGGGCTGCGGCTGGTACTGAGGTTGCTGTTGCTGTTGATGACGACCGCCTACGCCTCCTTGTAGTCCAGCTTGCTCGATGTTGGGGTGAATATCAATACCACTTGACAGGTAATGCTCAGGCGCTCTTGCTGTCGAAATGGGGCGCGATTGAGAGGACGTGGTGATATGCGACCCAAAGTACTTTTCCAGCGCCGCGATTCTACTCTCCGGTCGAACAGAACAAAAGAGTACGAGTACGCAAGTATGAGTGACAGTATTGATTTTTTGAGTTTGCGTCAAAGTCAGATGATACGCGGAGAGAGGATTGGGAAGAACAAAAGACCCATGAAAAGCTCACTCTTCGTCGGTGGGTCGGCTGGGCAAGTTTGAGGGAACAAAGTAAGATCTCGGTGGGCCGGTCTGGTCTTGAGGATGATCTTGTTGCTGCTGGTGCTGGTGCTGGTCCCGTGGGTCGATCACCATGATTCACCGCTTAGTGGTTCTCCCGGGCTCCTAATGGGTCCTCTTTTGTTCGAATAAGAGAGGTCGACGATGTATGAACAAGAGATGTCGATGGGATGACGGTCCATCTATGCCAGGTAGCAGGGAGACGAGTATTGAGATGAACCCCCTTGCTCGACGTCGCAGACGTTCGACGACTTTCCATCTTTTGTCAAAGTACGTCCCCCTATCAAAAGCACAAAGGGGCCCATTTCTCTCAACATTACCCGATTCAGTAATCCATCCACCTTTTTCATCAAATATCCTTCCATTCCCCTTTGAGACAAGTTTTCCACGCCGATCATCATCCTTTGGATCCTTTGATCCGGCAGTTCGACCCGAAAGGGGAAAGGAAAAAGAACAACAAACAAGGGCAAGTGACATCATCCCGCGCAAGGAGACGAGACGAGATGAAACGCCGGATGCAGATCAGTCTCCCTTTCTGCCTCGGACGCGCGTGCGCTTTTGCGGTGGTCGGGTTACCGCCGGGAAGAATATGTAGGCAGGGTACAGGGTGTACCTCGGGCGAAGTCAACCGTGGGAACAGAGCACACAACACGCCCGTGGTGTAGACAACACGTCTGCGCTTGAGACAACACGTCTGCGCTTGAGACAACACATCTGCGCCATGGATAACACGTCCCCCCGCAAACAGAAGAACGAAGCCGTGGATCTAGTTCTTACACGCGTGCGAAGCATCTGCAGCGTAGACAGGCACCTTGACACCGCAACGCCAACTGACGAGCCTATAGCCGGACTAATCTGTCGCAAATGTTGCCTCTCATTGTCTTCGGCTACTTCGACGCCCGAACCACTCGAGGACACACTTCCTAACAGCGATTGGCCAAGGGAATTGATTTCTCATCGCCGCAACAGTCCTTGCCCGAAGGGATTATTGGATCAAATTATGAATACTACAGCTAGGAACAGGAACTGAAGACATAGCGACTACCACTACTTGTTATGATGACGAATTGTCCGTTTTCTCTGTTTGACTATCTGGTTGTCCATATTCTCTCGCGTATCGTTTTCTCTGATTGTCCATATATTCTCTTTCGGATCTCTTTGTGTGATTGTCCATTCCGATCCCAATTCCGATCTGGTTCTCATTCACGTTTCCATCCTCAGTCTGTTCGGCCGTCCCAACACCCAAGCCAATCCTCCGTCTCTTGAGCGAGGTCCCGGCGGAGTTTAGAGGAAAAGAGGGGGTCCGGTGGTGAACACCTACACCCAACCCAAAAGCAGACACAGAAGAGTTATTATGATCAGTTCAGAATCCCGTCGCTCTCCACCAAAAAGACAAAAGCTTACCTGCTGAGGGTTGCCTCCGGAACAAGTCCAAGTCTGGGCGGTCCGTCCGTCTTCCCTCTTGAGGTCCATGCATTGGGCTACGGAATCGATAAGAAGGGTTAGACATGCTTCGCCCGAGCGAAAAGCAGGAGGAGAAGCGCAAGATGTAGTCGGGAAAGGGTGGGGTTACGATTGAGTACTTACTGCCTCCTGTGATGGCGATGTGCTGCAAAAGTGGGTATCGTATGAGCTTGCGATCGATGAACTCGTTGCACAAGACGAGGACTTACGTTGTCGTCGGCTATGGGGCGTGAATATGAACCGAAACGAATGAGTATGGAGACAGAGGCAAATACGAAACGATAGGAAAGCCAGGGCTGGAGATAGATCGAAAGACTGACTGTAGTACCACTGCTGCTGAGGAACTCCCGGGTAACTAGCACCATCCCCAAACCCCACGCATCAGCGACGCACAGCTCTAGCTTACTCTGCCCCAATCTGTCGCTCACCAAGTCCAGACCTTCAACTCGATCCCGTTTCCAGGGTTGCTCCCCGCATCCAAGCAATAGTTGGATCCGCGCAACTTGATCTGACCGTCTCCCTTGTTGATGTCCCAGAACTGGTTGGCGCTGAACCTGGTGCTCTGAGTGTCACAAGCGCCGCTGAGAATCGACACGACCGATGGAAGATGGAGAGAATAATTAGTATGTCGAAGGATTCGAACGGGACAACTAGGTCAGGTGGGTGACTTGCAAGAGGACCAAGGTCCCATCGGAAGGCGATCTGGCACCCAGCGTAAGACACTGGGAGTTGTCTCCATTAGGGTGGATCAATTTGATGTCCGGCTGGTTGGAAGGAGGAGTAGTAGTAGGCGGAGGAGTAGTGGTAGGAGGAGGGGTGGTAGTCGGAGGCGGAGTGGTGGTTGGAGGGGGTGGAGGGGTCGATCCCACAGCTTCGGCGGTCCAAGTCTGTCCACGAGCGTTACCGCACTGCGTACCGTAAAGCGACATCAGAGGTGATCATGAGCTTTCTGAGGCGAGATGAGATGAACGACACTGAGAAAAGACGCACGGTCTTGGTTCCCGGAGCGCATCCTCCGAGCCCACAGCCTCCACCTGCACCGTCCAAGCAGACCGTTCCTCCGGTGATGGCGATATGGTTGTCATCGGTGTAGTACCACCGTTGATTGGCAAGTCCCTGCAAATAGCAAGGAGAATATGGATATTAAGAAGCAGCGTGATGAGTTTTCGGAAGTGTATATGACATGATAGGCTTACGGGGTAACAGGTCCAGAGCTTGGCAGGTCCTCCATCCATCGGGTCTGCAATCAAGTATGCCCGAGTGAGAAGACTGGATATATGGCATGCCGACGCCGGATCTCATGGACTTACTACTGCCAGCGTCCAAGCAGAAGTTAGTTCCGGTCAACCTCACGACCTGGTTGTCACCCTTGGCGATCTCGAAGCCGGTGGCAGCCGAAGCACAAGGGATGTTGTATAGCGGCGTTCCGTCTCCAGGAGTGGTACCGGTAGGAACTCCCAGGCAGAGAGTCTTATCACCGGCTGGGTGAAGTTTGAAAGCGGGAGCTCGCTTGATGAGCGGAGAAGCCGAGGTGAGAGTAGTGAGGATGGCGATGAGGGAGAGTCGAGACAGCATGGTGGTTGGCAGTCGTTTAGATTTATTTGGGTGAAGTTGATTGTAGCAAAGCTGCGAACGGACAATTCAACAAGAACCAATTGTTGAGATTCGCCTGCCCTTATATGTTCGTTCGAGGAACCGCGAAGCGTAACCGGATATGCCTCTTTTGGTCGTTGATCCACTTCGATTTATGCTTCCGAACCGAAAAAGCCACTGCTCTCCGTCACCTGACGTATATCGCTCGGATATTCCTCTGAAGTCGGACCCTCGTGACCATGTGCGAGTCTGGTTATAGAACGTTCCAAGGTGGTGACAACCACACACAGCCTTGGCAAACAAACGAGCTGCCTGCTGTCCCTGTGTCGGATCTGATCCGAGAGCTGCGTCGAGGCTTGTCGGCTCGGTTCAGGCCCAACGGATCTCATCGCTGAAACGAGCCAGGACGTCATCGGAAGCATATTCGAGATTCCTGACATGCGACCCGTCGACCCTCTCGAGGTAGACCAGGTACCGTGTATGCGGTACAGGTGAACGTGTGCCCGAAAGACCATATGCGCTGTGTACGTATGTACCCTGTGACCTGTGATCACTGTGATCCATAGGCCACAGGTTGACTACACAGCCTGTTCGAAGAAGGCTCCCACCTTGCCCAAAAGGGTGCGTTCGCGCTTCTCTCTTCAATTCGGATCCGGCCGGACCCGGAGGCGCATCGTGGTACATCCTTCACCTGACGAACGATATGTCAGCAGGACTCCATGTACCTTCGGGGTCTTCAAAGGAAGACGTCTTCGACATAGCCGAAAGGAGGTTTACGTTCTCGCCAGCTTGAAGTCCATTGACTCGAGCTGCACAGCCTCAAAAAGCGATATCCAATGTGTGGCTCTTCATCGGACTGGTCCGTCAGCACGACCGGTGTGGAGACGACTCTGTGGACACCTTGAGCCCTGAGAACGCTTCTACAGATGCACAGCTTTCGAATCGTCGGATTACGTGCTTCGATTCGTCACACCGAGCTATATCGGGAGGTTTCGTTCGAAGTCGTGCTCTGCTCGACCATGCGTCAGATATCAGGCTGGACAGGTGTTCAGGTGAATTGGGAGTTTGTTCAGAAGCGAGGCCCGGTGCGTAGTCTTCGTCGGCATTCTTGGTGGCCCACCTTCAAGCCTTCAATGGACTTCGACACGAGCTTCTGAGGAGCCCCTGACAGTGAGGCGTGGCAATTCGGGAGAACGCTCGTACAGTCGAACTCGTTGTGTACTCTAACTTTTGGTGCATCCTCGTCACGATCTTTCCACTACTCCAATCTACGTCCACATGGACAGAGGTCTCGTGGGCCATCGCAATCCGTTATGATACCAGCGGAACCTGACACCGACGATTACAAGTCACGTGATCTGTGTTGAACAGGGGAAAGCGGCAAATGACCTGCAATTGCCGCCGAGCTCATCTCCTCCCGCCAAACGTTTTTCGCCCAGTATTATAGTTCGTCCCTGATCTTTTGTGCTCGACTTGATGATCTGATGAGATGGTCCATGGCTATTGTATGCGGGAACGTCTGTCTTGACGAGATGTCGATGGTGGTGTTTGAAACATGAATGCTGCCCCGCCTGGGTGTCGACACGGGTGATCGCACGCGAGGGCCATGACGAAGGACGACGTCCCTCGCGAGAGATCGAGACCGGACCCTTTAGCTCTTCTGGACATGGCTTGTACAGAGCTTGTAACACCTCAACCAACTGTAACATCTCAAGTTCCAGAGCCCTGGACTACCTCGCGTCTTGCGTTCCATAATAGCCATAGACGACTCGCCGCAGGCTCCAGAGGAGACAGTTATGATACCCACCTAGAAGCGAGGAGCGACCTGAATCAACCTAATAAGGTTCGAGATTTATAATACGAGCATAGAGATAGAAGCGGGCATCCAGCATACGAAACCTCCTCGATTCTCCCTTCTCCATCCACCTTATCCGTCAATCCGATGGACCTGAACGATCTGCACCACAGGGGTGGTCCACACTCTTCCGAACACGATTTCGATTTCGAATTCAAGATCGATTTCGCTTCGAAGGGCTTGTACGATGTCAAGCAGCTCGAATCCACCAGAGAATCTCCCTGGCTACAGACGGGCCAGACGATCCGAGTACTACAGGGATTAGCAAAGACGAATAGGAAGCGACTGAAAGCTTGGGAGAATGGGGGCTTCGAGCCCGGTGCCGGGCCTGATGGAGCACATCGGGATGGGTTAGAAGATCAGGTGGATGAGGAGGTGGAAGTCTACTACCAGATCTTCGTGGGTCCAGATCAAGCAGGTGAGTGCTCAAGATGTTCGATGGAATAGGCTCGCTTCGGCTCACGTGTGATTCGACTTCGCTAGCTATCCGAGCTTTCCATAGCGATAGAGCGAGGTTTCACGACCTATCCACCGCTGGATTCCCTTACCTACAAACACACCTTGCTTTCCTTGACGACCTCCAGTACTCTGGTTTGTGGACGATTACCGAAATACCTTCGTCGTACACGAAGCAGTTAACCACCGAGAACATGGGATCTTCCAGCCTCTTGTCTTCGCCTGCAAACGGTCCCAGTCCCGTAGATAGCGGAGCAGTAACGCCCACGGTGGGCTCGAAGAGCGATACCATCTCGTCCGGTCGCCTGTCTCCCTTTGAATCCGCCGAGGTCGAGGCTACGATACCACGCTCAACGGCTCCGATCTCTCTCCGTACTTACTGGAAAGAACAGGTCTTTCCTCTTCGGCAGGATGACCTGACCAACCTCGGTAGCAAGCAGGTCCAGCTCAAATTCGAAGAGTCATTGACCCGCAGCGGGCGATCGTTGGGCAAAGAAAACGGGTCGAAGAAGACGCCGAAACGGCCCAGCAGACTGAGTCGAGATTCCACGTCGGACATGATCGGGGATCAGGATGACGATCTCGAGTCTCAGCGGGGCGAGCGGACGCCGATGAACATCAAGGAGGATGACAAGGGGTTCCCTTTCGACGACACGGAGGATGGGGATACGCCGGTGAACCGATCACCGCCTCGTGGTAAAGACGGCGGTACTCGTAATCGCGCCTTTTACGTCAAGGCAGTGGAGATCTTGATCGAATTGGCCGAGTTGGTCAAGGTAAGTCGAGCATGGCATCTTCGACAATCACATCATTCGCTTACGCAATCCGCTCCTCTCGATCTCAGGATTTGCAAGAACGTAGACTGTGTATCGCGATATGCCGTCCAGATGTATTCGTCGTTCTTCAGCAAGCGGGCTCTAAACACCTTCTGGCAGTCCATACGGTTTCTCATCTGAAACCGATCAGCCGTTACGACCGAGGTCGAAAAGTCACGAAAAGGATCTACGAAGTCAACCTGGCTTCTGCGCCTGCGCAGGTGGAAAGGAAACGAACGGCCGACGAGACCGGTAGTGACGGAATGAGCGTGAGCGACGATGCCGCCATAGACCAAGCCTACGCGGAATCTGCCGGAATCGTTCGACGAGATATCGGCTTTGAACGAGACATCTTCGATGAGCATACTATGCGGTAAGCATTATGGTGGATGAGACTGAGATGATAAGGCTGACTTTGCGGTCTCCTGCTGTGTAGAGAACATCTCGCATATATCGCGCCCGAGACGGTTTCGGAGCCAGACTTTGCCTGGGGTGCGGCAGACGTCTATTCATGGGGCGCATGTGCATACGACCTGTTGACAGAGGGTCTCGCACAATTTCCGACGCCAACCGACGAGGCTGGCGACCTCCTGCGTGATGTCCATCAACACACCACGAGGAAACGATCACCTCTTAACGAAAAAGTCAAAGATTGCCCTGACATCATATCTGGGCTGATTGGAAAAGCAATGAGCTTGGATCCGAATGGTCGCTACACCGGCATGCCATCGCTCCTAGCCGATCTATACGAGATCATCGCACTCTTACGAGACGATGCCGGCCATCAACCTTATTCCCATGGAAGAGTCGATGCTCTTTCGCGATGTTCGCCACCTAACGGTCTCCTCGAACGAAACGTCCAGATCGAAGCAATGAAAGACGGGCTGGATACAGTCGAGGCAGAAGGATCCTGCAGAGTGATATGCTTTTACGGAGAATCCGGGACTGGTAAAAGCAAGCAAGTTGAAGCTTGGTTGCAAGACCGGATAAGGGAGAGGACGGCGGGGAAGCGAAACCTCCTAGTCGGTTGGGCCAAAGTGAGTTTGCAGCACATAGAGTGATAGCCCTCAGATTGGGTTGACTGATAAGCCTTCCTTATCTCACAGATGGACCAGCATCAAGTGCGACCTCTCGCAGGTATCGTCCAGGTTTTCGAAATGCTTCTTTCTGCTGTATTCAGCAACCCGCATGAGAACGCTGCCGTGTGGAAGTCGATGATCTTAGACGCTCTACCTGGACTCGGCCGCATGTTCATCGGCCTCCTATCACCGACGTGGCAAGACCTGTTGCTCGGGAAGAGATCTGACAGGGAAATTGCGGCCGTTGACTGGGAGACATACTCGCAAAGGTTCAAGATATGGGCGCGGTCTCTCTTTGCCATCTTCGCGTCTGCCCAGCGGCCGCTGGTCATCGTTATCGGTACGCTATAGCAATTCTCCGACTTGCAACGACTCAAATCTGATTTCATGCGCCCCTTTAGATGATTGGCAATGGATGGAGTCGACCGAACGCGAACTGTCAGTATCTTATATTCCTTGCAGTTTCTCTGAAAGAAATGATTTTTCGAACCGAAGTCTCTACGCAGCTGGACCGAACTGTTCGAGAGGAAGCCACTGCCCTTCACCTTGGGCTTATTGACCTACCGTGTGGAAGGCTCTCCTTTGGACATGTCACCGCTTAGCAAGGTGATAAAAATAGAATCCCTCCCGTTCTCTTTTGGAACAATCGAGACGCTCCTCGCTACAGGGTTTCATCTCGCGGCTAAGCTCGAGGACGGCTTCAGCGTTCTCGCGGAGTTCTTGAATGCTGCTACGAAGGGAAATCCGTTGTTCATCACGTTGCTATCAGCTCGACTGGTCAGGGATGAGGTCCTGGTGAGTCCGTCCGGTTACAGCATTCGATAGTTCCTATTTATCGACCTGTTCGACATTCGATAGTATTTCGACTATGAGATTGAGAAGTGGCAAGTGGCGACCGAAGTACTGCCCGCTTATTCCACTAGCGGTTCTATCGAGAAGTTCGCCCGCTGGTAAGAGCATCATGGGGATGACCACACAGCAAGTAGGCTAACCTACTTCATTCCAGGACATTATCCCGCTTGTCTGCTGATGCTCAGTCTGCTTTGAAGATGCTCTCCTGTATGCCTGCTGCTCAGGGTGCCGACTTGGGACTGCTTGCCCGGCTGCTTTCGAAGTCTCTACCTGCGGTTCGCACGTCATTTGAGAAGGCCGGGCTCTTTGGTGTGACCCGGTTCATCAATAACCATATGGTCTTTACGCACGACCGGCATCAAGAGGCAGCTAGGGCCCTCATCAGCAAAAACGAACGGTCCAGCTTCTTGTCCAACATTGCCAGAAAGCTTGAAAGGGAAGGTTCCGATTACCTCTTTGTTATGGCAGATTTGCTTGCGGAAGCGATGCCTGTCAGCCCGGTTGATTGGCCGGCGAGCGAGATCTGCGATCTAAGTAGGTCTCCGTGCGCTTTCCTTATCAACTCGACCTTTGATTATATTGAGTTGATGCATTCTTCTATCAGTGCTCGAAACTGCTAAATTGGCCGTACGGAGTGCGGCGTTCGAGGCTGCTGATCGATACGTCAAAACAGCATGCGTGGCCTTGCCGATCTTGGATGCATCCACGTGGGCGCAGGAGCCAGAACGGTGTCAAAGAGCGTGCACCCTGATGACAGCTATCGCTTCGGGCCTCCGAGATACTAAATCAGCGTTTCCTGCGGTAAGTGCTTTACTATGTCAAATCGGAATCAATACTGCTGGCTGAGTGGTTTTCGTATCATCATTAGGTTGAGATGGCTTACAATCAGAGCATCAGCGATGCAGACCGTATCGCTGCTGCGACCCTGGCTGTGAGGCTTCACCTGGTTGAATTCCACCCGCAAGGCTTATTTGAACAGGTAGATCGGGTATTCCATTTACTTGGGTCGGATTTGGTTGTCGCGGACTTTGTGGCGCGGCAAGGTGATCGGCAACTGCAATCGCCCTTAACCGCAGAAAGTTTGACTCGAGCTATCGACGCTGGCGCCGACGTCGACGAAAATGATCCGGTGCACGCAACGCTGCTCGCCTTTGTCTGCTTCATGGTCAGTTGTGGTCCCACACTATACACAAGACTTCCGCGTCACGCGGAGCCCTACTTTGACCAGGCCGCGTCCTGGATCCTGGGATCCCGAAAAGCCCTCTCTCATCCGGCTGCCGGCTATACCGTGGGAGTACGGGCTATCCATTTCGCGGCGGATGCGATGTATGACGTTGCGAGCCTCTACCTCGAGCTGGGTCAGAACATCAATTGGCGGGGCACAATATGGGAAGGGAGTTCGGACATTCCGTTCCAGGCAATCTCCTACCTCAAGGCTACGTCGATGGCCTCTATTGATTATCGATCAACATGGAATGCTGCCGCCCTCTCCAATTCGACGGACATCCTGATATATATCAGTGCCATCGAATGCAGTAGCCTCATCCTTTCGGGAAGAAGCATTCCTCTCTTGGCTGAGCGCGGAGCCGCCAGCCTGGTTCAATTAAAGAACGACTTGGCACACGAAGTCCGGCCTTTCCTAACCTCATATTCTCAGCTTGCAGCCAATCTCACTGACAGTACTGGCAGTCGGGATCTTTATCGCCTCGACGGGGATATCCTGGATTGGGCTGAAGCCGAAGGAATGGACAATCATGGGGAATTGATCGGTGTTTCTTTCTGGTCCGTAGCGCTTCTCAATGCGGTGCTATTCGGAGGTCCAGCAAGTTTCGTACGAGACTTGGCAAACAGGACCAGAAGACACCACGACGGATTCAGGGGCCTCATCAATCACTTTACATATCTATTGACCTTCAGCTGGTATGCCTTGGAATACGATGCCGAAGAGGATGAGATCTTGGCGGAAGCCCACGAAGCATTCGCTTCCTTCCCTCTCAATGTCGACTTCCAAGGCTTGCGCTCCGGCCTCTTCGCGCTCCAAAGCCTGAAATCATTACGTGCGAAAAAGACGACGTGGTCAGATGCTCTTGCTCACGTCGAGACGGCTGTGAGATCGCTCTCGACGTCTACAACTTGCCATCTGGCTACGGGATGGCTTTGCATGAGTGCCGCTCGACATCTGCGGAATGGAACGGGCCTGTCCAAGCGTATATGGGGCGGATTTGCTGCGGACGCAAATCAGGCGTTTCAACGGTGCGGAGCCACCGCGCTATCGATTAGCGTCATCAACGAATTTCCCGAGGTTTTCAACGTGTCAACAACGGAACCATTGACGCTACTCCCTTTCAAGTCTCAGGCAGCAACGAAAGAATCTCCTAAACTGGGTAGTCCTAGCACATCGTCAAGCGATGTCATGTCCAATAACAGCGACTCCAAACAAGCGCTTTTCGTTAGCGAAGAGTCCGCTCCGGGCATCTCACAGCGTCTTAACATCGAAGGTATTCTCAAGTCGTTCCTAGCGTTTGCGACCGAGAAAGACAGCAAGATGCTCTTGAGGAGAGTATTGGGTATCTTAATTCAGATGACTCGGGCCGATACGGCTTTCCTGGCGTTGCAAAACGCATCAACGAACAAATTGCATCTCCGGGGCGGTGGGTCTCACTCAAGCATTCAAACGTACGATCTGCCAGTCTCGGACGCTTCCAGTATATGTCCGGCAAAATTACTCCTCCATGTGGCCCATTCGCGCAAGGTGAGCCATATGATCTCGCTTGTCATTGCGGTTACCTTGACTTATCTGAACCCCGTCGTCACAGCCCATAGATTCGAATGATACGGATCAAAAAATCCCGCTCATCCGCGATGGCTACTTCAGCTCTCCTTCAACGAAACACGTCCTCGCGGTTCCCCTCTTCATCCAGAATCAGTTCTCCGGCGCGATCTGCATAGAAGGTAGCTTGCTCAGGTTTTCCAGCTCGGTGAAGTCCCATGTCGAGCTGCTTGCAACGTGAGTGGGACGAGGTCAGTTCGCTGCTTGTTTCGGTTTCTGACTCTTGCACGGCGTCGTTAGTTTCGCTGCGATCGTCCTAGAAAGTCACGATGTCACTGCCTCTTTGGAGCAGTCTGTCCGACTCCGTACCTCTCAGTTAGAGCAGGCGCTCACGCATCGACAGACGTTCATATCTTCTATCACGCACGAGGTGAGAACGAGCTGTCTTGGTCACGAGCGTCTGGCACTAATCCTCTTCGGCGCGCAGTTACGAACACCTTTGCACAGCATCAGGTAAGCTCCTGCATTACTACCGCAATGATTGTTTTACAGCTAAATCAAAGCATCTTAGCTCTTACACGGCGATCCTCGAGAACACCCCCGACCTTCATGATGACCAGAAGGAGAACGTCGCCGGGATCCGGTCGTCTGCGGAGGACTTGCAGCGTATCATCACCGACGTGCTCGACCTCAGCAAGCTCGAGAATGGATCCATGCAGATCGAGACCGTCAGTTTCGACCTTAGGCAGGTGGCAGAAGCGGCGCTCGACTCCGTTGCGAATCTCGCGCACACGAAGGATCTGGAGATCTTACTGGATAATACTGTGGAAAACGATCCCGCCAAGAATTTATTGGGGGACCCTTTCAGAATCAAGCAGTGCTTGCTCAACTTGCTTGGGAACGCGATCAGGTTTACGGAAAAGGGTCAGATCCGTCTCAAGTGGACACTGGAAGCATCGCCCGTAGGTGGCGAAACCCTCACCTTTAGCGTTTCGGACACGGGTATAGGCATTCCGGTCGAATCTAGGCAACGCCTCTTTCAGCCCTTTTCACAGGTTGATGCGAGTATTCAGCGGAAATGGGGAGGTACCGGGCTCGGCTTGTCCATCACGCACAATCTGGCACACATCATGAAAGGTTCTGCCTGGTGCGAATCGGTCGAAGGCAAGGGGAGCACCTTTTTCTTTTCGGTCGTTGTGCACTACGACAACAAGGTGGCGGTCTCGACTTTCCGACGTGAGAACAAGCCGCACGTACTTTTGCTTTGCCCTCCGTCGGCAACGACAGACAAGCTGGCGCGAAATATCCAGGGGATGAACGGGAGAGCCACAATCACGACGCCAGCCAATGCTTCAGATTATCTAGCCGACATCAACGCCGTCGTGCTGGACTCGGCATATAGTGATGCGGTACCGTTCGTAAAGAGGCTAGGGAATGAGCGCCCTGATATCAAAGTGAGGCGGCGCTTCATCCCGCCGTCATGACCGTTTTGAGTCAGCTGATCCCGGACTGTTACACTTGAGTACAGGTTACCCTTTTAGCTGAGCTGACAGATAAGGCAGCGCTTTTGAACCGTTTGGCCGATCCGACCGCCCGGATCATTACCAAGCCAGTCAAGGCCGAAGCCATTTACGATTTCCTCGATCTCTCTGTCTCTCGCTCTTCTACCGCCGCTGTCAACAAGCGGATCAAGCCGGTTGCTATTATCGACAAGGACACCGCTTCTGTGAGTCTCTTGTCGTTTTGCGCTGATACGTCCGAGCTTTCTGACCCGGCGAGACCGTGCTTAGCGTCATCCATTGAACATTTTATTCGTGGATGACAATCCCATCAACCGTGCTGTGGGACTGAAGGTGAGCGGTTGCAATAGATGCTACCCGTTTGCTTGTGATCTGATTCGTATTCTTCGGGAACAGGTGCTCAAGAAGTTTGGATACCTATACGTAGATACAGCCACCAACGGCCTAGAGGCCGTTCAAGCCGCCGAGAACACGAAATATGATCTGATCTTGATGGATCTGCAGGCGAGTCGAGGCGCAACATTATACTTCCATCGGTTTCATACTTTCACCACATGCTGACATGCAGACTGTTCATATCGTTACAGATGCCTGTAATGGACGGTCATACCGCCATGAGCAAGATCTCCGCGAGCGAAAAGGCAGGACAGCCGCAGATCGTAGCCTTGACAGCCAACGCAGATACTGTGAGTCATTCAAGCGTACATCACTCCAGTCATCTCCAGACTGATATAGCATTTCGTTCCAGACAACCCGAGATCTGTGTATGGAACAGGGATTCCATGGCTTCTTAGGGAAACCTCTCGTCATCAGGGAACTGGACACCGTCTTTGAGACTGCGCATAGGGTCAAGCTGAGCCATTCGCAATGATCGATTTCTTGAAAGGTCGATCGCACTGTATACACATACCAGCTATCGCATCAGGAACCAAAGCAAGCGCCATCCATAATCCGTCTGTATACAGCATTCTGCATATAGCTTGTAGCCATCGGCATCGTGAAACAGGGTTGTAGCATATATGTTATTGTAGCACGATCGAGAATGGTAGTCTAGGGGTATAAAAGCGCGCAACGTCACGTCGCGCTTGGACTGACTACTAACTAGCCTGAGGTCGTGTCGTAGCGAATGTCAACGTCAAAGTTGTATGATCACGACCTCGAGACACTGCTGTTGGCTGCCACTTTCTGTACGGCACAAAACAACACAAACATTCTGCCCAGAATGAGGGTCTTCGGCTTCGTCCTTTTAGCATTGAGCCTCGCAGGAATCGCCCTGGCGTAAGTGGAGAGGCCGTTCCTCCAGTACGGAGTAGTTCCGCTGCTGACCTACTTGTCGTGCGACACTTTCAGATGGACTAAAGAGTAAGCAGAGGACCCGGCTGCAGAGTCAGCATGATGACGCCACTGATCTGATCACTTCCTTCGTAGAGATCATGAAATCTTCGACCTGGTAACAGCTCTGGAGACCGCCGAGGGCAAGGGGACGTCGTTCTACTCGTTCTTGAATGTCACCCCCAGTGCTACGCTCGATCAGATCAACAAGGCTTATAGGAAGAGGAGCATGGTGTTGCAGTAAGTGTGAACGCAAGGGTGTCAACGCTACCGTTTCTAATCCTTGCTGTATGCCGTGACCCGACCTCAGCCCCGACAAAAATCGTAACGTGCCCGATATCCAAGCTCGATTCGCTCGTCTTGGAGTCATCACGAACATTCTGCGAAATTCGGAAGAGAGGGCTCGATACGATGTGAGCAACTGCTAGCAAGCCTTGAAGAAATCACCTTGGCTTATTCCCATATAACTCGACTCTCGCAGCACTTCTACAAGAATGGCATCCCTCGATGGAGAGGAACCGGCTACTACTACTCTCGTTTCCGACCTTCCTTGGTCCATGTCCTCGTCTTTTTGGCCTTCCTGACTTCTGTCATTCACTACGTCATCCTCTACATGCGAGAGAAGAGGGACCAAGGTCGGGTCGAGTGGTTCGAGAGGAGGGCTCGTGAATTGGCTTTCCCCGGTTTGACCTCTGGAGGTAGCGGTACCAGCACCCCTCTGCCCGTTGAAAAGGCCGAAGTCGTCGCCGACGTCTTGGGACAGCTCGATTCCGCAGAAGTTGAGACCCCTACCGAAGCCGAGCCCAAACTCACCCGTCGTCAAGCCCGTTCCCGTGAGGGTCGCAAGGAGCTGGCCAAGTTCAAGACCGAAAAAGAGCAGCCGGCGCAAAAGGCTCGACCTGTCACCCCGGTCGTCGCCGAAACGAGCGAGAAACGACGCAAGGTTAGGGTTCCTTATGTCGAGGATGGTCCTCAGGGTGGACCCGTGCTTGATCTTGTGGTCAACGGGGATGGGGATGTATTGCTCGTGAGTACGACTGTATGTTTCGTATGGCCATTTCGCAAGACTGATGATCTTGCCCAACCCGTTAGCCTGGAGACATCCCTCTCCGATCTCAAATCCGAGCTGCGTCTTACAATGACCTGTGGCCAGTCGCTCTCGCTCGCTCAATTTACACCAAGTTCAACTCACCCTCTGCTACCGCGGAGGATGCGGACGAGATCGACGAAAATGACGAGATGGAAACCTCGACTGTGGCCAAGAAATCCGGACGAAAGGCCAGCAAAAAGCCTCGTTCGTTAGCGAAACGAGGGGTGAACGGCAAGAACTGAACGGGCTGTATCGATCGTTGAACAATGAACATGCATACCCTTTCAATAGCGTCTCCAAACTGTCGTATCATCTGAGTGTTTCTCGAGGCTATCAGGTTTTGCCCTGATGGATGCGGCAAAATGAGGATGCTGCTCCATGAAAGCTTGTAATCTTGCCCTCTCCTCTTTGGCAGTTCTCTTGTATGTCCGAATGTAAACCTTGAACGCCTTTTCTGACCCTGAATTTGTGTTGGCACAGTACTTGAGAGCTGGTGGCTGGGTGAGGTGGGATAGGGGTCCAGGGTGAATTGTTTGAGCCATTCTTCAATCGAGTTGTTGAGACAGTTGCAGAAATTGTCTGACAAGGGTACTTGACCATGGCATTTTGCAATGTTGTTGAGTAGGTCTTTGGTGTCGTGCTCTATGGCATCAGGGAATTTGTCACATCGGTGTGACAGTACTTCTCTATGTGCTTGCCATCAGGTATGGCAAACTCGATCGGGAATTCGGATTGCGTTGTGATCGGGAAAAATCCCTTTCCATCGCTCGCGTCTTTCGCCCCGAGCCATCCGCCATCAATTCCACGGGGATGTATGAGGTGTCTTCGAAATAGCGGAGTCCGTGGAGCCTGTCAAATTCATTGCCATCCTACATGCCCTCCAAGGGCTCTCTGCTTGCTGTCAATCCGCTCAAGCGCTCGTTCCCGTAAATACATTCGTTTAATATTATCTCTCCATTTTCACTCTGTACAAGCGGCTCATCGCCTTCCATACGTCGCCCAAGCCCCTTTGCCCTCCTGTTCGAGCAAGACCCCCGCGCTGCGCTTGGCATCGAGGAACAACGAGTTCATCTCGCCGATATCCTGAACGTCGATCTGGTTTCGGCCAGACATCTTGGCGATGATCGAAGCTGGAGTGAGGAGTTGCAGGGCATATCTATAAAAACAAGTAGCCGAAGATGAAGAGGTTTCAGCTCCGAGTGCGATGATGGCAGACACGCTCCCGTTCTGACCCCATCGCCACGAGACTCACCGCAACGAACTGTTCACCCCTTCCTCTGCCAGCTTGTCCAAAGCCTCTGGACTGACGTCCAACCCTTCGACCCTACACCTCGTCTCCAAGACGTGCTTGACCTCGTCCCGCTTGTACGGGTACGTCCTGACGATCATGCACCTATCCAGGAGGTCCATGGGGATCCCGTGTGGGCTGACGATCCCCGCCTGACCTAGCCCCTCGGTCTCTGTACCTCGGATGACGCAGTTACCGCGATTGGAAGCGAGGACGACGTAGGGCGACATGGGGGATTCCAGAGCTCGGTTGAGAAAGGTGAAACATTCCATGTCGAGCATGTGGACTTCGTCGATAAAGAGCACACCGGGGACGAGCTCGGCGACCCCCTGTTCGATGTATCGATCGACGACCTTGTTGATCTCCCTCCTGAGCTTGTCGGTGATCTCGGTCCGTCCCCCCCTGACGAGCTGTCCCATGACGCTCATGATGTCCTGCCCACCCTGAGGTCTCGCATTGGCCATGTCCAGGTCGTGCAGGGTCACGTCCTGTACGATCTCTTTCCTCTTGTGCACGTCCCCCTTGGGCAACGGGACGTACTCTTCCGCCTCCAAGTCATACTCGGTCGCATACGCATCGCTCCTCCCGACCCGCTTGACGGCACCGGTGTTGGCTTCGATGTAAATGACGTCCCCTACGACCACTCGTTCCTTTTGCAAGCTCTCGTAGATGGTCGGGTCGAGCCTGAGCTGTTTGGTCCCCTTGGCGGTCTTGAGGCCGACGATGACGTGGGAGATGGTCTTGCCGTACCCAGAAAGGGGGTTCTCGGCTTCGGCCGGAGTGAGCTCGGTCACCTCTCCCTCGTAGACTTCTTTCGTCTCCTTTATCCGAAGGCCTGCGTGAGGCGGATGTTCAGCAGACTCAGGGAACGTCAGTAACGCCTCCTGGACTGCGAACAAGACTCTCGACCTGTATGGAACACTCACCGATAGCTCTCCTGAACCCTCCGCTGAGCACTTCGGTCTTTTTCACTTCCCCGCTGAATACCTCGCTTCCGACCATGGGGCAGAAGGGCACTCGTGCTCCTAGTTCCTGAGAGAGGGCTAGGGAGAGGGCGGTCTGAGCCATACAAGTGAGGGGTTTGGTGTGGGATAGTCGATTTGATGATAAGTGATGTCCGGGTGGTGGAATGCGGTACGGGGATCGAAAGGAAAAGATAAAGGGGCAGCAAAGGAAGGTATGTATAAGTCAGTAGTCGAAATCGAGCTATAACCTTTATGGCAAGCGACCTCGAACTCACCTTCCCAGTTCCCGGCGGTCCTACCAACAACAACGGCCTCCCCGAATATTTCCCACTCCTCAGCAACCCCAGATGCAAACCCAAAGCTTCCCTCGCCTGCGCCTGTCCTACGAACCCTTGACCGGTAGGCAGGGCGTGTCCCTCGGGAGAGAGACCGAGACCTTTGATGTGCGAGTGAGTGTGGATACGAGAGTCCTTGTTCGGCACCGGGGCTGGGTTTGTGGAAGAGGTCGTCGTGGCAGGAGCCGGGGTGGTGGAAGGACCTGCGGTGGCAGGAGCCATGGTGACGTCCGAGGTCATTTTTTTGAGGTTGCAAAGTGTCGTCTGCTGGTCGCTCTTTTTCGTGTATCCGAGTTGAGACGCTTGTTTCCTTTCAACTTCTGATTCGAGGAGCTGTTTGGTGGTGTTTTCTGCCTTGGTTTTGGAATGTATGAACAGGTTACAAAGTGTAATCAAGAAGGATGTCCTCTACGACATGAACCCCCTCTAAAGCATTTGATCACGTGACACATGCTCTCGCTCGTGTTTTTGGGATTTTCCCTTCCGAGAGAGAGGAGGAGCAGTTGCTTGATAATTGACTTCAACTTCACATTCAACCATCTGTTCATCCTCTGCACCACCCCCTCTCTCCTCTTCTGGCTCTGAAAACGTATACCCAAACTCTCCACCTTTCATCCCAACCCCCCATCTTGCAACGTACGACCACCAACATGTCCTCTACCACCTTCCTCTCGCCCGACCAGGCCTTGGCCACCCTCAAAGAGTACGAGTCCGGGGACGGTCTCTCCTTGAGAGAGTTGATGGATACCAGGAGGAACGGACAGGGAGGGTTGACTTATAACGATTTCTTGGTCTTGCCCGGAAAGATCGATTTTCCCGTGAGTAGGCGCGAGAGGTTTGGAGCTGGTCCGGGGCTAGAGGGGGGTTTCGGGTTTGAGAGCTGATCGTGGTACACACACACTCTCTTCCTTGTCTTGCACCCGTCTTTCTCCTCTCCTTGTCCTATTTCTCAACATGCAACTCGGACTCGATTTCTGCAGGCCTCGGAGGTCTCCCTCCAGACCAAGGTGACCAAGAAGATCACCCTCAACAGCCCCTTCCTCTCTTCCCCCATGGACACCGTCACCGAGACTCAGTGAGTGCAGCCTGCATTCAAACCTCTCTTTTTCTGTCCTTTCATCTCGGATCGAGAATTCGTTCGGAAGCTGATCTGGGGAAACCTCTTACCTTATCTGTTTCTCTTATTTCATCTGCGTAGGATGGCCATCGCCATCGCCCTCCACGGAGGTCTCGGAATCATCCACCACAACTGTTCCGCCCAAGAACAAGCCGCCATGGTCAGGAAAGTCAAGAAGTACGAGAACGGCTTTATTACGGATCCCATCTGTTTGGGAGCCGGGGATCTGGTCGAAGAGTGAGTTCTGAGCCCGGTTCGAGGAGGATAATTGTGGGGTGATAGAAGGGCGGCAGTGAGGAGGAGGATCGAATGTTGATCTGGGCGACAATGAATAGCGCGCTGGAGATCAAGGAGAAGCTCGGATTCGGAGGTATTCCCATTACTGGTGAGTTGGCATGGTACCTCGTTTCATCGTCGTGAACACGAGCTCACGCCCAAATTCTGTCGCCCAACCCCGTAGAGACCGGCAAAGTCGGCGGCAAGCTCCTCGGAATCGTCACCGGTCGAGACGTCCAGTTCAGGGACGCCTCTGCCCCGCTGGCCGACGTCATGACGACCGACCTCGTCACCGGCAACTCGGGCATCTCGTTGCAAGAGGCCAACCAGATCATCCGGGACAGCAAGAAGGGTAAACTCCCCATCGTCGACGCCCAGGGCAACTTGGTCTCCCTCTTGGCCCGATCGGACCTGTTGAAGAACCAAAACTTTCCCCTGGCCAGCAAGTTGCCCGAGAGCAAGCAGTTGTACTGTGGAGCTGCCATCGGGACCCGAGAGGCCGACAAGGACAGGTTGAGGTTGTTGGTCGAGGCCGGACTCGACGTCGTCGTCCTCGATTCGTCCCAGGGAAACTCGATCTACCAGATCGAATTCATCCAGTGGATCAAGTCGACCTTCCCCGACTTGCAGGTCATTGCCGGAAACGTCGTCACGAGGGAACAGGCCGCACAGCTCATCGCCGTCGGTGCCGACGCCTTGAGGATCGGGATGGGTTCCGGATCGATCTGTATCACCCAAGAGGTCATGGCCGTCGGTCGACCCCAGGGTACGGCCGTTTTCGCCGTCAGCGAGTTTGCCCGCAAGTTTGGCGTCCCTACCATCGCCGACGGGGGTATCCAGAACGTCGGGCACATCGCCAAGGCCCTCGCCCTCGGTGCGAGCGCGGTCATGATGGGAGGCATGTTGGCGGGGACCACCGAATCCCCCGGTGAATACTTTTACCACGAGGGCAAGCGTGTCAAGACGTACCGAGGCATGGGATCCATCGAGGCCATGGAACATCAAAAGAAGAAGCCCGCCTCGGGGGTCGTCGCTGCCAAAGTCAAGGCCGCGGGGATCTCGGTCGCTCCTTCCGGGGACGACAATGCCGCCACGGCCCGATACTTTTCCGAAGCCGACGCCGTCAAGGTCGCCCAGGGTGTCAGTGGGGACGTCGTGGACAAGGGTCCGTTGAGCAAGTTTGTACCGTACTTGTACACCGGGTTGCAGCATTCGTTGCAGGACGTCGGGGTCAAGAGCGTCGAGCTCTTCAGGGAGGGTGCCGACAAGGGTCAGGTCAGGTTCGAGCTGTGAGTCCGGGCGTGGGGTCTGAAGTCTTCGCTACGGGTGATCAGAGTACTGACACGAGTGATGTTACGATTTGCAGCCGAACCGCCTCTGCTCAGGCTGAAGGAGGTGTTTCGAACTTGCACTCGTACACCAAGAGGTTGTTTGCCTAGACCTAGGACGCGCGCGCGAGAGATGATGAGGAGTGTCTTGAGTTGTAATTTGTCCGAAACGGAGTTTGGTTTCCCCTCCTCCTATTTTTTCACCCTCCAATTCTTGGTAGTTTTTCATGAAATGACGATATAGACAACATATGTGCAGAACTGAGGTGATGGTGCAGAGAGATTGGGTGTGGACAGTCTGGGAGAAGCAAGTTGTGTGTGGTCGCCTCTCTCGGATCCGGAAATCTCGTGATTCGCGGCTAGAAAGCTAGAAAACAAAAACAAAGATCAAAAGAAAGACCTCTTTTGACCAGAAACTTGTCGTGACGATCGACAACAACACCACACTACTATAACAATAGCCGTACTCCTAACCCCGGATCACCTTCTCCCTCTCCCTTCTTGCCTTTCGCTCTTTGTCCCCTTAGCGATCGAAATCCCATCTCCTTGTGCCCTGGTCTGATGGCGGGTCGACCTTCCCGTAGCACGCGTTCAGTCAACGTTAGCTACACCGAACCTACCGAGGACGATTACCTCAAAGGTCTGAGATCGACATCCAGGCCGTCAGCTTCAGCATCTGCATCGTTATCGGCGGCAACATCGACAGCATCGGCTCAAGCGGCGTCGACAAGGATCAAGCCGATCAAGTTCAACTTGAAAGCCCTGAGGCAGGGTTTGCCCAAGGAGGAACATCTCGATCGACCTTTCCACCACGAAGACGATAACAACCACGAGGGGGAGGATAATCACAACGAGGACGAATATAACGAGCCCGACGATAATCACGACGACGAAACGGATACGATGAACCCGAACTTGAACCCTTTCAACGCTCGTCGATCGTCGAGGACCAGCCGACGTAGTTCGGCAGGTAGCAGCCAGAACAACCTGAAGACCAACGGGAACAGTAATTCGCTTGCGACGAGGACTTCCAGTCGACGGACCCGAGCTACGATACAGCAAGAGAACGTGGAGGAGAATGGGATGGTCTACGAGGATGCCGATGGACAAGGTCGATCGCAAGCTCAGCTTCAGGTGCAATCCGGATCTCGAGCTCCTGGTCGACGATCTTCCCGAGGGTACCATCCCAACCTCGATCCCGAGCTGGGAGTACCTCTTCACGAGGACGGGGATGGGGATGAGGATGCGAGTGGGGAGGTTGATGAAGAGTACGTCGGTGATGGGGACGGTGCAGAAGTCGGGGATGCGGTGCCGGAGGAAGAGGAAGAAGAAGAAGTCGGTAAGTTCTCGTCTGATTCTCGTCGTTTTCGTCTTCGGTCTCGGGGCTTGGGCAACGGGCAACGGGCAATGGACAACGGTACTCGCATCGGGATTCCTCGGGACGATTCTGGAGTGTTTTCGAGGGGATGATTGGCCGTTTGATATCACTCTTCTCGATCCTCGCTTTCGGACTCGGGGATAGGAAGGATCTGCGCGAACGACGATCTTTAATCGTCGTCGTCGTCGTCGTCGGGTTCTTGGTTCTTATTCTGATTGGGTCGGGGTCGAGTTGAGAAGCGTGGAAGAGGGTGCTTGAGAAGCCTACGGGCAGAATACAAAGAAAGGCTCGAGGTTGGATGTTCGGGATAAAGTAGAAGGAGTTGAGAAGCCAAGAGTCCCTTCTCGTCCACAATACTTTGCGGTTTCAGACTTGGACATTGCTGGACTTCGTACATCGACCAACACTACCTCAATTGAGAATCGTTCAATACTCTACGGCTACAACCCTCTCACTACGACCAACACAAATCGCCTTCTCGATCATGCCCAAGATCCCTCAAAGACGTCGACGTACACGTCAGGTCGAACCCCGACCTTTGGTCATGCTGCAACACTACCACCCTGTCGACCCTTCGCTTCCTCTTTCATATATCCGCTCGTCGACTTCGACCGAACCGGACTATGACTACTTTGTCGAGCTGGCTGGAGATAGACCTTGTTTCACTAAACATCGGGATGGAGTGTTGAGTGCGAGCAACTTGTGCCTTTACCTTCCCGGACCTCTTGCTGGGATGTTGAGGCAGGAAGAAGAGTCGGTGATTCAGGAAAAGGAGGTGGTCATCGATCCCGAATTGTTGATGCTCGACCAGGCGATTTGGGACGACTTGCCAAAGACTCCGATCGGGAAGGGCAAGGGGAAACAATACGAGCTGGTTGAAGATGAAGAGGGAAAGACGGAGCGGATGCTCGATTACGACGCGGACGATGAGGATACGATGAACCCGTCCCCGACATCGTCCATCGGTGCTATATCTCGTTGCCTTTACCCGCCTAGCGAGGTCTCGTCCGAGTCGACGCTCTCACCACCACCACCTCCGGCTTGGCCTTGGGTCATCACGGAGTTTGTTCCTAAAAAGAAGAGCATGAACAAGTTCCTCAAGTCATTGGTGATGCCTCGTAGACCTCTAGTGGAGAGAGAGCCAAAGGACTGGCCGACCTGGGAAGAGATGACGATCGCCAGAGAGAAATCGTTGGCATACCAGGTCGCATATGAGCGAGCTAAACGAGAAGCGGCTAGAGCTCGAGCTCAAGCACGAACCGGAGCCGGACCTAGTTCGAGCGCTTCGACGTCAAAAGAGAAGGTGACGAAATTGAAGCAGACAGCCCAGCCGTCTGGTTCAAACGTCAAGAGGGAGGACCGAGCGGGGAGCACCGATTCGACTTTGACCTCGCTATCCGACCTGAGCCGAAGCCCTAGCCCTTGTCCCGAGCCTCGGACCAGAGATCCACTGCGTTGGAGAGATTCCGAGTCGCTGACCCCTTTACCTGATTCTCCTCCTCCTTCTTATTCTTTCACTGCGCCATGTCTTTGACTCACGTGGATCCATGATGATACCTCGACCGATACCCCTTCCTGCCCATCTACAGCACGCACGCCTACCCCTCCCACAGAATATGTCCAGACACGAGGCGGTCGTCAAGTCGCGAAAAAAATCCTCCGCGAGTCTCCCGACCCGGATGACCCGGATGCTCTGGACGAGGATGACTTTGAGAACTCGATCAAAGCCGATGAAGATTTCGACGAGTCGCCCCCACCTCGGCGAGCTACACGGGCGGCCAAGAAGAATAACCTCGACGGATTCGTAGAGGACGACGAAGAAGACGCTTCAGAGGATTCGAACGGACGGCGAAAGAGCAAAAAAGCGGGGTCCTCGCGAGTGCAGCCCAGCCGATCAACAAGAAAGAGCTCGAGGATTCCCAAGAAGAAGGCCCGAACTGATGACGATTACGAACAGGACCACGACGAAGAAGAGGACGACGAGGTGGTGGAGATGACGCCCGAGTTTAGCGATCACCCGAGCGATATCATTACCGGTCCAGCGACCAGTAAACCGAATGGTCGAGCTCGTGGTCGCAGGGCTGTCCAGTCGACGGACGACGAGCAGCCGATTACGAGAAAATTGAGACAGCGCACCACCAATGTCAACTATGACATGACGGCACTGAACCCGCTACTTCCTGACGACAACTTCGGTCGGAAACGAGCGGGACCCAGCGGAAGTAATGCCGGGAACGGCGCTTCGCAGAACAATGGAGGGTTCTTGATGGACATGGCGAGAGGCTCAGGCGCGCTCGCAGATCCCAACATGCCGAACATGCCAGATTCTGATTCGGTGCGTTGTTGATGTATTGACACCTCAACATTCCACTGCTGACCTTGACCCGACGTGCAGGACGATGATATGCCCGACTATATCAAAGATCTTCGAAAAGAGGCTTCATCGACGATGGCTCTGGCCAATGGAGGAACGAATCGAGGAAAGAAGGGGAATGCCCCTGCTGTCGGTCCCAGTACAGCTACGGTCGCAGCGGGAACGGTGGGAAGATACAACCCGGAGGCTGGTGTGTGATGCGTCCTTCGCATGCATTGATGATCTTCCGAATGCTAACACACGATCATGAACAGCTCGAGCAGATGCGGATCCATTGGGCGTGGACCTGAATGTGACTTTCGACCAAGTGGGCGGTCTGGATGGACGTGAGTCTGGCTGACAGATCCGCGAAGATGGTTTCTGATGGGTCGTATCTCTTCGAAAGACATCAATCAATTGAAGGAGATGGTAGCACTGCCATTGCTGTATCCCGAGCTGTTCCAGCAATTTGGCATCACGCCACCGCGTGGTGTATTGTTTCATGGTCCCCCAGGAACAGGTACGTAGTTGCCAGGTCAAGTGATGTGTACAAGGTTCCTGACACAGCAACCTTCCGGATTGGCAGGTAAAACCCTGCTAGCACGAGCGTTGGCAGCGAGTTGTAGTTCGTCTTCCCAAAAAATCGGTGAGCCTGGTTGGGCGGACTCCGGCTACGATCCCGCCATCTGATTATATGCTTTCGTAGCCTTCTTCATGCGAAAGGGAGCGGACTGTCTCAGCAAATGGGTGGGAGAAGCCGAACGGCAGCTGCGACTTCTTTTCGAGGAAGCCAAGAACGCTCAGCCGAGTATCATCTTCTTTGATGAAATCGACGGTACGTCGGCAAGCCAGTTTGTGCACGTGTCCGTTCCGGGCTAACCTGCGCATTTCCATAATAGGTCTCGCGCCGGTCAGGAGTTCGAAGCAAGATCAGGTGCATTCTTCTCTTGTGGCGACCTTATTGGCGCTGATGGATGGCATGGACGGACGAGGTGCGTTCTCCTACGTTAGTCTTGCTACAGATCGACGACGTGCTAAAGAGATTTTTCACCTTCGCAGGTCAAGTCATCGTGATCGGTGCGACAAATAGGCCGGACTCCGTAGATCCTGCACTACGCCGGCCGGGTCGTTTCGATAGGGAATTCTACTTTCCTTTGCCAAACAAGGAGGCGCGCAAGAAGATTATCAGCATCAACACGCGCAAATGGCAACCTCCTCTTGAGGACGTGTTCTTGGACGAACTGGCAGGTGTGACTAAGGGTTACGGAGGAGCAGATCTCCGGGTGAGTCACCAGCCCGGTCTTTACCGCTTGGAAAAGGCCCGCTCAAACTCTTCAGTTGTTAGGCACTATGCACGGAAGCCGCTTTGAACGCCATACAAAGGCGATATCCTCAAGTATACAAGACAAACGACCGACTACTGCTCGATCCCACGTCCATCCACGTGCAAGCTCGAGACTTTATGGCTTCGGTGAAAAGTGAGTTCAATGTCAGGGTTTGCATACAAGATAATCCATGCTGACTATTTGCTTCGCAGAAATTGTTCCATCTAGCGCAAGATCGGCTTCTAGCAGTGCTCAACCGATCCCTCCACATCTGGAACCTCTTCTCCAGGACCCCTTGCGACGAATCACAGGCGTATTGGACGAGCTGATACCGAACAAAAAAACCAAGACCGTACTCGAGGAGGCAGAGTGGGAGGACGACAACGCCGACGGGACCTTTGGGAAGGAGCTGATCATGCAATGTGGGTTGTTCTGGTCTGGCAACATCCATTGCAAGACTTGACGCCTTGTTTGATGCAGCTTTCGAGACGCTTAGGGTTTACCGGCCAAGACTCTTGATTCACGGTCAGAAGGGCCTGGGGCAACGGTTCTATGGAGCTGCCCTGCTTCATCACCTGGAAGGCTATCATGTACAGAACTTGGATATCGCGACCTTGCTGGGTCAATCTACAGCGGTAAGCCTATGGTCCCACGCATTGGTTACTCCGCGCCACAAGATACTAAACGGAAGCACTGTTACAGACTATCGAAACGATGCTTGTACAAATGTTTGTCGAAGCCAAGCGTCATCAACCCTCCGTCCTTTACATCCCCGCACTCAGTCAATGGTCCGCAGTATTAACGCCTACCGCCAAAGCGACTTTCGGCACCCTGTTGGACAGCCTGACGCCGTCCGAACCGGTCGTTGTTATCGCATTTATGGATGAGCCCCTGCGCGAATTGGATGACGAACTCAAGTCGTGGTTTGGACGCATGGGAGATAATTTGATAGAACTCCACGCGCCCGATATTGTAAGCTGTCGCGACAAGAGCTTGAGCTCATGCCAGGCTGTAGCTTATTGCGATATCCTTGACGACAGGAACAAACCAAGGCTTATTTCCGAAACATCATCGAGAAGATCCGGTTGCCACCTGATCAGTTCCCCGACGCATTACCGAAACGTCGGAGGATCTTGGAGGAACTGCCTAAAGCGGCACCGTTACCTCCTCCTGCTCCAAGCGCAGCGGCATTGGCCGAGCAAGCGGCAAAGGATCAAACCCTAAAGGAGATTGTAGCGTTCCGATTGAACCCTATCCTGACGGAACTCAAGAAGAGACACAACAGAAAGTCGACTTTGACTGCGGCGGAAGCTTTGCAACGCTGGTACCAGCTTGTCGCGAGGGATGAAGAACGCGCAGAAGACGAAAGGCAGGCGGCCAAAGCGGCCGAGATTGGCCCAGAGGCATCACTGGCACTTGATGCAGCCATAAACGGAGATGCTGTTCAGCCGATGGCTGTCGACGTGCCGATGGACAATCCGCTTGCCGAGAACAACAATGGCATTGCTGTGACAGTATCAATGGAAGCGGTCGAACCCGCACCCGCCGAACCCGCTCACGCGGAGCGACCACGAACGCAATCTCCCGTCGCCGACAAGCCTTCTCGACCCAAGCCTCACTGGGTCGACTTTGAACTCATGCAGGAAAAGCTCATGAGTCAAGACGACGGCTACTACTCGCTGAGGGCGTTCGAGCGTGACATCTTCCGTATGAGGGAGAATGTCGATGGTGCCGAGATGGACCTCGACAAACGTACCAAGGCGGCTTTGCTGGCGAAAGAAGCCACACTTATGATCAAGGATCACTTCCAGGATGAGCAGCAGAAGCTGGAGATCGAACGGATGGCTGCACGAGAGTACGCCAAGAAGCAGCTCAAGAAGAAGAAGGGCACCAAATCAGCAAGTTCGTCACCCAACGGTACTCGATCCTCTGCCCGTTTGAGCGGTCGCGCTCCCGAGATCAGCTTTACCGAAATCCTACAAAACGAAAGGGTCAACGGGAAAAAGCGCTCTCGGGACGGTTCGGAAGATGCGGCTTCGATCGGCTCGGATGGACGAGCTGCTAAGAGGAACAAGGGCGAAACTGGTGGTGCCGTGCTAGGCCTGCCCGATCAGCAACGCCTGATGGCAGATGCTAGTCATGCTCCTTCGCACGGCATATTGGGCACAGGATCCGGTACTCATGCCATGGCGGCGCCCTTGCAAGAGGACATTTTGGCGGGCCAGCTGGAGCAAGCATCGACGATTGCGCAGCCCTCATCAGGAGGCTTGGCCGCGATCTTGAACCCTATCCACTTGCGTCCTCGAAGCACAACGCCGCAGACCGAGCCGCCGATTACCCAGCAGCCGGTCCCTCACCCGCATCCTCCATTCTTTATTCCCGAAAAGCAGTTGGAAGACCTGTCCGACATTCTCGTTATTGGCACGCACCAATTCACCGTCGAAGACCTCGAGCAACTTCATTCGATGGCACTTCAACTCATATGGAGGCATCGTTCCGATTGGGACAGGTCGTTGATGGTACAACAGCTTGTGCAACATTGCTCGCATTTCGTGCAAGCGGTCCAACATGGGTCGTGATCCAAAGAGACTGAGACTCCCAAACTTAATGACCTATTCATGCTCTCATGGTCGATATGACTCGACGTGTATCGTTACGCTATTGTACTGTATTTCTAGTAATGCTTTGGGCAAGTGATGTATGACACGAGCATGCTTATGACCTTGCGCTGCTCCTCTACTCGTCCAAGTCCTCGCCTGTCTCGAGCAGGCTTTCCAGACGAAGACCCTGATTATAATCCTTGAGCTTGGAGATGATGTAGTCCAGTCCTTCTCCTTCTAATATCCCTTCAAGACCCGTCGTAGTCAACCCTATCCGGTGGTCGGTCACTCGATCTTGCGGAAAGTTGTAAGTGCGGACCTTGTCGCTTCTGTCCATGCCCTTGACCTGTAATCGACGGGTATCTCGGCGGTCCTGTACAGCTTGTGCCATCTTTTGATCGAGTAGACGTGCTCTTAGAATCTGCCAAGCCCAAGCTTTGTTCTGTTGAGAAGCGGTCGAAATCAGCATCGAACGCGCCAAATCAACTTGCAACGGTGATAGTCAGCTGACGACTTGCCTGATGTTGACTTCGAGAATCCTGCATCGAAACAGTGATGCCTGTCGGAATGTGTGTCAAGCGGACCGCCGACTCTGTTTTGTTGACATGCTAAGAAGAGAAAGCTTGAATCTCAGTTAACCGCCGTTGAGAGGTTGCTTAATGCGCTGACCTGGCCTCCGGCACCCCGAGCCCGCATAACCTCTGTCTTCACATCCTTCTCGTCGACTAGGTCATCGGAAGTCTCATTGCTGTTCTCAGATAATGGTAAGACCTGTTGATCATGCGGAATAAGAAAATGCGTTATCGATCAGGTGCAGACGCCAGATTGCACTCACCACAACGGCAATGGTGCTTGTGTGAACCCGACCGGCAGATTCGGTCGCAGGAACTCGCTGCACTCGATGGACTCCTCGTTCGAAACGAAAGTCACCGAATGCGCCCTCGCCCTTCACTTCGAGCGTGACATCCTTGAGACCGTTTCCGCCCACGTTGCCGACCGTCTTGCTGAGGATTGATGTGCGCCAGTTCCGTTCAGCGGCATACCGCATATACATTCGCATGACTTCCTCCACGAACAGAGATGCTTCATCTCCCCCAGCTCCAGCCTTGATCTCCAGGATGGCTGATAGCTGGGCGGATTGAGATGAAGGGAGTAATAGCGAAGGGAGCTGGGTCTCGCACAACGCAGTAAGTCGCTCTCGGAGTGAAGCAATCTCATCCTCTGCTAGAGCCTTCATGTCAGGGTCGTTGTCCCGCAGCAGCGTCTCAGCTTCTTGCCACGCCTGTGTTCAACACGAAGGGTATAGTATTGTATGTAAACAGGATGTGGACACGAGGTCAGATAGGGCAAGAAGCGAATCCTAGCAAATACAGTTTATGGGCGAACCTCGATAGCGTCGTTGTACTCCTTCCATGCCTCGACCAAGGGCTCCGACTCTTTAATGGTCCGGGCAAGTTGAATCTGCTCAGAAACCTCTTGTTCGTCCCCTGAAGATTGCTATGTGAAGCGATGGGCCGAGGTTCAGCTTTGTCGGGTAGTCATAGCCGCAATTGCACGATTTTGCTTACTGCCTTCAGCGCCTCCTGGTAAGCGGCAACCTTGTGAGTGATGAGCTTGTACATCTGCTCGCTGACCTGGACACTGGCAGCCTGCGAGATCGTGGAGGTAGAGAACGATCGTCCTAGACCGACTCGACCAACGACCGGGAGAGGCACTCGCGAGTCCCTCTGCGCTCGGTCCGTGTGCAAGCCCCGCTTCTGTTCTCCCGCCGAGATGGGCTCTTGACCGATGACCTTTTGGGCTTTACGTTCCCCAGCAGCTTGACTGGCATCCATCTCTTCGGTGTTGCCTCCCTTGCCGTGCCGACGAGTACCCTCCTTCTTCCTCGCTTGGCGTTCCATATCGGCGGCCTCGTCGATCGTGTCGTCGATGTCAACCTTTTTCCCTTCATCCGTCCTGACATAGACGGAAGTGACGGTATCCTTCTTCTTGTCACCTTCCTGATCTGCCGGTGATGTCTTGTCCGACCCATCCTTCTGCTTGACCTCGACCTCGACATCCTCCAGACCCTCGAGCTGACCCTTCCAGTCATAGTCATAGTCGGCAGCGATCTTGGTCATCTCGATTCGAAGCGCCTTTGCCTCGGCGACTGCCACATGAACAACCTGTCAGTGGATAAGATCTACTCGCAATCGCTTTCGCTTGACTAACCCAGCTCGGTCCACCTTTCGACATCCAGCTGTTGTTTTTGGTACAGCTCTTGTTGCTTGGCAGAGACGGACAAATCGAGGACGGACGAGTAGGAAACTATTACCGTGGAAACATCGATTGATCAGACCAACAAGGCAACTGTCCTCGAGACACTTCATCAAACGAACCCTCTCGTTGATGCTAAAACAGGCAAACCAGGCTCAATTATCAGCCTCACCCCGTATCGATCGATTCTCAGACTAGACTCACGTAGAGGAAAAACAGGTAACCCCCAATAACAGTCGTCAGACCGCTCAGATATGTAACCTATTGAATCGATCAAGCATATGAGCCTTGTGTGATGAGAAGTCGTGATCATGAAAGGACTTACGGGCTCCATGACGTCCTATATCATGCCGAGCGAAAAATGGGCAAGTTCAGCCATACTGTGCTCACCTGAGCCAGTGCGAGAGAACCAAGCACTCACCCATCCGAGCGGGGAGAAAAACGCTGAAACCCAGGAGAGAAACCGATCAATCAGCCTGTCAACGTCGACTCCGCACGACGATTCTGGGTGGACAGACTTACTGAGCTTGAAGACTACACCCCAGTATGCAACCAGACCTCCGAGTCCCATGACCGAGTACCTCCTCGCCGCACGATGAGCCTCCTTGTCTAGCCTAACCAGGTCAAGCCGTCACAGCATCATGGCAACAGCATGGGCAATCGTTAGAACCGAGCACCGGGTTGATTCAAGTAAGATGATAAATCGGAATAGATGACATGTAACAGAGGAGGAAAGTATGTGCACGTACATTTTCTTCTGTTCGGTCATCTTTGCAATCTCGGTAGTAAGCTTCAACAACCTCCTTCGGAGGTAGACCGTCCTGCTCGCAAACGTCGGTATCTTGACCTTGAGCGTCAAGGGCGATAACGACATTGACCCCGCAGATCCCGTCCCCGGAACGGAGGTAGAGGTAGAAGCCGTACTACTCTCTTCAGGTCTGACGACGATCTTGAACTCTTGTGCCAGAGTACTCTGCTTGATAAAATCCCCCAGATCCGTCGAAGTCGACCACCTGACTTCCTGAAGCTCCGCTCCGTTGGGGTTTCTATCGTTCAGAATCGGACCTCCTTCTTCGGCTACCGTCTCTAGTGCTTCTACCTCCCCGCTCGACCCCGACCCTGACCCTGTTGAGGTGTTAGCAGATCCAGATGAGGCATCCGAGGTGGACGATGAAGGAGAGGTAGCTGAGGGGTATGCATCGTGATCTCTCCCGCTAACGGCGCGGAATTCAACCTCGGCTGACCGTTCGGAGGAAGGGAGCGAACCGAGGATGAGCCTCGAGACGTGTGAGAGGGGTTGAGAGGGGTGTAAGAGGTAGGCCGTCTCGACCACGTTCAGCTCGGGTTGTCGGGCTGTCGACTCGGGTGCTTGTCGAGAAGTGCTCGAATTCTCAGCTGTAGCTTCAGATTGTCCCTGTGATAATGCTGCTAGTGACCGGGGCAAGGGCAAGACGAGCTTGAATAGGTGACTCGTGGTCGGTGTCAATTTCCCTGTCCACCTCGACGTATCCTCTTGCCGGCTCAATTCCTCTGCCCGTCTCTTAACATCCTTTTTAGCTTGGCCATCCTTGTCCACATCGACTTGTGGCTTGTCCCCTGCTCTAGCCAGGAGCTCCGAATGCTGTACATCGACGAACGAGGAGGTCGAGTTGAATCGGATGAAGGAGCTCGCGAGAGGTCGTGCGAGATGAGCAGGTTGATGTCGTGCTATCGACCTTGCACCCGTGAAGAGTGAGCGAGGCAGCGGCATCTGGGTACTGGCTGCTGCTGTTGCCTCTTGCTCTTGTCTGTCGCTGCAGTCAGCCAAAGGTCGAGGAGGGAATCGTATAACACCCAATTCAGAGCAACTTGGTCACAACTCGCACGAGGTCCGATCGAAATCATCATCATCATCGACGCCGAGGGCGACGCGGATTTAGTTCTTAGCGATGACGTCTCAGAGCTGAAACACATCGACGACGTAGAGACGTTTCGTATCCCATCGTTATCCGCAAGATCCGACCTGTAGCACCTCTCAATTCGTTGAAAGGCTACTGAGAGACATAGGGAACGATCCTTCGAGATCGATGCTTGCGCTCACGCCCTGTCTCTGACCGGTGCCGTCAAGTGTACCAGTACGTCGCATGTGAAACGACTCGAACGCAGCAGGTCAAGGAGGATCGACAGGCGAGAAAACATCCTTTGTACTGGCCCCTCGAATTCGACTCATGAAAGCCCGTCCATAACGAGCATCCAACGTACGTGTGGCTGATATATAACAAACGAGGCGACTAACCCACTCCGCGACCAAATTCACGCGCTCGCCTGTTCCATTCTCTTCAAGATCAAACCCCCTCCATATCCCTCCTACATAACCAAACTCCACCTTTCAACCCTTCCACCATGCCTCCAACTCGTCTCACAACCACGCCCTCGGTCTCCCCTTTCATAACCACCTCGTCCACACCCTACTCTGCTTTCCGCCTAGAACGCGGGAACCGACCTAGGAGTGGTACAAGTACTTCCGGCAGCGACAGGTCCACAGGGTCCAGCCCCTCGCCTTCTCCCCGCGAGATCCATTCTCCTCAGAAGGACTCCATCTCGTCCATGATACCCAAATCTCATACGAGAACGAAATTGGGACACAAGACCACCCCTTCCGCGTCGGACCTTGCCTCCCTTTCCTCCGTGCTCGGAACCGCAGGTCCAGGGCAAGGAGGGTTCAAAAAGGGCCACCGAAGGATCCGGAGCAAGAAGTTGCAGGCCAAGTTGGCCAACAATGCGTTGTGTCACGGATTCGAGGAGAACGTGGCGGCTTGTATCTTGATCGAGTTGAGGTGAGCCGAGCGCGCTCTTTCTTTGTTTTTTTGCTTGACCTTGTAGAATAAGGGGGAATAAGTGTGTTAATGCATATCGTTTTCGTTTCTGTCACGTTGGTAGTCGATCGGCGCCTCCACTTACTCCCCATTACAAGATCCACGAGGCATCACACGATGGTCCCTGAAGAAAAAGCAGGTTCTGACTTATGGGAAGCAGGAGTAATGGGGAATCGGCGTAGGTCTGACGAGAGCTTGTGTACTTCTACTAGGATTAGTACTTTTATGATCGAAGAAAGTGTAGCCTATGAAAGAGACAAGAGCAGATGCCTGATATGCAGGGCAAATCCTGGCCCATCGTCTTCTGACGTTTCCTCGTCCGGAAGACTCGTCTTAGTAAACATGTTCCCATCAACCCAGTGGAAGTGTAAAAAAATAAGTATTATAAATCTCGCATGAGACAGATCAACAACCAAATCTATCTGATACAAGGTCCGATTCCGTGTGTCGACCAACGAGCGAGAGGTAAAAGAAAGATATGATATAGACAAGAAGAGAAAGAGAGAAAAAGGCGGACCGTAGAGAGAGGTCGATCGAAAAACACAAAGAGGTATATGGAGAAAGAGAACGAGGGGGTCCGTGGATCGGCCCCGCTGATGCCGGAAACTAGTAGCTACATTTGGTTGAGAGAAGAGATGGGGTATCCAGAGAGAAGAGAGAAAGAGAGGTGCCGGACCATGGGGACGCTGTCCGTTTTATGATTGGTGGGGGGACGCCGTCAAGGTCGTACGTATATATTTGGCGATGGCGAGAGAGAGGATTGCCGATCTGGGTCTGGACCGGCCAGCGTAGAGGATAAGGACGGCGATGGTCCTACTGTTGAACGATGACGACTTCTTCCCCGTTATCCGTCACGGTCCTGATCCGTCGGGTGACCGGTTCGATGGTATCGTTGGCGTTTTGATGATGTCCGGCCAACAAGTTCCTGAGCCCCGTAAAGCTCATTGACGACCTCAAGCTCAAGGCGGGTCTCGAGTGGGTGGGAACGTTGCCGGTGACAACCAACTGAGGTACTTGAGTAGTAGACTTGGGTCTACCATACTCGAGCGCGGCCGACTCGTTCAAGAGCCTCTGTTGCTGCTTCCTCGTCGCCGAGGTCAACGAGGATAATGGCTCGTACTCGGATCCCTTGACGTCAACAGCAATGTCGGTGGCGATATGAGGAGATCGCTGGTGGTGAGCCTGTTGCTTCGATCGGTGGTACGCCTGCGAAGGAGGCTGGTAGTACCTAGCGACCTTTTGGTCGTCCCGCTGACGGACATAGGCCCGCTCGACCGAGCTCAGCCCGTAGATGCTAGGCGAGTTCCTAACAGGGGTGACCGAATTCTTGGAGGCAGCATATCGTGGGGAAGGCGAGCTTGGCCCATAGGAATCCCTCTTGATCGACATCGACATGGGCTGTACCGAACGGACCGGGTCATACTTGCCCTGACTAGCAGAGGCAACCCTGGATGAGATGGCCCCGACCCGACCCTGAGCGGTGGCACGGGCCCTCAAGACGAGGTCCTCATTGGCCTGACAAGGCTCGGCCAGCACGTCGTCCGTAGAATCGTCGGACGAGGTCGACCCGTAAGAATCCCTTCGCTGGAGCGATGGTGGCGAAACGATCGTCGGTACCATCAGGCGAGGCCCTGCCGATGATGACGAAGAGGAAGCCAAAGTGGGTACCGCCACCGATGTCCTCGTTCGCCTCTTGGGCGTGAGGTAGACGGGTCGGGAAGAAGTACCAGTACTTCGGACGGGAGAAGCCAACTGAGTCTGGGACAAGGCGTCGGTCATGGCGGTCACCGGCGTCAAAGCCGATCCCGAGGCGGTGTAGTGTTGTGCGTCAACGTCGACGTCCTCCCTCGAATCCAGTCGAGCCGAGACGGGGGTGATGGGTGGCGTCGGAAGACCCCTATGCGAGGTGACGGCTTGCAAATTTAACCGGCTCGGCCTCTTGTCCATCGACCTCCTCGGAGCAGCAGTAGCAGCCAAAGTCTTGGCCGACGACGACGATGATGGTCGACCCGATCGGGAGACCATGAACCTAGACAAGCCCTCGATGAGCTCGTCCTCTTCGACCCTCAAGTTGTAGTCGAGCAAGAACAACAACTGCTTCTCCATCAGGTTGACTTCGGGGAGAGCGAAATGGTGTCCGTACTTTTGCCAGTGCTTGTTCTTGGGTGACGAGTCGTTCAAGTACTTGGCAGCGCAGATGAGGGCGGCGAGAAAGACCCGGTGTCGGGTACAAGGCATCCCCTTGGCCACCTTGGGCAACTTCTGTCGAAGCCTCTCGAGGTAGATGACGGTGCTCATCAGGGTGGGCACCTGGACGTTGCTCTGTTGTACCAGACCCCGAATGAAATCGAACAGGGTAGGCAGACCGAGAGCTACGGCGGCTCGTTCGATCGGGTCGTTGGTGTAGTCTGGTACAGAGCTGTTGAACGAGGTAGGCTTGGTCGGGGTGGCAGGAGGCGTCATCGAGCCAGACGCATCGGCCTCGACGCTGATGACGCTCGAGGTCTTCTCGACCAAGAAAGCTAAGAAGAGCGGTAGGGGCGGGGGTCAGTGACCGTTGAAAGATTGCCTCCTATCTTTGTTGTATTGTGTGCTCACCGATCATCTCGTCCGAGACTCGACTCCTCATCAACCCGCAAAACTCGGGGTCGTGCCTGCTCCGGGGAACCATGCTCGCAGGGTGGATACGGTCAATGACCGTGTGGCAAGTAGAGGTAGCCATTATGAGAGTGAGAAAGGTAGAGGAGGACTAGGTGGGGTAGTACGGTGAGAGTGGGGGTGGTCGCAACAAGAGAGGGCTGAAGAGAATGAGAGGGTATCCTTTGTTGACCTCGATCTTCGATCCGGGCTGGAGTGGTGTCGAGAGAATCCGAAAGGTCGACGCTCTGTTCTTCTTATTATCCAGCTACGAGAAGACGCTCTGATAACACGGACGAGAAGGACCGATGATCGGATCGATCGTTCGAGGTCAGTTCGAGTTCCGAAACATATGGGACCAGATTCTATCCCGTCCGGGATGAACCCGTTCCGTGCAAGATCGAGATAGTCTAAACTCACCCGCAACAAGAGGTGGAGGTCGGGCGTTAGCGTAGATTTGAATCCTAGTCTCCTGACGAAAGTAGAGACCGATCCGGTCTGCCCTCTAATCGAATAGGGGTAGACGAGAAAGAATCAGGCGGAAGGAGAGAGAAGGTTGCTAGGACGAGGAGAAGGTGGTGGTAGTTGAAAATGAAGTCGGTTGTTGAACGTAGTTGGCGATAGACGGTCGACGGGGGAGGTGGCTCGCAGAGTCGGAGGGAATGGGTGGATCGTTGGGTGATATATCAAAGAGAGTGGTGGGGGTGGTCCGATGAGTCTCTCGGCCGGAGAATCCTAAAATGAACGTCGATCTTTTGTGGGAAGAAGAAGAGAGAGAGAGAGAGAGACGAGAGGGAAGTGGAGCAGAGGGAGGTACGAACGATGAGGAGATTGAATCGACATCGACGATCGCACAGAGAGAGATATGACCCAGCCAGGGCAGGTGGTCATCCACTCACCAGCCGACGGGACTGATGGGACAAAAAGTCAATAAACGACCGAAGCAGGGCAGGAGGGGGGCAGAGAGAGGGAGGGGGCCAAGCGAGAGACATCAGGGGCGCAATCATCAAGCCACCACGGAAAAGAACGATAAATGGCAAGTCCCGGTCTCTGGTCTGCCTGCCCCCCCTGCTCGTCCCGCCATTCCCGTTCCGCGCGCTACGGAAGAGGAAGAAAACCGCTCAACATGCCGGCATCGACGCCAGGCACTCGACCCGTGGCCCTGCTGATGATCTATCGTTCCCGAGGTAGGACCTCGTCCCCCCTCCCGCCCTGTCTCAGGGTCTGATTGACCAGAGGGGGGGGAGAGAATCTTCTTTCACTTCCGGATCGGACCACGTCCGAACAAGGATCTGCATCGGCCAGGATTGACGCCACACCGCTCGAACACAGGACAATCGCAATCGAAGTCGCAATCGCACGGTGGATCGAGCTTTCATCTTTGCATTGTACATTGTCTAGATCGCGGGACCCCTCGGCACTTCGGAAATATGAGAAATATAGCCGAGTCGTTTTGTCTGTAAACGACCCGTTTCGCGAGAATTTATCAAAGAATTCGGTTGACGTCCGCATGCCGCGAATGACGTGGTAAACTGCGCGTCTCCCAAGGGTTTTTTGATGGAAATCCATACGCGGAGTATCGATCACGTGAAACTCTAGGTAAATGAGCAAAAACCCCGAGCAATACGTCACCCAGATTCCTAGGACATTCCGCCTATATTCGATCTATATTCCTGTCACCGAAAATTCTCGGCCCGGTTCTGATCGGTAAAAATTGGCCATTCTGCATCCGTAAATAGTAATATTGCATAACCATTATGTCGGATATACCGTTATCTCCCCGATCACCCGATCCCCGATCACCAAATCAATAACAATCCACCTCTATACCTCTGTTTAACCCGCCATCTTCACGTCTTCACAGACTGCAGTACCTCAACGTTGTCGGGCTTCTCCGTCCTTGGGTAAGTGATCGAGCTATTCCTACGTGCCCATTCCTGAACCTGACTTTGTGTTGACGTGCTGCAGTGCAAGTCGGGGAGGAAGTCATCAACATGTCTCAGCCAAACGCTACGGCTGGTCCGAGTCGTACGAAGACATACGTTCCGCACCAGCCTTCTCCTCTCTCCGGTTCCGACTCCAACAATGAAGACTCCCCCGAACAGATGGCTACTCCTGTCAATCGAAGGCCGAACCAGGGAGTGATCAACACGGCGAACAGGTTGCAGGCGGTAGTCGGTGATGGGAGGAACAGATGCAAGTACCTTTGGTCCTTTCGTCCCTCGTGGAGGCCGAAACTTGTTTGATTATCTGACCGCTTGACCTGTTTGTGCAATCGCAGATGATCAACTATCTCCCATCGATCAAAGACGCCGTGTCGGACTTGCCGCTAACCTCGACCCTCTGTCACACCCTTCGCCTGCCCCCGGGGCAACTCCTACTCCTTCCGGTCGGAGGCCCACCACCGCTGGAGCACGACAGCGTCAAGAAGGCCAGCAAATGCAAACGGATAGTACCAATGTCATCTCGGCCAACAGCAGATTCCAGACGTCACAACTCACGGCTACCGAAGAGCTGCGATCCCGTGTCCAACGCCTAGAGGAAGACGTGAGGAGGAAGGAGGCCGTCATTCAGAGTTTACGGGGAGATGTCGAGGATCTAAAGGCGAGCGTTGCGGGCTTGCAAGCTGGCACTCACCAGGAAGAACCCGCGGTCGATAACAGCCAGGAGGAGAAGCAGAAAAGAGCGATATCCAGGATGGTGAAGAGTGCGGTAGAAACGCTGTACGGGGATACCAAAATGTCAACCTGCGTTACGGAGGGCGGACAGACAGACGAAATGCGGTGGAATTATCAACAAGCACCAACCTCTGTATACAATGATCAGCAAACACGAAGAGTCCTTGCCTTGTGTACCGATAACCGGGAGAGCATACCTTTGACGAAAGACAACCCTCGCGAATCGATTCCCGATTACAAGGATGCCAAGGACTTGTTCCATGAAGCCATCCGAGATCGCTTCTACGCCAACCAGAGTACCCATAGAAAGGGGGTGATTGCGCGATGGGGGGAGGAAGGACCAGACGGACCGAGGGAAAAGTTGCTGGAGGAGATCAGGGTTCAGGAGCAGTTGAGGGATAACGGGGATGACGAGGAGAGCACCGCGGCGGAGGAGGCACTCACGCAGTTGAACCAAACGCTGGATAGGAACGACAGCGCCTTAGCCGCACAGCAGGGGAATGCAAAGCCGAACATCAGGTCGAAGTTGAACGCGGTAAGCTCAGCGCAGCCTGTGTCTGCATCTCCACGTCGACTCACCTTTGCCTTGGTCAAATCGTGACAAACCAGGCTGTGACGAGGATGAATACACGTCGACCCAGGACGATCTATGCTGATGAGAAATACGAAGGGCTTGCCTGCTTCTACTGGATCCCGCCGTTGTATTGCGATCAGTCGTCGGGCTCGCCAAAGTGGCATGAGGCTGAGTGGGAGGGCGTTTACTCGCAGCAGGTGAGTTGAATCTTGATACACAGAGTCTCGCTCGAGTACTGACTTTCTTTGACCATCGATGTACAGTACATCAAGATGCACAAGAGCGTATGGAACCTGAAGATGCAGACAAAAGGGAGCGGTAAACGTGCGTTGCCAGTAGCCCCGGGACCAACTTTCGACGAACTACCCGAGGGAGAAGAGCGCCGCCCCGTCGAGCTGTACCTTCCCTCCAGTCTAGCGTTTCTTCATCAGGCCCCACAGCGCTGGATGTTCTGTCAGGCTTGGTTAGACGACCCGGAAAACGCGGAGGTCGTCGAGAGCAGAATCGTACCTGTCGACGAGCCTACGTCCTTCTCCGATGTTGAGAAAATGGACTGGATCCTCAATCACCCTTGGACGATCATGAAGGCTAAGAGAAGCGCCAACGAGAAGAAGAAGGTCGAGAACGAAAAGAAGAAGAAGAAGAGGGCCTGGTCAGAATCTACACAGGCGGCGACTACCGACAGCGAGACTCACCGCCCAATGAGTGCAACTTCTACGGCGCTGAACCGAGGTCGATCAGCCCAGCCTGCCGAGCGAACCATCAAACGGCCACGAACGGATCGACGCGAATCGTCTATTGCGGGTGAGACGATTGAGGAGGAGGATGATATGGATGAGCCAGAGCCAGAGAGGTCGGAGGAATTGATGTCAAGACAGCCAAACCAGCCTGAGCCGACGATCACGACGAATTTTGAGGGAAGGAACCATGGGGTCGACCAGTCCGGAGGCGCGTCAGTAGGCTGGAACCCTGGGATGCAGGCGGTCGGATTCCATCCTGGTTGGGCCGGCCAATCGCCTGCCTCGCCATTCCCTGTCGGGCAGCAATACATTCAAGGCAATGTCAATGGGTTCAATCAGGACCGCTCGGATCCCTTCCAAGTATCTCGCCACCCAAACGACCCACGCTTCTTCGCTCCGGTGGGATCCGGATACGGCCCGTTCAACGGCGGCGGCTTTGTCGGACAAGGTGGGAACGTTGCGTACATGCAGGGCGGCGGAGGCTTCGGATACATGAATGGTGGGGGTGGTGGGCCTGGAGGAAGTGGAGGTTCGGACGGTATTCAGATGAATGGCGGTGGGGCGGTGAATGGGGTGATGAATGGTAGCAGGGCGCCGACAGGGATAATGACGACTCTTTACGACAAGGACTCTATGGGAAACGCCTCTCCAAGTCAGCAGAGCCCTCGGGCCGGGCATCGTCCAGGATGAGGAACCCACTTGAAACGACAAGGTGAACGATCTTATTACGACGGAACTAGCAGCTATAATTGAGATTTTGGGATTACGTGGTTGCGGAATGTAATCAGTCACAACGTTGACGCAAAAGAATGTCTCGATGCACCCACAGAGAAATTCATCATGTCTTCTAGGTCTCATCGTCTGTCTCGCCACGAGCATCCTCCAGTCCGAGTGCGTCTGCCTGCGGATCGTCAGAGTCCAACCAGAACTCCGGTTCCTGTCCCTCTCTATCACATGAGACACAGGTGATAAGCTGATCGAATTTTGAGACGATGACGGATGCCTGTAGAGCTGCGATCGGGATGAATAGAGGACCCCCTGCCTCGTGCCTGTCGTGATAGATCCGGTAGCCAAGGTCGATGCTCCGGTATCCCCACGCCTGATCCGGCACGCCCTTCTGGAACTTGTCGACTAAGGCCAATCGGAGTTCGAGATCCGGTCGATTCTTGACAACGAGAGTGGCAGACAGGAACAGGCGGACCTGGACAAGCTCCCTAGATGCCTCGTCTTCGAGACAGGCCAATGCGTATTGATCACGAACCGTTCTGTTGTACAGGGCAGAACAGAATCTAGGCGGGGTCACAAGATCTATCAGCAACTACAAATCCTTTCAGCCGGGCTCAACGTCAGGGGTCTAGCTCACTTAAACCCTTGGTGGACCACGTGGGTGTGCAGGAGATACCTCTCCGATGTTACCGGGAGGCAGGGTCGGCGGTCTCCAACTGTGATTCTCCCCACGAAGTCGTACTCCGGGTGGTGAAGCTGAACGTAGGCCAAGAGACATTCGTAGGCTGCGGGGTATTTTTTGAGATTCACAGGCGATATCTTCATCGGTGGTGGCAATCGGGCGGTAATGTTTCGGCGGATAAGGATCTCGTTAAGCATGACGGTCCCCAGGGTTGTTAATCGATCGGCAAGGAGGAGCTCTATGGCGGCCCGTTCGGTCGCTGATATGTCTGGGGCGGGATTGTGAAGCACGGCTGCCAGCAAGGCTTCACGAAGCCAAGCCCTAAGCAAGGTCGATGGTATGTCCTTTTCTTTCATGTTGTGTTTGACCTACAGACAAGGTATCAACATCGGAAACCACGTCGTCAGTTCTCGGATAGGACTAACCCTCGACAAGGAACCGTTGTTACGTTCGAGAGCCCATGTCGAGTACCCTCCTATCGGCCCAAATAGCTTGACGTGACTGCGAGCGGATGCATGTCAGATCGGGGTTACCTTGATATGGGTCGCATCGATTAATATGCCACTTACAGCGGATAATGCATAGCGTTGTGCCAGTTAATCGTAAGTTTGGCGCCTAGAGAGATCATCGTCCTTGCACAGATAGCCAGGTCTTCCGTCGCAGCTTCGGCGTCGCTCAGGGAGATTTTGTGTGAGTCGAGTACCCGGATTCCAGAGCATAGGGACACCGCAGCGCCAAACCACAGTTTGCGGTTCCTTTTGAACGGGATATCAGCCTCATCTGAGCGTCGGGGTTTCTTCTTGGTTGCTTTTCCCCGTGCCGCACCGACTCTTCGAGATGGCTCAGGAGTGGACCGAGCCAGATCCTCAACGGTCTCGACCGAGGGGTCTTCGCCGTCCAAGTCCTCGTCGTCGATGAGAAGAGAGCCTTCTTTCCTCCAGCTTATCGATAGCGCATGCACGAGAAGTTGAGACACCCGCTTCCACTGGTCGGCTTTTAGACCGGCTGCCTTCCCACTCATCATCTGTTTGGTCACGCCCGATGGCAATTTTCCGAGATGCCCAGGATACTGAGCCTGGTTGAATATGGACGAGAACACCTCGGCTCTTGACCGACCTTCGATGTCGCCTTCGAACATGTCGTTTTGGGTAAGGATATTGATGAACGACTTCACCAATCCGAGGTAGAGATTGTGCAAGTGATCGAGGGGCGCCGATTTCGAATGTTCCATGCCAATCAACTTGTTAAGAACCGAATACCTCACCCCGTAGGTGTCCTCGATGAGTCTAGCCTGCGCAGACGTGCGCGTATCCTCGTGACGGAAGGCCTCGCCGAGAAGGGCTTTAGGAGACAGCAGTTTCGGAGGCAGCGCCCGCCAGTCGTAAGCGATAGGGGAGCTGAGGTCGCCGTTGTATACCCCGCAATGATGGCAGGGGTGGATTCCGTGGGCGTGACTTACTGCGCCGATAAGTTTTTTGGTGGCAGGAAGATCGGCAACAGTGAGAAGCAGTCGGGCAACCACCATCTCATCCTCTGGATCTTGATCGTTGATCGCTGGGTGAAACCCGAACTGGCACATCTGCATATCTTGAACCACGGGCTCCAATATCCGGTTTAGGAATGTAAGGGAAGGTTCTTCGGGACCGGGAATCACGCAAAGCAGTGCCGTATATCGTTTTTTGAACATGAGATGACGAGGTAGATTCGCTACACACGCAAAGACGGCGCCGACCGAATAGCCCGGCATGTTTTTGACCCTGAACCAATCGCAGCCTAGGATGATTTGTAGTCCGAAGCGCATGTTGACTACGCGGAATTGCTCAAGAGGTTCTCCTTCCCATATCTCAGGCTCGTCGTCAACCACGTAATCGTCGTAGATTTCCCGAAAGACGTTCCACCGACTAGCTCGCCAGGCTGAGCCATCGCTTAGCCCGTACAACGGCTCGTCGGGGTGAAAGTATGGCTCGGTTTCAGAGAGCGGAGGTATCTGATCACCGTCTTCAGGCAAATTTCGCCAGTGGTGCACCTCGTATCTGAATTCCGGGTCCTGCATCCATAAGGTGATCCAGGTCGACAGGTTGACGTAAGGGACTACCCTGGCAGGACTCCGTACCCCATTGATCGAAGTATAGACCTGCGCATCGCAGACATTACCGTCGCCTAAAGGTGCACCGCAGACCGGAGAGTCGAGGCTGGAGAGGGAGTCGTAGGGCTTGAGCCACCAGCACGATGGACAGCAGATATGGCGCTTCATGTATTCGTCGCCGAGGACACCCAGACGGGACATGGCAGTTCTCCAGTTACTAGTACTAGTGGGGTCGGTCTCGGCCTCAGGGTCTTCCGGCAGGTCTTGGTTGTCCAAAGACTCGCGAGCCAGTTGAGCAGTCGCGGTAAATTGCTCGAGCATCTTGTCTGCATGCCGGTCGGGCATTCCGATCATCTTAGCGAAAGCGATTGCCGTGTAGGCATTACGAGTGGCCGGACTGAGATCGTGGTGGCGATGAACTCCGGCGATCCTGACGATAGGCCGACCATCTGCTCCGACTTCCTGGTCTTCGGATATGGTGTCATCCGCAAACGGGTCATCCTCGTCCTCCTCATCCAGCAGCATCTCCTCATCGCGCAAGCTGACATCGTCCCTGACATCACCCTGATCCGTTTCATCGTCATCGAAGCCCCCGAAGTCAAATTGCTGACCTGCAACATCAGAGTAGTCTTCGATCTCGAGAGACGGAGGGCGGGAGGCGGCAACGAACGGGGGAGGGGATTGTTCGCCAGAAACTGCTCGAAGTGCTATGCGTTGCCCGGGGTCGACCTTGGCTTGTCGGAGATTGTCCGTTCCGTTATGTAGCCTCCATGAGGTATAGGCTATCATCCGAAATCCAGCCGCAGAGTACTGGCTGCACTTCTTGCACTGACATGCCCGCTGTGGTCGAACCATCGCGTGTGTTTCTGGACGAGGTGTACTCCGGCGTGAAGATTACATCGAGGTTCCGAGGTCGAGACTTCATGAGGTCGTGGCCGTCCTGAAGATGCTAGATCTATCCGAATTATACGAGAGCTAAGTCAGCTCGATAGGACGGTGATATCAATACGATAGAATCATTGGAGCGAGGACACCTCGATGGTCTAAGTCGACCGAAGTCCAAAGATCTAAGGCCAAGGTCGTCAATATCGCCAAATCGCCATAACAGGCAATTTGTTTACAAACGCGTCGCGTTGAGTTAAATGACGCGTTTGGTAAACGCCGGGTATATTCATGTGATATCCGAAATCGACGGAGATTACAAATAGCAGATGTCCGCTCTTGAATTTTGGTCGCGTTCACCAAGAGTTCGCCAAGTGGTCGATATATTCTACCTAAACTCCATGTATATTCCGCATTTCACATGGAAAACCGAAGACCCATATTTCACGATTTCGCGGAGTGCCCTCGGTCACGGTCCCCGATATCGATGTTCGATGCAATCTCTTTCAGATGATCGTTCGCCCTCAGACATACATCTACTGCCTCATCGCCCATCGGTACCACACCCATACCATATCGTATCGCTCGTCGTGGATCAGGACACGCCACTCGCAACGAGGCGCATGGTCGTCCCATCTTGCTCCGAACCAGCCTACCCTACCTAAACCCCCCTCTCGCGTCCTCATGTCTTATCCTACTTCTTCCGAAACCTACGCTACCAGATCTCTCAAGCCTCTTTTCCACATGACGACGATCAAAGAAACGAGAAAACAATGGGGGCAGGAAACAAACTTCCCGAGGGACGAACTGAACGTACGATGGTGGACGAGCGGTTCTCCCCGGTCCTCATTGTCATTGTGTTGCCTTGTTCTTTGCTATTGTCCTTGTTGAAAGCATGCGGTACAGAACCTTGCCATAACCTGCCGTATCTCAGCGTACTGTACCATGCCAAGATCGGTATCGTGCTTCGAACATGGTGAACCATCTCCACTATACAGCAGTACCCCATGCAAATGCCAGCCCACATCCAACATGACGACCTCGAGGCGGACTGCAGACAAACCCCGAACCTCGTCGAGCCACCCATTTTGCTCGAGCGACATTCGCCTTCTTCGCCCACGCGTCAAAGGCGTCTCGTCCCGCAGCATTGGCGTTCGTATTCCCACAGAGAGAAATGTCTCGTGCGGACCACTTTCCAATCCCCAAACTCGGAGGAGAAAAAAACTTGTACCGGATCGTCGTCATTCGCTTGTAACGTGAAGCGAGATGGTATCGGTGGTGGTGGTGGTTTTGTGAAACCTTATCTGCATATGTTCGACGCGCCATCTCGAGGGTCGGACGTTTTCATCAGCCTCTTTCGCTGATCTTCCGGGTCGTCGGTCCAGGTCGTTTTCCACAGAGTGACGAGTATGGCTGAAGATTGTTGATACCGGAGCAGGCCGGGATGACGATGGTGGTGGTGGTGGTGGTGATACTGGCGAAGATGATGTCGGTGGTGGTTTTGTTGCCTACAACGATGACGACGAGGTGTGCGAGTCGATGGAGACGGAACGACCTACAACACTTTTCTCACGGGCTCGGTCGCGACGTCTACATCGGATCTACCTTTCTTCCGACAACCCTCTTTGCCTGGATGAAGAGGCTGTGCTGTGCGTTTCGATTGCTCTTTCCGGTTCATTAACGACCTGGTCGTACCCAACGACATGTACCTCTCTCGCTGGTATTTCGCAAAGAGACCTCCTCCGGTTCCTGCACATCACATCACGCCTGCCGAGGAAACCAGAAATACAAAGCCCATTTTGGTTGTACAACACCTTGCCCTTCGGCAGAAGTCTCTCGACCAGGGATTTAAGGATTCGGTAACAATACCAGGCCCTGCTTTGGACGAGAATATCACTCAACCAAAAACGATCACGGATGTAGATCCGTTGTTCGGCGGTTTTCAAGGATACACAAGACTGCGTGAGAAAGCGATCGGAGATCCCGGGCGCGAGTGGGATTCTACCGGTTCCGGTCGAGAGTTTTGGCTTTCATGAACCCGGACCGATGGCCGCAATCGTCAATCGCCGAGGCAGATCGCCTCACTCGCTCCCGTTCACAACGGTTCACAGCGATCAATCGATGGCTTTCCATCGAAAGCAAGGAAGGAGATCGAAACAGATCGCTCGATGTACGATGAAACTCCCGATCCTTCGTCCGTCTCTCATAAGCAATCGCCACCCCTTCTCGTACTATATCCTTCGTGATTCAGACTCTTCATAAGTCATTTCGGGTCGGACGAACGAATTGCGAGAGCTAGACTGGGCCCTGAGCCGCGTAATCTGCCCTGAGGACGAGGCCCGTACCGCGCGCGTAACTTACTACTTATCGCAAGATGACTCTGATATTTACGGGACCTCGTCGGTGCGCTCGGTGCATGTCAGCGCCGAGAGAGGAATTCCTCGAATGGATGACATCTACGTATTGTATGATCGGTCTCGCTCCACCGGCACCGCTCCACCTCTGGAGTCGTCAGGGGATTCCAGAACCCTCCGAGTGCTGACTGTAGATCTGCGGACGTGAAACCTTTTTTCTTCTCCGAGATCCCATGGAGTCATCCCGAAATCTTCTTCTTCATCCGCGGGAATGTCAGATCATCAGATGACAGCGAGACGGTCCGGGTTGCGGGTAGGAGAGGATGCACGACAAAGGCGGGAAGGATGAGAAGGGAAGATGCATTTGATGAATAAAGCTGACAATCTCGGTACCGGGTGATGATCAACATCGTCCGAACACTCTAGACTATCTAAAAGATACATCCTCTATGTATAACGAGCAGGGGGGGGGGAAAGAAGACACCTCGTGACCGTCGAAAGAAAGAAAAAAGAGAGCGCGGTCGCAAAACTCATGTCGTAGTAGTCGTTATCCCGAGTCCACCCTCGAAGAATCGCTCGAGCGGTAGACTTGGATCTAGTAGATCGAAGCACCCCTCTTGGCCCATCGAGCGGCGACGGACCTCTTGGACCAAGAGATGCTCGACTTGCAGGACGAAGCCTGGGTCTCGCACTGGCCTTGAATAGTCTGTTTTGAGAGCGGCGAGGTAAGGTCAGCATGAATTCGACCTCGAAGTTGCGCAATGGCGGGACTTACGCCGGTCTGGCCGTACTGAGAGTTGGCAAAGTCGTAACAAGCGTTCTATCGAATATGAAACCGGGTCAATATACCACTCGAACCATCGCTCTCGTGCAAAAGATTGCCCTCGACTCACTCGCTGCTCGTCACAGCTCCTGTAGAGAGCGTCAGGCAAGAAGTTGAAGGTGTTGCTTCCAGTCTTGTACTTCTCGCCGGATGCTGAAAAGCGCCAAACAGAACCAAGTCAGGCAAAGTCGGAAGGCAAAATAGACAACGTCTGAGCGCCTCACCGTAGACTCCAGGAGCGGCTCCTCCGATGGTTCCGGTGGCGGTTTGCAAGTTGGCCCCACCCGCTCCTCCGGTAGGGGCAGGGGCGGCAGCGCTGAGCAAGCGAAGAAGATGGAAGTTTTGAGTCAGTACCCGAGACGTTTCAGAATATTGCTTGAACAGCGGCTCACCTGGTCTCAGCAGGGGCAGTGACAACGGGAGCCGAAGCGGAGGGAGCGGGGTACTCGGGCTCAGGAGCAGCAGAGGTCTCGACGGGGGCGGTCTCCGAGGTGCTGGAGGTCGGGACGGGCGCAGGGTATTCGGGTTCAGCAGTGGCAGAAGGCTCAACTGGGGTGAAGTCCGAAACGGTAGGAGCAGGACCGGAAGTGGCGGTGGAAGCCTCGTCGACAGTCGAAGTGGTAGGCTCGGTGGGGTACTCGGGCTCGACAGTGGTAGGCGCAGGCTCGGCGGCAGAGGTCGACGAAGGAACGGGTTCAGCGGCCGACGACGACGAAGGAACCGGGACGGCCTCGGAAGACGAAGGAGCCGGGGCCGGGGCCGGGGCAGAACCAGCGTTGTAGACGGGAGGTCCAGGAGCGACAAAGGCGGCGTTGTCTCCGTTGTAGATGCTGTGTTGCAAGAAGTCGGTGTTCATCGTGTACGCAGCGGGGAAGGTGACAGTGTCGGCCGGCTTGACGGTACCGGAAGACTTCAAGTTGGCTTGGAAGCAGTAAGGGTAGACTTGGGGACCGCCCTGGGTGTGCATGGCGAGGATGTCGTGACTACCGGGGGATTACGAGAGGAAATCAGTCATGTTTTTATAGAGACGATGCCAATCGTCACTCACCGAACCAAGACGGCTCTATAACAAGTCCAAGGAGCGCACCAAGGCGTCAGCGTTATGTCGACCCTATCACCGGGCCCAGACCAGACTTACCCGGGAGCGAGTTCAGCAGGGATCTTGAAGTTCCACTTCTTGGTCTTCGCGATCGTCTCGCTCGCCCAGACTCCACCGCTGAATCCATCTTCTTGAATCTTGAACCACTCGAGACTGTCAGCTGCAACTCCGTCGCAGCTCGCTGCCATCAGGTTGTCATGGTAACACGTCAAAGTCCGTCAATCCCTAAGATTTTTTTGATTTTTTTTTCCTGAGAACATTTTCTTACCTCCGCAGTAAGCCATGTACTCAGTTACCGGCCCTTTGTGAGACTCGGGCCAAGTATCCCAGCTGACGGATATCTCGTCTCCGGCATTGAGATCCCATGTCTCGAGACCGCTGCCGGCATCAGGACCTCCACAGGCGACGATTCCTGTACAGCGAAATTTCGCGTGTAAACGGATCGTTAGCGATTTACTAGGCCATATTTAGGGTTCAGATGTACCTGAAGTGTAGTCGGTGTAACCTATGTGAACGAAGCATCGATGTAAAATCGGTCTCGGTTCAGCGGATCTAGTTCCTCCTTTTTATTCTTTCAATTCGGAAACACCGAACTCACCCTGGTCAGAGTTTTTCGAGGGTCGTTGGGCGGTGATCCCGTTGTTGTACGCCTGGGCGTTCGAAGGGTTCCAACCCGGGTGCTCGACTCCACCGAAAGTCCACTTGTCGGTGTGTCCGTGAGCGGCGACGAGAGGAAGCGCGAGCGCAACGGCGGAAAGAAGGGAAGCGATCTTGAACTGGAGGTCAAGGTGCGAGGTCAGGTGTGAGCGGCGAATCGAAAGCGAACATCCATTGGAGCAACTCACTTGAGCGATAGCCATCTTGAAAGATCTAAGTCGTTTGTTGTGAAGAAAGTACTACGAGTATTCGTAAAGCGGCTGGCGCGAAATTGAAATGTTGTTTCGTAAAGAAGGTGTTGATCGTCGAGTCGAGGCGAGGTGTTGAGAGTCGGAGTCGGGAGTCGAGTGAGTCAATCACTGAGAGTTGAGAGAGGATTTTGGATGAAGAGGAGGAAGGGAAGACGAAATAAAGTTGAGGGGAATCGGACCAGGGGGTCGCGGTATATATACGTTTCCTCATCGCTGGCAAAAGGGGAGCGATGCGTGGCGAAACCAGCGCAGTCGATTCGATCCGATGCGTTGTCGTCAGCAAGAACAAACAAACAACGGGGGGACTTCGCTTGGATCGGATCGGTCGTCGCCAAAGGACTCTCACACCCGGTCGTTGCAGTCTCATTGCGTTGTCTGTAACCGGTCGATGAAACGCAGACTCATCGACGACACGTCGTCGTCGATGCTGCGCGTGTGATGCGGCGCGCGATGGAACGTTCGATGAAACGCGAGGACGGGAGTTTCGCCGAAACACCCGACGCGCGCGTGGGCACGACGACTTCCGCCTTGGCCCTTCCATTCCCTCCCCCCCCCACGGCGATACCTCTTGGCTCGTGTTTCAGCGACGGATCATCCATCATCAAACCTTCCATTGACTGCGGACTTCAACACGCTTCGTCTCCTTTCAACGGGTCCAACGGAATTGTGTGGTCGCCGAAAGGAATGCACCCATCACCAAGACAAGGTTTGACCGATGCTCATGTGAAACCGACGTGGCGATTGGCTTGGCGACGACGGGCGATAGGTAGGGGCATGGAGTTCCAGCAACGAGAGGTCGCACCTGGTCGTGACTTGGTCGTGTCGGTCAACCAGTCGGTGAGTGTGTTATTGCCATGGTCGACTGGTCGCAATGGTCCATGCTGCGTGTTGCCGATTCTGCCCGGCTGAAACGGTCTACACAGCTACAGAAATCCAAGCTCAGAGAGTATGACCTAGAGCCCGGATGAGCAATCGTACAACTACCTACGTTTGACGCGGGCTGAGTTTTGGCAGCCAAGTGCATCGACCCAGCGATCCAGCGACGCGCTTCTAGCTCCTACTACTACTGTACCTTCTCGTCGTGCTTCGAAAAAGTTCAGGTGTTCACGTGAACGGATTCATACGTGCAGATTGTCACGTTCGAGCTCTTTTTTCGCCAAATCTACAGTATAGGCACCGAATTCTGTCATCGCGATCTCATCGTATCGAACCTGGGAGAGGACAGGCGGAATTCACTCGTTGTCGCTGTCCTCGTCGCCGTCTTCGCCATCATCACTGATCGCTGATCGACATATCGCGACCGACTCGCGTCATCAAGCTGTGCGTCGCGTGTCGGCTTCGAGCATTCCTGCACTCTTCGTTTGTTATCCTATCTACTATCTGCTATCTGCTAACTTTTATTACCTATCTCATACGATAAAGGTCAGTCCTGCAAGTCGCCTATCCGCCAAGGATACCATCGGGACATATCGAGTCGTGTAGCGACGTTCACGTGAGTGAAGATCCTGTCTGCTTACGTTCCATGGTATATAAAGGGCTTCGCGACTGATGTGGCTTTGCCTACAGGCGGATATTAAGCTGGTCCAGTATCCTGTAAGCTGCCCCTGAACGATTTCGTTCCATCGACTGTCCATCCGATCGGCTTGCTGTTATGAGCTGGCAATGGAACGGCATGATCCAGTCGTAATCGAAGCAATCTCCGAGAACCGCTCGCTGCCATCAGATTCCTATCACTGCTCGAGCTTCGGTCGATCTACCTGGGATTACCATTCTATACGCCTCAGCCTGCGAGCTCGTGAGTCGCTACCTCGCCCCTTCCACCTCGTCCCGACGACTGACGCGATCCGAATGCAGCATTAAGATTTAGGTTCTAGGTGCGATGGAACAGCCAAGCGTTGCAGACTTTGGCTCCGGACAGGAGGACCAATTCTTCAGGAATCCGTACATCGACTTCAAGAACCGTATACACGCTCACTTTTCGGACCGCTACGTTATCGATCCCGAGGGCACTGTGGATGAAATCCGGCGTTACGTAGCCCGTCAACAACATGGTTTCCCACTCTATTGGGATGCCGATCTCACCGTCATTCTCTGTGAAGCCTATCTCTTGGCTGGTCGGCCTAAACAGGCCATGGCCGCGGCCCTTCGAGCGGAACGGCTGGGAAGACAGATCGACATCTCGCCCGGTGTCTCCCCGAGTCTCTCTGAGCCGCATCGTAAATCTTGCGAGAAGATGAAGGAGAGATGCGCGACCTTGGTGGAGGAACTTCAGTATCTGGTAGAGAACTACCCATGGGCATTCGGGCCCGGAGCGAAGAACGAGGCTGCAGGAGAGAACCGGGCTGGAGGAGAGAACAGGGCTGAAGGAGAGAACAAGGCTGAAGGACAGAACCAGGATTCGTCGGTGGCACCCCAATCTGACGGGGACGAGGCTATTGGAAGCAACACCGCAGCGTCTGCCGATACGAGCGGTCCATCCAGGGATTCGAAGAAGATTGACAAGCGCGTCGATCTGAGTGACTTCAATGGTATGTGCTCTTGTCTGGCTGTATAAGTCAGCTTGGCGGAATGCTAAATCGTCGCATGTCCTCCGGGCGTTGTCTATAATTCTGCAGAGAATGATGAGGACAAGGACACAACTAGCCAATCATCCATCAGATCAGAAATGTTGGATATGAAAGGTCTACCATCCAACAGATCAGAAGTGTTGACGCTCGCACGCACGCGGCCTAGAGATTTGGTCTTGTGGCTGTCACAGTTTGATGCGTCCTCGAACCGTGATAAGATTCAAGCTCTCGAAGACGCTTTCCCGGATGAGACGGGTCGTCTGGAAGGCCAGGAGGTTGACGTCTTGGCACGATATCTGGATCGCATATACATCGTAGCATCATGCAAGGAGTCGTTGTCATGGACATTTCAGATCATTGGTAAGCCACAACATGTCATTCGAGAGAAGTAGTCGCCTGGCCCACATATGACGACACTCAGTCGCACCAGATCCCACTTCTTGCCATGAGCATTTGCTACCACCTCTATGAGACTCTCATTAAGTGTATCATATGCTTTGGAAGCAGGTGAATGCCTGCTCAGCGGATATAGATCAAGAATACATCAACAAGCCCATTGATGATATGCCCATCAGAGTGGAGGTGGTTCAGAAGGCTAGGGGTGAGGTATCTTGGTTTTGAAAATCAGATGTGGTGTACATAATGTACAAGACCTTGATTCAACAATTTGAGTCCCCTCCGGTGTGTATGGGGAAAATGCGACCTATATTTCACGTCATAATGGTCTAGAAATGGGTGTCTCTCCATAGCGCGCCCGGGGACTTTCGCGCGCGACGAGTATTTGGGCGACGCCAAGGAATTTCAAATCCTGCCGGGCCAAGCTGAAAGAGGCGCCCGGATCGACGATGCGGAGGTTTGGACTGCTAAATGAAACGAGTTGCTAGGCGATCTGGCAAACTACCTCCGGCAGCTGAAAACCTTCTATTTGGAGAAGAACAAAAACGCCCCAATGTTCACCGATGCCGGATGGGATCCAGTGCTTGTAATCGCCCGACTGTAAATCGTGCTCGTTCGGCCAAGCATAACAAAACAGAAAGACATCCTCGTCGGCCCGTCCGCGCCGCTCTTTGACCTCACACACGCAAGGTCAGTCTGCCCTCTTTCGCTGATCAGCAAGCGTGTTTGGATTCGATATGTACCAAGACTGGAAAGACTATATCACCGATTATAAAGTAAACGATCATGTCATGATGAGAATCACATTTATCGACTAGTATCAGGTCATTATGATTTAAATCGGTCGCATCTTCTGAAACTCGGCCAACTTCCTCGACGCCTCGATCATCGCTGTGGCTTCGACACCGAATTCGATGCGCGTGCAGGGTGTGCTCAAACCGGTGGTCGGACTGGACGAGCTGGCGGTGAGCGCCGGAATGAGCACGTCCTCGTCACCGCGCTCCTTCGGACTCCAGTCGAGCAGCGACTTGAACGAGACACGACGGTCTTGGTGACGCCCGGGGAGAGGCGTAGTAGGGGCCGATACGTGACGACACTGAAGGATGAACGGGACTTTGTTGTTCCACTCCCATGTCGTTGTGATCGGCGCCAAGGTCTCAATTTCGAACATGGCCTGCGCCACGGCTTTTTCGACGTCGACGGCGGAAGAGGGCGGGTTGTCGTCAGCCGAGTTGTCGTCGGCCGATTCTGTTGCAGATCCTGGAGGAACGGGAGCAGCCGGCGACCTCGTCGATTCCAAATCGATGATACCAGGGGCCGGCCTTTTCGATCCGACGAGAGCAGTCCAGCCTTCGAGAGTGTCGGGCATTAAATGGATCGACAGCCCTTGCATCTGTCTCGGTGTCGGTGGACGAGGTATGGGACTGGGTGCAGGCTCGTCCGGCTCACTGATCCCCTTTCTCCAAGTCTCAACGACCGTGTTGAGGTACCCCCTTCTCCTTATGCTCCTTGCCTGCTTGGCATATCTCTCTTCACTTGCCTCCCGCGCCTCGTCATCGCTGTCCAGGTCCAGATCGACCGAGATTCGCTTCCTCGGGACCACCGCGACCCTATTGAGGTCCCGATCTCGAACCGGATACCTCGTCCGATTCATGGTTGCATCCTCGCCGTTCCTCGCCTCCTTCACGAGCGACTCGTTCGAGGCAGAGGCAGGTTGAAGCGTCTTTGCCTCGATGTTGGAATCGATAGAGGGGAGGACGTCGGGATCCGAGACGACCGGACTGACGGTAACCGCGTCACTCGGAGCGACCACACTGTCGGCGAGATGAGCGACCTCGACCGGACTGTCGCTGTCGAGCCCGACGAGTCCTTGACAGAGGTCACATTGCTGATGATCCCCGGGGCACTGAACTCGGTCAATCTGCTGAACGAGAGGAGCATGTTCCCGACCTCGGTCCACTTCGAATGTGCGTATGAACCACGCCTCCACCCTGATTTCGGTATAGGTAAACCAATCGTCCTCTCCAAACGTAGGCAGACGGGTAGGTCCAAACTGGACCAAGACGTTCCTTTCGTTCTCGGCGGGTTTAGGATCGTCGGCGACGGCCTTTGCCTTGAGTGCTATCTGAGGGAACTACGGGAACAAGCAAGAAGAATCGAGCGTCAGTCCCGATTCGAAGACAGCCAAAAGACGACGAGACCGAAGGATGATCCGAACCGAACCGAACCGGATCGGATGAACGAAGCAGGCGACTCACGTAACGCCCAACAGCCTCTATCAAACAACTGATCAAGAGCGCACCTCCGACGATCCAGATCCAGTGGTGCAGCTCGAGCTTGGCGAGCTTGTCGGTGATCCGGACTGACGGTCGGTCGCAAGGAGGGCAGGACATGGTACGTGGTTGTGGTCGTTATTGTTTGGCGAAAGGGGCAAGGTTGACAGGGTGAAGTCCGAGTCGAGCTGGATGTACGTACGATACTTTGAGGGTGATGGGTGGCGAAAGTGATTTGAGAAAAGTAGAGAGGAGAAAGAAGTCGAGCACTCCCCGGGTATCTCATCCTATATAGTCGGCTGGTCGAGAACATCAAAATCAGCCGACTCTCCCTCGGATCTACACCTTGACCAATGACGTCGTGAAAGACCTACGTTTTCAAGCCTCGCTCACAGTCATCACTATCCTTGCTTTAGTCTGAGCCCGTTCATCCCCGCACGTCGCACCGTTTCACCCAGTCCAGATCGTCCAACAAGAAATCGAATCATCCCTGCGCGAACGACCTCCCTCCCCACTCTTTCCCCGCCCGTCGTCCCCAGCCCGAGGTGTACACGTCGTTTGTACTAGTTCTGGGAGCCGGGGAGTCCCTAGCTTCATTTTAATCGTATGCTAGCTTCGATCGCAGGTCGACGTAGACGAGTTCCATGTCGGGGTTGCCTTTTCGGTGGTTCAATGTTTCCTCACCACTACCACAAACGGCAAGTCCGTCACCGCCAAAGTCTGTCTAGACCATCTCATCATGCTGGACAGGATTTCCTTCTTGACCTATAGTAGAGCCTCCTCGTCATCGACCTTGATAGCGATGATCGACGGCCGGTTTCGACGATTGCACGTCGACAAGGTCACCCAGGACATCGTCAACAGGCCGCATCTCTTCTCCGACGAGCAGCATCCGAGTTGGCCGGTTCTATCGTTGAGAGAGGATCTAGGTCTGAGCTTTGATGAGCTTCCAAGTGTTGCAGTGAGTGTGAGGTTGCAAGACGTGGAGACGAGGAGAGGTTGATATATGATCGTGGGGTCATCCTCGATTCAGGTCAGACTCGAGGTCAGAGCGCGACCTTGCGTCGAGGAGCGGCGGAACCGTCGAGTCTTGCTATCAATCTCGAACGTCGACAACCTACACATATTATTGTTATACGATACTACTATATCGACAATACTCTATCCCCCCTCCGTCTCATGACACACTCGATAGACCTGCCCCCGCCCATGCCTGCCGAAAAGATCCCCCGCCGCTCGACCCTTCTCGCCCGTTACACCTCGCTCATCGATAAAGACCTGCCCCGAGCGGCTACGAGCAGGTCGGACGCTCAACCTCGATGGCCCGTCCACCTGAACCACTGTTTCGGCCGGATCATACTCGACCATATCTGTGCAAGACCTTGGAAGGAGGTCATTGAGCCACCCGCGGTGAGGAACATGACACCGGGTCAGCTTGAGCAGGCGGTTCAAGTCGGGGAGGGGATCTTGAGTGGAAAGGTGGACCTGGAGAGGCTCAATCGGGAGAGTCTACAAATGAGGGCGAAGAGCAGGACTGGACACGAACGCAAGAGCAAAGTAGACGAGAGGATGAAGCACGCCATACATGTTGGATCCGAAAGCCCCACCCGTTCCCATCCCGCAACCTCTATCGGTACGGCGACAACGGAAATTCAAGAGGCGGACCGACTCCCGCTGGACCCCGACCAAGTACAAGGCCGGCCTTCTCCTCGCGAAACTCGAAAGACCATACGGGATTACTTCTGTAGAAAGTAGGCGCGCGTGTCTCTATCAACCGGCCCTGGGCAAATCATTGAGCCAGGGCCTTCGTGATGAAAACATCGGGACAACTAGATCATCATCATATATCATCTCGACTGTTAGATCTCAAGCAATATCTTGAGTTCTAACAGGTCAGTACCTTTGTATTGATCAATAGTACATGCCGTTGATAAAGCAATATCTTGAGTTCTAACAGGTTATGAGCCCAGCTGTTGACCCGTCTTCTCTACGTGTCAACTTCTAATCAGTCACGTCGACAGATCGACCTAGAACTTGAGATAGACCAGTCAAATAGACATCTTCTACTACACCGGATAACAGGAAGACCACCCCTTCCCTAGACATTAGTAAACCGATCATCTTCATTACCTCACCGTCCTTCACCATCATGTCCGACGACGAGATCACCACCAAAGGACCCAAGGTCATTGTCCTTGCCCGAGCCGGGGTCAGATATGTCGAATGGCTGGAGTCCATTCGAGACCTCTTGGCCATCAAACGCCTGCTTCCTTATGTGAAGTATGATGCCAAGGGTGAGCCGGTCAAGCAGAGACCCGTCTTGCCAGAAAAGGGGGACATCACCGAGAAGATGACAGAGGCCGCTGAAGACTACGACCTCAAATGTGCCCAGGCTCTGGGTTACATCCGGCCTTCGCTTGGGGTCAACAAGCGTTCGATCCAGGGGATTGATCACCCGGCCAAGGCCATGTACAAGATCAAGGAGATCCACTCCAAGACCACCTATAAGGTTCGCCAGCAAACCTGAATAGTAACACACGGGACTAGAAGGTACGGGTAGGGTAATGAGTGTAATAACGGATGTCTAACTACTACAAGGTGCTAGTTAGACATCTTCGAACACATCTCCTAATAGGTCTCCGAGAGAGTCTCCGAGAGAGTCTCCGAACGGACCTCCGTACGAGGTGAAAACCTACATCCCGCGTGTGTACGACATGCGTACCGCGGATGCCTATAATAGGATCCCCCCCTTAGGGCGAGATTCCAGATTGCCCAAAGTAGTCGAGTAGTCCGAGGCTAGAGTAGACGTTTCATCTGGAAGTTCTTTGTTCCCTCGAAACGTCCAGTGTCTGTACCCCCGCGTCTCTCCTCGTGCCTCCGCCCTATTGTCTCCGAAGAGATCGTCTAGAACCTTCGATTTGTACGCCCAGGTACACTGGTTCTTTCTGAAACACTGCTCGGCGCCCGTGGGTGCTGCAATGAAGAACCTATTGTCTATCGGTGTCGTCGACCCGTCTGAAACGCCTAGCCGACGACGATGACGCGTCGCGCGTCTATCTTCTATTGTCTTCCCCGCGGACATTGCAACATGGTCCTGTCCGCGGTATTGTTCGTTGATGTAAACAAAGGTGATGTCGTATGTATCGACGTCCTTTCTAACCGATGTCGCTGTATTCTCTTTGTCGTGTTCGAAGTAACGACTTCTTGCTTTGTCCTAGTAGCTGCTACCTAGGTCTCTTTTGTCTTGTTCTCGAAATGTGAAAGGTATAAGACCCCCGAGGGGGTTTGTCGACTTGATGTTTTTCGACGTACGTATCCTCTCCCCTTTAGCAAACCTATAGCTTACTATTCCCGTATCTTTTCCTTCCCTCCTTTCGTACGATGCCTCCCTCTGCTCCCCCTACTCCCTCGAGACCCCGCAAACGCAAGGCCGCCACGGACTGGGTAAACGACGCCGTGTATGGCTACATACGCGGTAACAACTGGGAAGGCTTCGAGATCAACGAGGTCAACGCCTTACAGAAGGCGAAAGAACGATTCCGAGGAACCGTCCCGCCGGAGGTAATCTCCGCTTGGATGAGAGGGGATGTGGATGGCGTGAATGGGTTGCTGGTAAGCCTTTGATATTCTTTTGTTTTCGTGTCTCCGATAGGGTCTCCGAGAGGGTCTCCGATTGACCCTCCTTTGATATTTGATTTTTGATCTTCAGGCCCAATTCTCCGGTGGTTGGCAATGGTGTTGCCAACGTTGCTTCGACGGTGGCAAGTTCAAGAGCGTCACTCCCGCCGACTTTGTGACGTACAACCCGGAGGACGGCACGTGGTGGGACGTGATCAGCGTCAAGGGTCTCTTTTTCTGCCGCCATCTCATCCACCCGCCGCACACCGCCGGCAACGTCACCAGGTCCTGCGGTTGGTGCGCCCCGAAGAAGCTCGGTTGTGCCCCCGTTCCCCGAGAGATGGTTGTCGTCTTCGACGACGATGAGGATACCGAGACCCGAGTTCGAGCGGGGTTGGTCTTGTTGCGCGCCGACAAGATGGCCTTGGGGACTCGGGATGAGGTCGCGACCGAGATCGAGAGGCTCCTCGATACGGTTGTGAGTTTGTTTTCTTCTATTCTTTTTCTTTTTCTTCTCCTTCCACTGACCCCTCTTGCATGCTATCCGACATCCAGATTGTACCTCAACTCAACCGTCGGTCCGGGGTCTCCGTCATGAGCGAACGCGGGGCTCTCTACAAGGCCATCGCCGACAACAAGGAGGAGTGGGACCACCTGGACCCCAACACCCGTCGCGGTTGGGAAGGGTTCGAAGAGGCCCGCAAGATCACCTTCGATTTCGCCGAGGGTCGGTACAAGCCTCTCCCCGTGTGGCCCGGCGAGGAGGACGCCATGGATGTGGACGAGGAGGAGACCGAGGTCCAGATCGTTAGTACTCTCTTTCTACGTTTGCGTTTTGAGCTAACCCAAGTTCTCCTAGGCTGCGCGGGAACGAGACGCTCGTCTCGCGGCCGAGAAGGCCGACGAAGAGGCCCGCCAGAAGCGGCTTGACGCCGAGGCCGCCAGCAAGGTCGCTGAGGACGCTCGTTTGGAGTACGAACGGGCCCGGGACCGCCTCGCCGCCGTCAACCCCCTTCGGTTCCGTACTCCCCCCGCCGACCCGCCCCCCGCCAAGGACGCCGCTCCCCCTCCCGTCCAGGACAAGCAGCCCTCGCAACGAGGTAGCAGGGCCAGGTCCCAGCGCGAGGGGACCGCGACCGAGCACACCGCGGACCGCAACGAGGGTGATGGTGGCGATGGGGGCGGCGATGGCGGTGGCGATGGCGGTGGTGACGGTGGTGGCGACGGTGGTGGAGCGTGATTTTTGTTTGTGTTTGTAACGTCTCGTTTGGTCGCCGTTCGGGGGTCGGCTCCCTTTTTATTTTTTATGCTATTTTCTTGTTGCGATTCATTTCTCCAGCAAAGTCTCCGAACGTGTCTCCGAACGAGTCTCCGATTGAGCCTCCAAGCGAGTCGTGGTACTTCATTGTTTTCGTAAGACAAACTTGATTGTCTTTGGCTCGTTAAGTTCGTAAAAAAAGGAATGGTGATAAACATCTTCGTCGGTCCTGCCGACGAAGGTACAACAATGAGTAATGACAAACACGAAAACCCTAAGCACCCGGAGTCCACAGCAACGGCTCGTCCCCGTTCTGCTTGGCGAACTCCTCATCCCAATACGCCTGGTGGTTCTGGGCGGGAGGTTGCATGTACGTCGCAGCCACCTGCATTCGACCAGCCTGTTGCCGAGCCTGCCACCAAGCAGGTGGAGACCTCTTGGCGTTGCTGCACTGGGCACTCCTGTGGCCGGGCTGCCAGCAGTTGTAGCAGGGTTTCCCGCCGGGCATCCTCGCAGCGTCCACCTCCATGGGCGTAGCACCCGACGTGGCGGCCACCGCAGGAGGGGCAACAGTGGTGTTAACCACAACAGGGTTTCGGGGAGCGACGTGGTTACCTGCGTAACGATTCCCGCTCGTGTGGGCACGGTTACCCGAAGACGTGTGCCTACGGGCTTCCGCTTGGTCTTCGTACCGACGACATTCCATCTGGAACTCCGCCAGCGTCATATGCTCCTGGTTGGGCATAGGGATAATAGCGTCCTGAAAGGCCTGGTTCAGGTTGGCGCGGAAGAACGACCGTTTGCCGTACTCGTTGAGGTTTGGGAGGAGGGCGGCGAGGTCGTTGAACTCGGTGATGTACGTACTCAAGCTCTTGTTGCCCTGCTTCAGAGAGTAGTACTCCTTCTCCGTAGCAAGGATGTTCCTTCCCCCTCCGTACATCTCCACGAGCAACGCCTCAAACTCCCGCCAGGTGACCTGAGTTCGCCCCGACGAGTACTCCCTTGCCCATGCCTGGGCCTGCCCATCCATGTACGACTCCGCGTACATAATCTTGTAAAGGTCGGTGTACAACCCCGGCTTGACTTGGAACTCCCGGTTGCATTGGTCCAGGAATCCCCTAACCTTCTCTTTCTTGCTGCCATCGAACCTGTCCGGCGTACCGAACTTGAACAGCTTCGCTCTCGCTTCCTCCGTGGCCGTCGCCGATCGAGTGTCCCTCGACATCGCCAACTCCATCATCTGGCTATGCATGTTCGCCATCATGGAGAGCAGGGCGGAAACGTCCGGACTGGTAGGAGGCGCAGCGGCCGGAGCAGGGTTAGCTGCTGGGGGTGTTGACTGCACTTGTGGGGGAGTCTGCCCCATGTTGTTGGCCGGTGCGGCCTGCGTGGAAGCGGTAGGTACCCCCGTGGCACCTACCTCCGGTTGCTGGTGAGCAAAGACGCACTGGTCGTTTACCAGCGTCTCCCCAGTTGGGTTCCTCCACATGAACCTTCCTTGTCCATCCATCATCTGCATGCTCCCGTCTTCGCTCAAGACCGGGATCGCATCCGCAGGGATGGGGTGGACAGCCCTATCCGGTCCGTAACACTGCGTGAACGTATTCATCGTATACGGGGTCTCCTAGTCGGGGTGTTTGGGTGATCCGTTATTCTATAAGGTTCGCCAGCAAACCTGAATAGTAACACACGGGACTAGAAGGTACGGGTAGGGTAATGAGTGTAATAACGGATGTCTAACTACTACAAGGTGCTAGTTAGACATCTTCGAACACATCTCCTAATAGGTCTCCGAGAGAGTCTCCGAGAGAGTCTCCGAACGGACCTCCGTACGAGGTGAAAACCTACATCCCGCGTGTGTACGACATGCGTACCGCGG